CTTTATCAAGTCAAAACGACTGCCATAGTTAATTTTAAAGTAACACTAAATAAGTTTCCCGCTTCTCCCCCGTCTGGTTGAAAGTGGAATTACTGTCGTAAAGAACCCTGCCACAGCCTGCTGTAGCTAGTGCTAAACACAAGCTAATGCTAACATGAGCCAGCTGATTCTAAATAAGCCATGAAGTAAAAAGATCCTCAGTGTTCAAAAATAATATTAACATTCACAAGTCCAGTAGCAACATCCAGTTCACCATCAGTCCGTGATTTTGTAGCCTCCTTTAGCTCCCTCAAACGGGTGTTGGCCTCACTGATGTTAACTCTGGTTTTAGCTCTTTCCTTCACCTCAATAAACATTACTTTCCTACTTTTACTTCCAGGCACCTCCATGATGCCAACAGAAAAAGCAAAATTCTTCTTTTCATACTTTTAATTCGTAGTCGCTGAACAACGAGCTAACTGCTAGCCTTTATATTAGCTACAGCCACAGTAAACAGCTCTAAAGCAGGTAGATACCTCCCACTGGTGTTTCTACCAGAACCACAAAACTGTGCTAGTTTCTGGCTCAATAATCACTGAAACCATCTTCAAAGCAATAGCTAAAAGGGTTAAAACCTCTTTAATATTGTGTAGCGTGATGAATTGTCCTTTTCTGACCTAAAAGGCTCCGTTTTGCTCTGCTCAAAGCAAAACTAGAAGTTTCTGACACAAACCTAATCTGCATGAAATATTACTCAAGGTCTCATGCTCTGCTTCTAAACTGTGTCTTCCTTTCCAGCTCAAGAGAAGAATGAAGACAAAGGACTCTTTCTTTTAATAAATCAGAAGAACTCTATTTTTAATAAAGCTAATCAAACAAAGTGTTAGTCTATAATAAAATGTGAACCAATCTGTAAAATGACAATGTTTATGATCAATAGTACTGTAATAAGTAATATAACTTTAAATATTTCCACTAGACATTCTCATCCACGTAATGTTAAGAATCACATGACACATTTCCTTTTTCTGATCCAATCAGAAACTTCCAGATCTGACGGAGGCGTGGTTTTGGCGGTGCTTGGTAAATCTGTCCTTTTTTGATTTGACCGTAAATAAAAACATCCAAATTGTAAAACTATGCCCATGTGAGCTTAAACTTCAGTTCAAAGCTTTCTAGAGAAGTTGTCGGAGTGGCCAATCCGTAACTTTCCTCTTCAGCCGAAAGAACCAACGACAAGCTGGATTAAATCTGTTGCATGTTCCACCTGCTGCAACGGTTCCTTTCAGAATAAAAGCTGAACCATCACGACCCCCCTTTTGGGTCTCGCTAGAACTGTCGTGACCCGGAAGTATCTCAAGACTGGTCTGGTCGGCAACCGCTGCTTTTCCTACCGGCTTCGGTTCCAGAGAAGGTCAAGCTGGACCTCGACATTCCTGATCTAACGGGGACTTCCGCAAAGGGTACGAAGACCGGCAGAATGGCGTCTCAATGTGTCTTATAAATCTCCAAACCAAAAGCTGAGCACGAAACATCATCTTCACTCCCATCAGAAACAATCGTTTCTCCGGATCTGCTGGTTCTGAACATAGTCACACATACAACATTCTCAGTCTTACTTCACCTTAGTGACACCATACACCCAGTGTTAAAGTTAGTCTAGTTTAATTTGTTTAGTAATAAATCTTTAAACTTTTAAAACTTGACTCTCTTTCTGTTGTCTCTGAGTGAATATGAAGTGTTGATCAATCCCTGCAATAAAAAGATCCAATCTTCTGATTAAATTTACTTAAAGATCCATTAAGGTGATATTTCAGACTTCGTGATATTTCACATTTTATGGTTTCTAATTAAACGTAGGAACGTCTTCTCTACAATTGCTTCAAACAATGACAAAGTTTTTTGCATTGTTGCCTTGCAACAAGAAGGCGCCGGGTTTGATTCCTCTCTTGGGTCTTTATGTGTGGCGTTTTATGCACCTGTCATTAACTATAAATTCACTCTAGGTGAGAGCATGAATATGATGAACTGGTGACCCGCCCAGGTGTGGTATGAGTTCACTCACTGCCTGATGTTTACAATTTTCTTTTTTCTCCAAAACTTTTCAGTTCAGTTCAATTCAATTAAAGTTTATTTATATAGCGCCAAATCATGACAAGAGTTGTCTCAAGGCACTTCACATAATAAACATTCCAACTCAGGTCAGTTCATTAAGCCAATCAGAAATAATGTTTCCTATAAGGAACCCAGCAAATTGCTGTAAAGTCACTGACTAGTGTCAGTGACTTTTCAGCAATCCTCATACTAAGCAAGCATAAAGCGACAGTGGAGAGGAAAACTCCCTTTAACAGGAAGAAACCTCCAGAGAATCCTGGCTCAGTATAAGCAGCCATCCTCCACGACTCACTGGGGATGGAGAAGACAGAGCAGGCGCACACACACACACACACACACACACACACACACACACACACACACACACACACACACACACACACACACACACACACACACACACACACACACACACACACACACACACACACACACACGCACGCACGCACGCACGCACACACACACACACAAAGTAATGTGTCTATAGTTATATTGTGATTTCTTAGTAAATATGTAACCATGCAGGTTATTTGTTGCAGGCTTGCAGCTCAGCACATCGCTCAGCACCAAGGCTGCAGGTCAGTGGGCTGTCGCACAGCGCCACCATGTGGCCGTGCATGCACATTTAAGTCACAGGCTTTGCATGCATCAGAACAAAATTTCTTCTTGAATGTACTCTCTGTTATAACAGAACACTCCTGGATTATAAAAAAGGTGATTTAAGAATAATTCTGTGACTTCAACAGTGCAGAGTTGAATGTTTGGTGCTGGTGATGTCACTTCAAAGATTTAACTCAGAAAATAATACTGTCTGTGCATAGTTTCTAACTTTTGTCTTGTTTGAGGTCTGATCAGAGGCGGAGCTGGCCTAAATGACGCCCTGTGCGAGATCCCCCTGTGACCCCCCCCCCCCCCCCCCACACACACACACACACACACACACACACACTCACACACGAAAAAACATTACACCTACAACTTTGTTTCAAATTGCGTGGAGTGTATATATAACAACGTTTGCTAACTGAATACAACATCCAGCTCCTGGCCACCTTCTCACCACTTGTCAAAGTTCTACTGAAATAGACACACTTAACGCAACATGATGGCATCATCGACTTGTACAGTACAGATGTGCTGAAAGGCGAGAGTCTCAACTTTCAGCTAAAAAAAGACCGCTCTAGCTATTATAGTTTTTATTTTATGGCAGTTTACAGTTTAAACGGGATCTTACTAGCAGGGCACCTCCAGCGGCCCGCTGCCGCTCCGTTTTTCATGGGGTAAATAATAGCTAATTTCCCGATTCCAAAAAGAAAGAATGGTCCTACCAGCTCGCCACTTCAATATGAAGAAGATCAGTTCAACATGGGGAAAAAAACCTGACCTGTAGGCCAGAGAAATGTTCATTAGCACATCAAGTTCTATTCAGTTTACCGGTAAACATATCACGAATGTACAACAGGTCAATTATTAATCATCTTGGCTACGTAGCTCAATCTATGCATTCCAGTAGCGTTTGCTACAAACAAATACAAAAACAACAATAAAGGAAAACAACTGTCTGACAGACAGCATAGCCGAATTCAAGGCAACACATAACAATAATCATTCGATTGCTCTTGGTTTCAAGTTAAGCCCATTAAAGTGCTTAAGTAAATAAAAGTGTTTCAAAAACAGCGTTTTTGAACCGGAGTTCTGCTCGCGGTGGGAACTCCGCCGAACAAGGTCATTTTTTATAGCGAAAACGATCGACTGGTCACTGACAAGTAAAAGGGTGTTATTGGTAGATGTTAAGGACACTTACCGCTGAGGTAAAATGAGAGTATAAATGAATTGAGGGGAGAAAAACGCTTTGTTTTCCAACGCCGTTCTACAAGCAACAAGCTTACAGCCACGGCAGGAGCAGCTTTCATGGTTGCCGCGACTTGGAAGGAGCCAATCAGGAGAGGGACCTCACATCAGCTGACGTGGGTCATGTGACAGGGAGTAGTTGACATGGGTTACACTTTGTTGTGCTTTTATTACAGAAATATTATTATCATCACTATTATTATTAAGAAGATGCGATTTCTATGTTTTGTTTATGTATTGGTTGATGCTAAAAAAAATATTTTTTTAGAAAAAAAAAAAAAAAAGGAAATTAAATGCCGCCCCCTGCAGACTGCCGCCCTGTTCGGCCGCACATGTTGCACATATCAAGCTCCGCCACTGGGTCTGATGATGGTGCACGAGTTTCAAAATGCATATTTTTTCTCCATTCGGTGTTACATCTGAATGCATCTGAACATAACAAAATAGTAATATTTGTTTTGGTTTTTTTAATATTATCACTATCGTTTAAAAATCTGTCTGATTCTACTCTTGTTCTCTGCAACAAAATTAAAATTTAAAGCAATAATCTGACTAAATTATCACAGTTTTCTGTCAAATTGAGTCCACTTAGCTTCTTCCAAGCTGCAGCCTCTCGATTCAGCTTTTGATCAAGTTTAGCATCAGCCGGAGAACATAAAAATGTGGAGAGCAGTTTAGTAATCGGATCAGCATCGTGCATACTCCTGATCACATTAGGCTTTATTAGCTTAAAGCAGGATTACAGTGCTTGTAGGTTATGTTTCTTAACTGTGCGTGCTGAAGAAGCTGTTTCTGCTGAGTCATGCTACGTGCCTCAGCAGAAACAGCCTTTTTTCCTGAGTCAGCTGATTTATCCTACTGTAATAGAAAAAACTTATTCTGGTCAATTGAAACAATAAAGAGCAAATGAAGAAATACTGTTTAGTTTTTATAATCTGATCAGCACTAAAAGTTCTTTGACTAAATCAGTAAAACAGATTGTGGTTTTAAATTTGTGAGCAATATTTCTCTTAATACTTGATTGCATTCCTCTTACGTCTTACCCACTGCCTTTACTCGGTTGAGGTGAATCCTCTTAAAGGTGGATTACTGGACTAAGATGGCCACGTCCAGAGGGAAAGAGGAAGATGTAGAATGAAAACATGGAGAGAACGCCTCTGCTCGGTAGCAGAAGATGGTGTGCAGCTGTGGTGAGTTCAGAACAAAAACTGTTCCATTGTTGCAGGAATTGTTTATTTTTGTGAAACAGGGCATTGAATTCATTGGAAACTTACAAACTCTGCAGAATTTTTTCCAATTAAATATATTATAATTTCATTTTTTCCTCATTTGGTTTCAGGGGACCAGGAGCAGAGCCTCACATCATGAAGCAGAGCGCCTCTCGTCTCCTGGACCGTCTCACTGACTAGCACTGGAGCAAGAATGCTTTTCCTCCCATTTTCCATCCCTTTGAGCTCGAGAGTGTGTTCTGCTCTCTGTTTCCTGAGCTCGCTGCTCTTTGAGGTCAGAGCAGACAACCTGAACTCTTCTGCTGCACGTGCAGGTGGAGGGTCTCAGTGTGGAGAGTACACAAACCAGGTACACCTCCAACACCAACAAAATTAGCATTATGGACGTGTTACTGTCGTAATTGCCAAAAGTTGTCAAATCAAATGAACAGAAGAAATAAGGGTGAATTGTGCAGCCTATCAATGCAAAGAGACTGAAACACAAACCTTAAAATAATCAGTTTCACAAGTTTGACTAAATGGCTGTTCTTATTTTAGCATTTGTTTCTGTGTTAATCCTGCAACGTTTAGTAATGTTGAAAGATGCTTCATCCAGTCATGTGCTTTTTTTTTTTTTACTTGGCAAAACATTAAATAAATAAATAAATATCTGGTTATTTAAATATTTTTCAGGTCTTAGAAAGAGGTCAAGGGTCTGTTTTTAAAATTTGAGAATGTTTTTCCCAAAATTCAAATTCTTTAGAAACACAACAATCCAAAAAGGCACATAAGCTCCACTTTACTAAGACCAACAGGGACTGGGCTGGCACTCCGAAGTTGCAAGTGCTGTATTCTTGCCACAGAGGGCAGTGAGGTCTGAGTGACATTTCATTAAAGGGCTATTTTAGCACATGCTGTCTCTAGAAAAGTATTTAAAAACATGAAAAAAAATTGCTCAACTTTGAATCCTTGAAATAAATAACTGAAAGCTTGTATTTTACAGTTTGTTCAAAGAATTCCTGTTTCCTGACAAAACACCAAACACGTCTTTGACCTTTCCTTTCCCAGCTGATGGAGGATGGGATGTGCCATTTGGTGGCCTCTCTGCCTCAGCAGGATGAACGCAGATGTCCAGATTTGTTTCGCTGCACAGACGAGGTCTCCTACTGGCTGGGTGAGAACGAGCAGAGGAAGCGGCAGATTGTGGGTCTGAAGGAGACCATCTCTGAGCTGCAGGAGGAACTCCGAAACCACTGGCATCGCATCAAAGTCCTGGAGCTGCAGGTGACGGAGCAGATGTGAGTCAGCTGTCAGTAGCACTTTAAACAGCTGACTGCAGGCTCAGGTCATGGCAATGCAACAGCTTTTGTTACAAATTCCTTATTGTTTATATTCATGTATTCACATCATGGTTTTTATTCTCTCAAATTAAAACGTTTTAGATGAATGAGATTTTTCACTATACTAAAAGCTTGGTTTGAGGGGAACATTTACCATACTAAGTATGAAATCACTTGTTTGAAGTGATTTTCAGCCTAACATGGTGTTAAAGCTGGCTTCCATCCGTGCATGTCCTTGACCTGGGCTCTAACAGGATTAGACTCGTCCACGTGTCGCCTCGTGCGTCTCAGGTGATGAGCTTTCAGCTGCATCGGTGAGAGTATGCAGAGGGGTGGGAGAACTGGACCAGCTCTAGTAATGAAAAATGGAAGTGAAAACAAATTTTTTTTTTTGCTGAGCTTGGGTTCAGGGTTTGACCCCTGGTAAATTCCCCCTAGTGTGTGTGTGTGTGTGCGTGTGTATGTGCAAGTGTGTGTGTGCTTGTATGTGTGTGTGTGCATGTGTGTTTGCGTGCGTGCGTGTGAGTGTGTGTGTGTGTGTGTGTGTGTGCTTGCATCCATATGTGTACAAGTGCGTGCATGTACATGTGTGGTGTGTGTGTGTGTGTGTGCTTGCATCCATATGTGTACAAGGGTGTGCATGTACATGTGTGTGTGTGTGTGTGTGTGTGTGTGTGTGTGTGTGTGTGTATGTGCAAGTGTGTGTGTGCTTGTATGTGTGTGTGTGCATGTGTGTTTGCGTGCGTGCATGCACATGTGCATGTGTGTGTGTGTGTGTGTGTGTGTGTGTGTGTGTGTGTGTGTGTGTGTGTGTGTGTGTGTGAGAACCTATGGTATGAGTTGTTTCTGCCAGTTGAATCTCTTGGAACCTGCTCCAATTCTGCAGCTGTATCCTAGCAGTTTCTTCTGAAATGGGTACGTAAATAAACATGTTTTTCTTTTTCTTTTTTTTGTGTGTGTGCTTGCATCCATATGTGTGTATGTGTACAAGTGCGTGCATGTACGTGTGTGTGTGTGTGTGTGTGTGTGCGTGTGCGTGCATGTACATGTGTGTGCGCGTGCGTGTGTACATGTGGATGTGTGCATGTGTGTGCATCCATGTGCATGTGTGTGTAAGTGTGCAAGTGTGTATGCACACACCCAAGAGTGTGCGTGTGTGTACGTGCATTAGAGTGTGTGCAAGTGTTTGAGTGCATGCGTGAGTGTGTGTGTGAAAATGTATTGTTGTACTCGTGATAGACTGGTTACCTACCCAGGTGTACCTCACCTCTCACCAGCTCCCCGAGACCTTTAACAGGACCCAGCATGGAAGGATTCATTAACAGTATAAATGCCATTTTTACAACAGTTGTCATGATCTTGTTTTCCATAAAAACACATGAAATTAGTTTTATTTAATATTCAGACTAAAGTTGGAGGAAAAAAAACTCATGTTTTCTTTTAGAATCTTAATTTTTCCCTTTGAAGAATCCTGCCTGTTCTGTTATTTAGCTTATAAGGAACACAAGAACGTCCCAGTCAGTACTTTTTGTTTTTTACGGTAATCTTTTGCATATCCACACATTTTTGTTTTAATCTAAAACTTTTCAAATCTTTATAATAACATTGGTTTTATGCATGTTACTCCTAAAAGTGTGTTTATTTTGGGGCGGTATCATCAGACTCAAATGGCAATAAAAATAATCTGTTTGGATCGTTTAAAAAGCCTGACTTTAATAATTGAATATATAAATTTAAAAAATATAACATCAAAGTGTTTGTTAGGTGTGACCAATCATCATCATAAGATTAGAAAAAGTCTCAGTTTTAATCATAGCTGACCCACTTGTTGGTTATTTGCATCCAAACACACCACCAGAGTGAAGAGAAGACAGACCTGAACGTCTCTTTGGAGCAGCGGTTCCATGAGCTGGAGGTTCGTTACACTGAAAGCACCTCCCTGCTGCAGCTACAGGGATCCCTGATCCTGGACCTGCAGGTACACCTCCTCTCTTATTCTGATTAATGTAAATTAAACCTTCTTTTCCCTTTGGATGGAAGAAAACTCCAATTTCTGTTCAATATCCAGAACCAGCTCCATAATCTGACCCTTTCAGTGGACAAAGTCAACAGAAACCCCGGCTGTTCCATCAACGTCGTCCGTCCCAATCCTCTCCTCAACACCCAGGAAGCCCGACACCCAGGTGCACGCTCATGCACTGATCATTCATCAGTTGGCGCCAAATACTCCTGATTCTCATACCCCACACACCCTCCCAGCAGAGATCCAGCATGTGGGCAACTGTCCCATTGACTGCGCCTCCATCCACTACAGCGGGGTGAGGAGATCAGGCCTCTACACCGTGGTGCCATTGGTGGTCGGCATGCCTGTGGAGGTTTACTGTGACATGGACACAGATGGTGAGACAAAGCCTGCAAAGTAGCAAAATATAAAAGCAGGATACCACATCAAACTGTTAAAAGTTCCATATAAAACCACAAAGCGCATAACACACACACACACACACACACACACACACACACACACACACACACACACACACACACACACACACACACAAAAGGCTGTTTTAGAAACCTAAAACCCCGTAAGAAAAGGAAGACAGGAAAACAATCTCAAAACAATGAAGAATTTTCCTTTTCCAAATGAGCAGTTTTACAGATAAAGCCAATTGACAAACTTACAGATAAATTAGATGATAATCACATTCAAATTAACATACAGGCCTTCCATGTTTGCCTTTAAGAGCTTCTGAAGTCCATCATTTCCATTTTAGCCTTTATTCACAATTTATTTTGTCCTTAGTTGGTTTTCCAGCTGGAGTTTTCAGTCTCCAGCAGTGTGAGTGTCTCTATTACTTATCTGCTCCAAGCATTCCACCTCATCACGCAATACTCAGCTGCACCAGTAGGCGGCAGTAACACAACATAGGAATTTAAGTAGATATTCTGTTTTAAGGGGATACTGTGCAACTTTTTCATATTTTAAATTATTTTCTTGAGCCAGCATGTACTAAAATGACCCTTAACGTGGGTATGAAATGTCACTCAGACCCTCACCGCCCCCTGTGGCCAGAATATCATACTTGCAAGGCCAACCTGCTGGTGGGGAGAGCTGTGGAGCGGAGTGGAGTTGACATGGTGGAGCTGGAGTCGGCTTCCAGCACGTTTCCTGCATGTTTTATCATGAGCACAGCTGATTTGTTTGATTTATTGATGGATCGCTCCTCTAGAAACCAATGAAGGCTGAGGAGACATTTCAGCTGTTAGATTGTGTTAAAAAGATGAACGCACACAAGCCTGAAACTAACACACTCAGGCGGAGCCTGAAAAAAGAAATTGCCTAGGGTTTGTCAGTGTGTGTGTGTGTGTGTGTGTGTGTGTGTGTGTGTGTGTGTGTGTGTGTGTGTGTGTGTGTGTGTGTGTGTGTGTGTGTGTGTGCTCTGTCTTCTTGATCCCCAGTGAGTCGTGGAGGATGGCTGCTTATACTGAGCCAGGATTCTCTGGAGGATTCTTCCTGTTAAAATGGAGTTTTCCTCTCCACTGTCGCTTTATGCTTGCTTGGTATGAGGATTGCTGTATAGTCACTGACACTAGTCAGTGACTTGATGCAATTTGCTGGGTTCTTTATATAGGAAACATTATTTCTGATTGGCTTAATGAACTGACCTGAATTGGAATGTTTATTATGTGAAGTGCCTTGAGACGACTCTTGTCGTGATTTGGTGCTTTATACATGAACTTGAATTGAATTGAATTGAATTGAATAAATAATAACTTAATTGGGGTACTCAAAGAAAAATACAAAAACTATTTAAAGTTTTCCAGGGCAGAGCAACGTCATCAGGATTTTCAGAGCATATTTTCAATGTTTTACCAGCTTTAAGAATTAGTGAGGATGAAAACATGTTCACATACATTATCCATTACTTTGTTCTTTTTATACACAGCTTAGTAAAATAATTGTTTTTTACTGACATGTTTCAGCTAATGACTCTAGGCATCATGAGAGTTCGCCGGTGTGGGTGGCGTCGCTCCCGTTTATCATCGGGAAGCAGAGGATGATGTTGCCCTCCACCGCTCGTGTCACCCTTGCCGATGATACTGTCCCACGCGTGATCCAGTGTAGACTCTAGTGATGAGAATTCCGGCTCTTTTTAGAGAGCCGGTTCTTTTGGCTCAGCTCACCAAAAAGAACCGACTCTTTCGGCTCCCAAGTGGCTCCTCAGATTTTCTGTTATGTAGAGTACATTTATAACCAAAATAATGCAAAACTATACAGTATGTAAAATGATTTACTAATGTAAAAAAATTCTATACATCAAATATTTATCATTTCTATGGATTTAATAACTGAACACTTTCAGAAATCTCCACTTTCCGACTGCTGGCGTTCATTTTCTCACCGTCTTTGTCACACTCTCCTCTCCTCTCTCTCTTGCCTTTTTCCTCCTCATTCCCTCTCGTCTCCCTCCGCCCGCATGTGCTCTGCTGTGTGTCTGAGTCTGATCCTCCTTCTTCCCCACCCCTACTGCTCTGTGTGTGTGGACAGTCTGGACACGCAGTTGCACATGCTGACCAATTGCCTGTGGCTTTCACCAAAGCAAAGGGGGAGGGGGAGGGGACGGCTCCCAATGACGAGCTGGCTCCCGTCGTTCACTTCAAAGAGCCGGCTCTTAGAGCCGGTTCGTTCGCGACCGACACATCACTGGTAGACTCCAGTGTCTCTGTTAATGGTTGTGTCCACGTCTCCTTCTTTCTATCGCTTCTTTGATCCATCTTTTGTATTTTAGTTTAGAGTTTATGATCCGTGGTCCGTCCCAGTCCATTCTATGATTTTCTCTTGTGCTAAAGAGTGTTCAAATACAGCTTAACCTCCTTTTAGAAACCACAGAACAAGAAGCTGTGTTTACATCACTTTGCATTTGTGAATATAACTTGGTCAAAAGCAAAAGCAGGTTCATCACAAAAAGCAGATTCATGTTTCCTTTCATATTTAGTGCATTATTTAAATGAAGCTGGAAGGAAGGCAGTTGTTGTGGTAATGAAAATAGAATAGGTGCACTACCACTACTATTACTACTACTGCTACTACTGCTACTACTACTAAAATTTACCCAACTACTCCATTTCTGGGTAATCTCTTGGAAAATAGCTACTAATACGGGAAGAGGGTGGGAAGGAGATGTGAAATACGAGTTTCCCGGCAGCCAAAACTGGCAACTTGACCGGGGTGAAGCACGGCCATTGCAGAAGAGCAAGAAGTGGGTTTTAATCAGCACTTCTTACCAAGCAAAAAGGAGAATTTAGCTAAGTTTTACATTCAGTACTTCATTTGGTTTCCGCATCCTCAGGTGGTGGCTGGACTGTGATCCAACGGCGGATCGACGGCTCAGTGAGCTTTGACCGAAACTGGAGGGATTACAGAGACGGATTTGGCGATCTGCACTCAGAGTTCTGGTTGGGCAACAACCACATCCATGACCTTAGCACCCAGGGAGACTACAGCCTCCGCATCGACCTGGAGGACTGGAGCGTCCAGCACAAGCACGCTGTTTACCAGAGCTTCAGGTCAGTGCCTTGCAGTCACGTGTGACCCCTGCATGACGTTCTGTGCTATGATTTCTCCTTGGATGTCTACGTGTGCAGTGTGGAGGATGAGGATCATCAGTACCGTCTCCACGTGTCTGGCTTCAGCGGGACAGCGCAGGACTCCTTCAGCTGGTATCATGACAAGCAGGGCTTCAGCACGCCGGACAGTGGCAACATCTGTGCTGAGATCTCACATGGGGGCTGGTGGTACAACCAGTGCTTCTACGCCAATCTCAATGGAGTCTACTACCGGGTAAGAACCAGAACACCTCAACTTGACTTTTTAAAAGACAAAACTGTTGATGTCTTTATTCTGCAGGGAGGTCCTTACACCCCTAAAGGAAGAGGGCCACTGGGTCCAGATGGGATCGTCTGGTACTCCTGGAAAGACTCAGATTATTACTCTCTACGGAAAGTCAGTATGATGATCCGACCGCGTAGCTTCCACTCACATATGTCGCCCTGAATTATTGTAACCATGACAAGAGAGTGGAGACAGGAAGTAGCGTCCCTCATATGAGTGAGGGTGAGATTCTGAGACGAGAGCATGCTAGTGGTGCATCTAATGGGACTCCCTCTGTGTGGGAACAGAAATGGACTTTGGAAACAAACTTTATGCTGTAGTGTCCATTTCTTTCAGTCATGGAAAATGAATTTATTTTTATACAGCTTTTTACAGCTTGTTAGTTTGATGCTCTTACAGTAATAAGTACACAGGGATAGGTGTTTATCTGTTGAAGCTAATGCTTACTAAGTAAAAGGCACTTAAGTACAAATTACTATAACTAAGACAAATCAGTCATATGTATTTAGCAATTTGCTCTCTCTTTACCACCGCTCAAGTATATACAAGCAAATTTCCAAGTACTATGTACTGGTTTGGCTTAGTTACTTGTATTTGAGTGCATTTTACTTCTAAAAATTAATAGCTCCAACACTTACCTACCAACCTATTACTCAAGGCCGGATTAACCATATGGGCAACTGGGCAACTGCCCAGGGGTCCACGAACACTAAAGGGCCCAGGCCCAGGGCAGCAAGGGCACGAGCAAAATACTGTATCTGTAATCTCCTGCTTTATATTAAACTAGTGTGACCATGCGTCGTGTTTTCCCCGGACATGTCCAGTTTTCACTCTCTGTCTGGGCGTCCGGGGGGTTCTTGTATTGATGAAAATGTCCTGGTTTTCATCCAGGAGCAGGGATCGTATTATGGGGAGCGGGATATCCTACACATCCAGGGGATCCGGAAAAACGTTTTCTACCTATAATACATCCTTCATGGACTCTTTTGAGCAGAGAGCGGCAGAGCGCTGATCGTTGTTGCGCAGCGCTCTAGGCTGCTGCGTCCATCACACGGTCCATTCTCAAAGTGGCGCAACCAAAAAACTAATTAACACACGATCGTTCATGTCCGCACATGTTCTCTTCTTTCTGTCTTATTTGTGCCTGAAGCGCTCTGCCACTGTGGAGCTCATCGCCTGTGCTGTGGTGATTTCACCTCACTGACGCAGCATCGAAACGCGCTCTCCGCTTTGCGGTCAGGAGTTCCCTTTGATCTGCTCAAAAGTAACTGATGAGGTGAAAAGGTAAGAATCCAGGCAGCAGCTTTTCTGGAGAGTTTAGAGGAGATGCAGGAAGATGAGAGACAGACAGGACAGGAAATAGTTAAATAAAAACAAGAAAACAAAACAAAGTGTTGAAAAGTAAAATGTAGGTAGATTTATCTCGACACGTTTTTACCTGTATAAAACAATAAGTTACACACATGTCATATTTATACATCTGATACAATTCAGATCACCTTTAAAACTCAGTCACACACCCAGGGCCGTTTCAAGACATTTTGGGGGCCAAGGCAAAACAGAACACCCCACCCCCTGCATATTACAGTAAAATATTCTGTATGTGACCATATTATGGTGATCCTTGGGTCGTGATGATGGGGCCCTTTAATATTGTTGCGCAGGGTCCAACAAAGTGTTAATCTGGCCCTGTGCAATGAGTTTTCATGCTTTTGTCAAGTAAGGTTAACTAATCAGGTTTTACGGTGCACAAGTGTTCTTTTTTGTGGTCAGGGTGATGTGATTTTACGAAAGCCTCGACACAAAATCAATAAAAACAATTTTAAGGCCGTCTGATTTTCTAAATCTGTTCCTTTTTATTTTTTCTTGTAATGCTCAATGCCACAAGAGGCTACAAAGAGAAACAAGAAATGATGCTCATAATTCCTCTCACAAAATGTTTTTTAAAGGAGTTTGGTCAAACAAACAAAAAAATAAATTCCTTCTCATCTTTCAGGGCTTGGATTCTCCAGTATTATTATATACATATGTGAATATACTCAGTATTTTTGTATATGATGCACCAAGGGGCAAAGAAGATGTCATCCAACAGAGAAACGTGCTTTCACTATCAAGATGCTAAAGTTTGGAGCAAATCATGGACACAGAAAGTCTACTGTGTTCTGTCAGTGTTCGGTTTGAGGAATTATGTCCGTAAAACAAGCCGTTTCAAAAAGTCCCTTTTTGTGACATCACAAACAGGAAGATTAGCACAATATCACCTTGCATGTGCAAAGAGAGAGCTGCTGCTGGAGCTCCTCGCATATATCAGAGATTCTCAGCTTATAGCAGCCCGAGCAGGGTAGAGGTGGGCGTGGCCAACTCCAGCTTACTTTCTTACCCCAAAATTCCACTACCTCCGCTCCGCTCCGGTCTGCCCCCGCCCTCCGCAGCCGCTCGCTTCCGAACTCAATTTTTACTGCTACCCGCTTTACAACGGCTCCGCTCCGGTGCGGAGACCTGAGGTGGGCAAACAAGCATGCGCGGGATTTTCGAGATCTTGCGATACAGTCCGAGCAATAAACGCGGAAGTTAGATCCAAACACCCGTTGTGTGGGAGAAGCATCGAAATGAACTGTTTGATCGGCCTATCATTTGTGTTGAGAGATCAGTAGTGTTTGGATCAACAAAGTGTGAATACTTTGATAGTGGAAACTGTATTTATGGCTTACTTTTGTGCATTTAAACTACAGCCGCCACTGATAGTTGTTAAAAGTTGTTAAACCTGTGCATATGAAACAAAAAACGCCTTTTGTTTATCGATGTATTGTGAAAAACGGAAGTTGTGCTCGCTCCTTTTCCTGTTGGGCGTTTGTAATTTCTGTCCATTTACTGCGGAGGTGCTCCGGCGTCCGGCAAAAATAGGATCGATTCTATTTTTGCCGGACGCCGGAACAGAGGGCGGCGCACGGCGCCGCACTGCCGGAGCACGGCCGCAGTAGTGGAATTGCTCTGATTGACTACAACGGGACCGATTTTGCTCCGGCGTTCGTGTCGGAGCGAAGCGTAGGTAGTGGAATTTGGGGGTTAAAGTTACAGAGCCCCTAAACGGCTCATTCTGGAAGGTACTGAAAACATCAAGAATAAAACTGCTGAAATTGCTTCACATGAGACGGATTTAGAGTACAGAACTTCATGAACGTGTTTGGTATGGACCACAGAACTATTATAACATATGTAAAAATATATTACATATGTACAAGTTACACGTCGCCTTTAAAAAAAGAGAAATGAACAACTATTTGTTCTTACTGTAGTTTGTGCCAGATAATGACTAAACAATAAATTACATGTTTTCTATAAAAAATATGTGCAAATAATTTTTGTTTTATAAAAACAAAATTCTGAATTCAAATATGTTTAGCATGCTACAAAACTTAAAATTATGTAAAATATTTCATTCTAAACTGAAGTGAAAGACACTTTAGTGTCGGGGGGAACTCTTAAACAATATGAATAAATAGGAAAAGTATTTGTGATATTTCTGTGAAAGAAAGACCTTGAGTATTTTCAAAACCAATTTCTAACATATTTCTAACATTTCTCAAAATCCATTAACAGACAAAGTTGTGGGTTTAAATTAAAAAAGGGTATTTTAGGCTCAAACACGTCGCTGCACCTGATCGCAGCCACCGGCCAAATGAGACACCAAACTCTTTGTACAACAAACTGATTTTTATTCTGAGCCACGTCCAAAACTAGACTCAGCCCCAGTGAGGACATCCCAGTGAATACAAATCATTGTTTAACAAATCAACTGTTGCTCCTTATTCAATGACACTATATTTCTATACATAAAATATTGTAATGACAAAAACAGGCACCTGACAGCTCAATTAGAATACATATTTATATAAATTTATGCATATATATTTAAATGTATGAAGCAATAAGAAAACAAAAATTAGAAGCCAATTGAAAATGCAAAAAGCAAGAAAGTGGCATCATTGTCGACACTTTTACCTCAAACAACGATTCTAGTTCTTATTTCACATTTTCTTCTGTCATAATGAGAGAAACTCTGTGTGGTTGTAGATACAAGTAAGGGGCTGGAGCTAATAGGAGCACTTCTTAAAGTGGAGGAAGACCATTCAAGTAAAGCGGGAAGAAGGTGGAGTTTCCTGTTAGCTTTTGAGGAAACACGAGAGGGGAAAAGGGGGTAAGGCACTGCCAGCAGTGGACATGAAAAGGACAATAATTTGCTTTTGTCTGAATTCATAAAGAAACGTCGTTGACTCAGGCTTTATGAACATTAATGAACTTCTTTGTCGTCTCCAGTGAGAAATCAGAAAACAGCTTTGGGATCAGAAAGTCATTTAACCAGGTTTTGCAGACAGATGCCGTTTCCTGTATACCTGAAAAGAGCCTAGCATTCCTTCAGCAGGGTCAGGTGTGACGTTTTCACCCTAAAACTCGTCTATTAGATTCTAATATCACAGTTTACAAGGACGATGACTTCCTGTGTTACAAGCTGAGGAAGATGAACCGGAACAAAGGGTTTATGTACAATCCTCCAGCCAATCATCGTGTAAGAGCGGCGGTGGGAAGCAACAGGAAGAGGCGCGACGGTTGGCACAAGCAGGAAAAGATGAGTAAAGGAGCAGACGCCATCGGGGCGGTTTAGTCCTGTAGTGAGCCGCCGCTCACATCGTAGTGAACTGGCTGTGTGCTTGTCTCAGCTTGGCAGCGATCTGCGGAGTCCCAAAAGAAACGTTTCAGCCATAAAGTTTACTTCAACACATTCAAATCTACCTTTTGAGGCCTTTACTGTCTCGTAAAACGTGACTTGCTCCTCCAGGTACAACTGCATGACCCTGTTGTAGTCGTAGATTCGGTTGTTATGGAAGTGGTTCATCTCAGCTGAGTAGCAAAGAAGAGAAATCAGAGGAGCTCAGACTACGTAGGATGATAAACCGCAGCAGGGATATGTCTCAGACGGAGACAGAGTCTTGCCTTGTAAGGCGTAAGACATGGTGCTGAGACGTTTGGCCATGGTGCCTTTTTCCTGAGCGGTGATTTTATTGGTGCCCACCAGCTTGTCCCCCTCCTTCACCTTCTCGATCGCAGCCTGGAAGAGGAAAAACTCTTTTATTTCACCTGTTATTGCAGCGGTTTATGAAGCATCGGCTGATTTAACGTGTATTTCTTGTGATAAAGGTGAGTTTGTACCTTATGAACTGCGATGGTGTCTGGGAAACATCCTAGAAGACCTTTGTACTCATTGTTGGTCTCCATGAGGAAGTGAAGGTCTTTCTTTGGCTAAAAAAAAAAAAGAGACAAATAAGAAAAGATGAATGTAAAAGGGAAAAGGTGAGATCCTCGAGTAGGAACTGAAAATAGGAACAAAAACAGCCAAGTTTATCTCCAGGGCAGGAAGTCGTGGAAGAAGGTGATAAGAGAGAATGAAGGGAAGTTTTAAGTCACTCAGATGGCAGCCACACGGGTTCAGATGGACAGCGGGTAATCCACCTGCATCCTGGACCAGATGAAGTAAATATGTCCATCACTAAACTAGTCAGCATCAACACAAGCTTACCAAATGAATCCTTCATCTGGAAGCTGCTGAAGACACCAAAAAAGCCAAAAAACTTTATTACACACGACGACCAAGTTACCCTTTTATTTTATATTTTGCATCTAAATGGCAAAAAAGGGAAAGAAATATATAACACAAGAATAATAACTGTAAAACTATGTGTTTTTACTTTGTTGGCAGACTTGAAGTGTGTGTTCACAAACAAGAGGAGTTGCAATCACAGAAGTAGGGAGAGGGGCTTAAGGTGCAGTGAATTTTTCCACCTCTAGATGGTGTCCTCTGACAAAAATGACAGATTTCTGATTTAAAACAGCCAGATTGTTAAAGCTGCTGAACACGTGTCTAATCCATACATTTGCAGTGGTTTCTAGTAGGAATAAATGCCTAAATGTAAAACATACTCTGGGGCAGAAAAACACCAGTGCACCATTTTAAGGTGCTGGAAGTGAGCCACATCACTGCTGAGCTTCAGACGGCAGGTATTGGAGTCTTACTCCTGATATTTGGACATCAACTGACTTGCAATGTTGATGTTTTATCTCCACAAACATCACAACACTGGAGGAGTTCTGCTGTGTGGTGGAGTTGCTAATGCTAACGATTAGCTTCTAGTAGCTGAGACGTTCTCTGCTGTTTCCTGGAGGCTAAACCAACAACAGCCTTCCCCATCGTGAGTCAAGATGGGTGAGTCCATGAATGTTGAGCGTTTCACTCTCTTTAATCAGAATCTAATGCAGGAGATAGGTGTAGGAGACTATTTTCATGTTCAGTCTGCATGAAAAACTCAGATTGACTGATTATAATCAGTAATAATAATTAAAAAAATGTTTTTCAGTGTTCCACGCCTTTAAGGAAAACACTGACGAGTGAAATCAGGAGTAATCTAAACTTTGTACTGTGGTGCAGAATAAAGAGAAACAGGTTTACAGCTAATTTAGCACATTTTAAAAACGGCTGTGTTCAGGAAACATTTAGAGATACAGATGGTGTTAACTGCTGAGCTGAAAAACAAAGTCTAAGTGAAGCACTGAGAACCTTTAATAATCACTTACATATCTGCTTTGACAGAAAGCAGAAGACATGCAAATAACACTGAAAAAAACCTGGACAGAACTGAAACTGTTGAATCATTCTGCTTCATCTAAGATAGACAGACCGTCGTTAGCAGAAGAGACAAAGCCACAGAAATACAGCCTGATGTGGTTTGGACCTGAAACTGGGCCAGCTGCAGCAAAGAGAACTCTGCTACTTCTTCACAACGTTTCACATAAGAACCAACCTGTTCTGCCACCAACTGGGCGATCTCCTCGTACGTTTTCCCCGCCGCCGTCAAGGCGTCAGTGAGAGTGGACTCACCTGCAGAAGAGCAGGAATGAAGACGTTAGCCAACAGCATCTGTGCACCATTTGTAGCATCTGCTTGTCCTTAATTCTTTCTTCGGACATTTCAAAGGAAAACCTTTCCTCCGTACCTTGGTATCCACTGCTGGTGAAGACAGTAGACATGTTTTGGAAGGCTTTTCCTATTCTCTGGTATTCTTTTGGCAAAGCTGGAAAAAACAGCAGAGGGTGGATTAGTTCAAGTTTACAAAACACTGATGTTTTTTTTAAAAAGGCGTAAATAAAAATTAGAGTCTAAAAAGAGGCGTGGCCTGTGTGCGGTAAACACTCATTAAGTGAACGTACGTCCTGTGCATCTCTTCCAGTGCTCTTGTCCCACCGTCAGGATCTCCTTCACGCTGTCATCCATGGCTTTGGTAAACCGGCTGAACTGTTCACATTTCTTCTCCCTGTCAGAGAAAAATGCATGAGCTGAACTTCAAACACGACGTAAATCACTGCTTCATGAGGTCCATGAGCTTGATTTAACTCACACATCTAGAGGATCCAGGTCTGGAGCTTCAGGCTCTATCGTGCTAAAGATCATCACTCCAACCGTCTCATCCTTCTCTGCTTTTCTCTTGCCCGTCTTCCAGTCCTGCACCAATCATAGCATCTTCTCAGTCAGGTGATTAATGGCAACTACAAGCTAATGCTACACTTAAAAAGAAACCCCATCGTACCTTCTCATCCTTGTACGTGAGGAAGAGCTGGAATACTTCGCTGCTAGAAATAATCGGGTGTCTGCACATCCTGGTCATCCAACCCTGCAACCGCTCCATACGCATCTTAATAAACTCTTCTTCAAAACGACCTAAAACCATCGAGAATAGTCTTTATTCATTTGTAACTGAAACCTCATGATGAACCACTTTAGGGTGGGGTGAGGAGCTCACCTGTCACCTGCTTGTCCGGTAAGGACGGGATGGGGATGGCTGACCCAAACTTGTCCAGGAGCCTCTCATACAGCCAATCAAAGTGCTTGTATCTATGATTGACGGGACGATTTGTGGTCTGCAAACCAAGAACAAGGAGCAGGTTAGTAAAAATGATATAAGGTGGTTAGGATTAGCGATGGGTACCGAATTCGGTACTTTTTAAGGTACCGACCAAATTCCATAGTACCGACTGAGCACCGATTCACGTCATTTCAAACGGTGCCTCGTTTCGGTACCCGTCGTTCATAAAGAGAACTTGCCAAGACAGCTGCGCATGCGCAAGAGTGTTATGTCGTCGCTCGCTGCGAGCGAGTTGTAAACAGAGCAGCATGGTAGAAAGAACGCACGCTAACGCTTGGGTCCACTTCACTAAATGTGATGGGTAATTGGGTGATGATGAAACCAGCGACAACGATCTAAGTGAGACATCCTCATCTTAATCTGCTCGGGTAGGTAAATAAAATGTTTAAGATAACGTTAGCTTGATATGTTAGCTTCCATTGCCGCCATTGTTATCAGCTAATGGTGCGTTCGCTTTCTCTTCGGAAATTCTAACTTCCCAGTAGGAAAAATCAAATGAAAAAGGACAGCAAAAGGAATGAAGATACACGGTAAATTTAGTTCACAGTAAAGATGTTTGCTTCAGTTTAATTATCAGCTTATAAAACTACAAGGACGATGTTAAAATACAAACAGTTGAATGTTATTTATCGTGATATTTATCAATTATGGTCATATACTGAGAAAAATATGTATTTTATTATAAAAGAGAATTAAAATATTAAACACTCAAAAGTATCTAAAACTGGTACGTTAGGTACCGGTATCAATTCGTAGGTACCGGGACTTTGTACCGGATCGATTCAAATGTCAAAGGTACCCATCCCTAGGGATGGAAACGGTTCTGCATGCTTACACTGGCGGTGATTTGGTACTCGATGTAGCTCTTGAGGCCGTACATCTTTGAGCCTTTTTTGGGATCAGCTACGACACAGTCCAGCTGGGTGTCGGGGTAGGACCACACTGGGCCGACCTCTCCCATCTGCACATGGAACAGACACAAAAGCACACACAAACACATCAAACTTAAAGGCACACTTTGCAGTTCTGCTTGCTTTAAGCACCCCGTAGTGTCCACTATTAATCATCGGTGGTCAAACCGAAAATGAAACCTCCTCGCTGTGCGTTTGTCTTTTTAACAACTTAATCACTAAAATGATAAATGGTAAATGGCCTGTATTTGATATAGCACCTTCTAGAGTCCTGGAACCCCTCAAGGCGCTTTACAACACAATCAGTCATTCACACATTCACACACTGGTGGTGATGAGCTACAGTGTAGCCACAGCTGCCCTGGGGCGCACCGACGGAGCCGAGGCTGCCGAGCGCTGGCGCCACCGGTCCCTTCGACCACCACCAGCAGGCAACGTGGGTTAAGTGTCTTGCCCAAGGACACAATGAGAGCGACAGACTGAGCGGGGCTCGAACCTGCAACCTTCCGATTACGGTGCGAGCACTTAACTCCTGTGCCACCGTCGCCCACTAAATTAAACAAATCAGCTGAAACATCTCCACAGCCTTCATTATGGTCCACAGGAGTGATTCATCACTAAATTAAACAAACCAGGTGTGATACCGATCTCAAACATGCAGGAAATGTCCTGGAACCAGACTGCAGCACCAGGTAAGTCCGCTCCATTTTTCTCTAAGTCCAACAGGTGGCGGATCGCCAGTCTGAAGTTGCAAATACGGTATTCTGGCCACAGAGGGCAGTGGGGGTCTGACCACCTTGTAAAGAGTCATTTTAGCACATACTGGCTCAAGAAAATAATTGAAAAATATGAAAGAGTTGCATATGGGAGGGAGAGGATCGGTGCTGTGTACTTCAATCAGATGAAGCTAAATTTTGTACTTTTTTAAATCAATTGTACAAAATTGTATCAATATTTAAGGAAAACTAACATAAACCTACATATATTGTCAATTTCTCTTTTTCTTTTGGAAGCTGCTTGCAGAGAAGGTAGAGCTCAGGACCCGACTTGGAGAAACCTGGAAACCTGTAGAAAGAAAAAAAAAATTCTTCACTCTTACACCTTTTTGGTGTTAAAAAAATACGTGGACAGGTTTTTCTCTGCCTCATAACTCCTCACTTATTGAGGGATATTTTCATCGATGTTCCTCCTCTTTGTATCGCTCCACTTTCTCCTGACTCGGATTCTGCATAACCGCCAGTGGACTTCATGTCATCCCATTCATCGTCCCACTCGTCCAACTCGGCGCCTGCGGAAGGATTCACGAGTTGTTAGTGTCATACAACACAAGACCTTAAAGTTAACTTTTTATCGATTCTTAAAGGGAAACAAACCAGGTTTCCTTCAGATTAGTTTGTTTTTACTGAGCTGAGAGCATGCAGCCTTGTGGAGCTTGTTGGCCTCAATAGCCTGAAACCAGAGTCTAGCTATAACAGTCCACCACATTTCAGTTCTGGTGTTGCAGTGGGTAAAACTTGTACCTGGGTACGGTTGTTTATGACGGTATTATAAAAAGCACACATGCATCCTTTGGTTGATGCTCACACAGAGCCTCTAAATCAGCTGCCAAAATCAGTTTCCACTTCTCAGTTTTGCACAACAGACGTAAGTGGTTCAACCTGATTTTCTGACAATATTTGCACTGAAAAGGTTGAGAAACTCTAATTTGATCAGTTTTCTTGCATGCATTTAGTCAGATTAATGCCAAACACAAAACCACACATCTGAGTTTACTTTTTAATATTAACACAGTAAGAACTGAGGCTGTATTTCTGCACCTCTCTGCAGAGATACAATGCATTTCAATACAAAACACTTGAACAAACACGTTTTCATTTTACAACACTTAATGAGGTCATTCTTAAATTTCACACGCTGTTAAAAACAAAGAAATCTTTTATAGCTGTTCACACACGAAACATCCACCAGACAATAAGCGAATACCTGTGTAATCGATAAGGTAGGGGTAAGGGTAGATGTCTCTGACTAAAAAGGGGAAAAGGAACAGGTTATTTTTCTTCTCCCAGCAACATTGTTTACTTTCTCCTTTCAAAAAAATAAGCGGAAACTTTAAAATCCAGATGAAGCGACTTGTCTATGAGTCATTTAGTGAGTCGAACTTTTCCACAGGAATTCTGCCCAGATGGCAGAGTCCACATGCTGGAGCAGCCCAGAGTAGGACTTCTAAAAGGAGACATTAAAGTAACACTGGACAGTTTTAACACTTTCAGCAATTCCTTCAAAAGTAGGTTTGAGTGATTGACCATCTTCATCCTGAAAAGGCCTCTGCAGTAGAGCCCTGCACTGAAGCCCTAGGCCCTCGGGTCGGCCCGACGGCCCTCGGGCCAACGACTGTGTAATTACCTCGGACACAGGCCGGGCGCTTTTATTTTTAATCGAATTCATAACAAAAAAAGAAAAGAAAAAAATGAAACACTTGAACACAGCAGCACCTGCCTGCTTCTCACGCACCGGCACCGTTAACTCAGTTAAGGTTTGTGTGGTTTATAAATGCGCCTATATAAACGAATTCTCAAACTGCTGATTGAAACATGTGCCCCTATTCTAATATGCCATTTTATGTCCACTTTGATGTGTCAGAAACCGTTTGTTTATTCTCATGAAAACGGCAGCATTCTATTTTTCTGTGAATAAATTCGCTCTGCAGTTAAAAAAAAAACAGCATTCATTGCGGTTTTCTTTTTCTAACTGGAGAGCGCATTTTCAGAGCGGCAGATTAAATTTACAAACGCTATTATAATTGGGGGCATTTATTTAATCTGCCGTTCTGAAAATGCGCTCTGCAGTTAGAAAATTAGAATGCTGCTTTTTTTTCTAATTGCACAAGAGCGCATTTTCAGAGCAGATTACATTTACAAACGCATCCAATTAATATAGTGTTTGTAAATTTCATCTGCCGCTTGAAAAATACGCTCTGTTAGAAAAAAAAGCTGCATTGATGCTGTTTTTCTTTATTTCTTTTTTTTCTTTTTTTTTTTTACTGCAGAACGCTTCTCGCAGAGAATTAGAATGCTGAGCATCCTATCACGCTAAAACATTATGAAAGGTTAAAAAAAAAAGTCGGGCTTGGGCTCGGGCCAGAGAATCCTGAAAACCTTTTCGGACCGGGTCGGGCTGGGGCTCCACCCCCTCGGGCCGGGCTGGACACGGGCTCTAGCAGCCCTCTGCTGACCTCATACTGCACTTAACGGTTTTGTGGAGCAGGTAGGTGTTCTAGAGGCTGCATGGTGGTGCAGTGGTTAGCACTGTTGCCTCACAGCACGAAGGTTGCACGTTCGAAACTCGGCAGCGGCCTTTCTGCGTGGAGTTGCGTGTTCTCCCCATGCATGCGTGGGGTTTCCTCCGGGTACTCCGGTTTCCCCCACAGATCACAACATGCCCTATAGGTTATAAATTGTAAGTCGCTTTGGATAAAAGTGTCTGCCAAATAAATAAACATAAACATAAAATTAGAGGGTGCTCTTTACCTGCTTTATGGCTGTTAGCTGTAATGCTAGTGGTTAGCTTTTTCGATTCACTGATCATCAATAAAAAGTAGTAGAAGAAAAAAAGTTTGTTTGTTGTTGTTGACATCGTGGCTGAGCCCGGAAGTAAAAGTAAGAGAGTAATGTCTTCTGAGGCAAAGCAAATCACTAAAACCGGAGTGCACATCATATTAAGAGGCTAATGTTAGCGTTAGCTCGTTGTTAGCGCTAGCTACAGCAGGGTTGTTTATAATTCCCCTTTCAACCAGCAGGGCAGAGAAGGAAATGATGAATGACCCGCACTTGTATAGCACCTCTCAGAGTAAGGACTCCAAAGCACTTTACACTACAGTGTATCATTCATCCATTCACACACTCATTCACACACCGATGGTGATGACCTACGATGTAGCCACAGCTGGCCTGGGGCGCCTGACAGAGGCGAGGCTGCCGAGCACAGGCGTCACCGGCCCCTCCGACCACCACCAGCAGGCAAGACGGGTTAAGTGTCTTGCCCAAGGACACAACAGCAGAATTCTCTGTCCGGAGCCGGGATCGAACCTGCAACCTTCCGATTACTGGACAACCCGCTCAACCTGTTGAGCTGCTGCCACCCCAAACAGCTTAGTGTTACTTTAAAGATCTAATTTATATTGTGACAAGTTTAAACTTTATTTTTATGAGTTATGCATGAACTACTCATAATTTAATTTTATGTTTCACTGGCCTAAAAACACATTTAAAGCCGGTAAAATATTTCATTCCAAGCATCCTTAAACGTTTTTAAAATGATGTCTTTTAAAGAATTTGGTCCAGAAACTGGATTTTATAATAATAATGACAGGTACATTCACCAGTTTGGGTACATTAGCGTCTGTTAGCGAACCAGAAATAGCCGCTGTGGGTGAAGCTCTGAGACAGATGTCTTCTACAGGAGTTTATTTAATAATGAATAAACACATTTGCAGATTCACCAAAGACACACGCAGCTTGTTTCTTGTTGCTACAGATGCAGATCACATGCTCGGCTGTTTCAAACAAGATCTTTGACTCCTATAGGAGGACAGTTTATGGGGCTTACTCCACAGAATACAGCCACACATCCACATGACTATCCATTTAGCTTCATTCAAATGTATTATCTTTGTTTATGGTTCCAGAGAGCATTCCAGCTGAACATAAACACTTTATAAAGCCAGTTAAGTAACGTTTACAACATTGGTGTGAGTTGCCTTTCTTTGGTGTTGCTGGAATCTTTAATAAGTAAAGGAATTAAATTTACACAACTAATAGTCAGATCGAGCTTTCGTGTCTCAATTATTTTATTTAGTCAGGAATTTCCTTCTAAGTTTTCATCATTTCTAGTTTATGTCAATATTATGTTTTTGTAACCATAAAAAATTCAAAGTTAACAGTTGAAAATAAAAACTAAAAGGATGAATTTGACTTTTGTGTGCCACGTATTTAATTGAATAATCAATAAATTAAGAATATTGATATAAAATAGTTACTGGTGGCAGCCTTAGGTATGACACTGGTTTAACCCCAAAATTCCACTACCTCCGCTCCGGCACGAACTCTGCAGCAAAAACGGTCCCGTTGTAGTCATTCAGAGTTGTTCCACTACTGCAGTGCGCCGCCCGCCGTTCCGCCATCCGGCAAAAATAGGATCGATTCTATTTTTGCCGGACGCCGGAGCACCTCCGCAGTCAATGGACAGAAATCACAACCGCCCAACAGGAAAGGGAGCAAGCACAGCACCCGTTATTTCACAATAAATCGATAAACAAAAAGCATTTTTTGTTTCATATGCACAGGTTTAACAACTTTTAACAACTATCAATGGCGGCTGAACTTTAAATGCACAAAAATAAGCCATAAAAAAGTTTCCACCATCAAAATAGTCACACTTTGTTGATCCAAACACTGCTGATCTCTCAACACAAATGATGGGCAGATTAAACTGTTCATTTCGATGCTTCTCCCACACAACGGGTGTTTGGATCTAACTTCCGCGTTTATTGCTCGGACTGTATCGCAAGATCTCGAAAATCCCGCGCATGCCTGTTTGCGCACCTCAGGTCTCTGCACCGGAGCGGAGCCGTTGTAGAATGGGTACCAGTGAAAATTGAGTTTGGAAGCGAGCGGCTGCGGAAGGCGGGGGCGGAGCGGAGGTAGTGGAATCTTGGGGTAAGTCTGCTATCCATGACAGCTCAAAACATGCAACTAAGCATAACGTCCTTTTAACGGTCTGATGAAATGAGTTCTGCAAAAGGAAAGGTGCTGCATGAAAAGACCAGGAATCCACACATACAGTTTCAGCTCCTGAGAAAATAAAATCAGTTTTCACCTGGGCCTTGGTACGCCTGAGGGTGGCCCTGCGATGCAGACCCCCAGGGGTCAGCGGGAGTGCCCTCAGGATTGGACGCCCAGTTGTTGTTGAAGCCCCCTGATGAATCTGCATTCCACACCGACCAGGGATCATTGCCATTGCTGGCCTGTAAGACACATAAAGAAGAAACTGTGAGGAATGAAAGGCAGGCCTGTACTGGAGAAAAAAAAAAGGGGTGGGGGGGGGTGGGGGGGACAGACAGAGTCTGTTTCATAAGAAGTTGACAGTTGTCTTAAAACAACATGCTTTTCCAAACACGTGAGCAGATCTGGCCCACAGCAGGGACACACTCTGAGAGATAACTCATCGATGTGCTGCAACTGCTAACGAACCTCTAACAGGACTGACGTGTGCACGTTTGGAATATGTTAGTGTTGGTGATCCCAAAAACGCACGGCATGCTTTAAAACTCGCAGGCAAAGGCATGCAACAGTGTGTGTGTGTGTGCGTGTTGCAGGTGAAAATGACCATAACCCCGGGTTTCCACAGGAGCCGTCAGCAGCACGTTACTGCAGCAGCACGTCACAGCTGCTGATAGGAACCGCTGTGGTCAAAAGAACCTTTTCCACTGGAGCCGTCAGCAGCCGTCAGCAGCGCGAGTCGGCCGCGTCTCAGGAGCAGCATGTCGCGGCCTTTACGCGCCGGTTCTATTTTCTACGCGCGACGCCTCTGAAACGGGTCAAGTTCGACATTTTTGGGGAAGGAAAGACAGGAAATCGGACGCGGAAATGGAGAGAAGCTCCCGAGATTTTCAGAATAAAGAAACGTACTTCCTTCCGGTTGCTTCACTTTTAAAAAAGGTTACTAACTGTGCGGCCCTGTGAGAAGTTATCACCTAGCTAGCGGTCTCCTTTGTTTTTCAGGTCCGTATTGGCGATTATAAAACGGACAGAACATAAAACACAAACCATGTTGTAGTTTTCTCCTGCTTGTTGTTGTGTTTACTGACGAAGTCACGTGCTCGGTCGGTGACAGCTGCTCCCCTGCTGCTACGCGTCTCGTGGGAAGGGCCAAGCAGCAGCTTACGCAAGCAAGACGTGCTGCTGCAGTAACGTGCTGCTGACGGCTCCGGTGGAAACCCGGGGTAATACAAACGCGGTTTCAGAGCTGGAATGTCACCAGCAAGGGAACAGTAATGCAGCTAGAACTTCGTGTGTGGAGTTTAAAAAATAAATCAACACGTGATTGGCATTTTAATAAATTATGAGAGCAAAACTGATTCAGTTGTGTGAGATTTAAGGAGATGACTGAATAAATGGTGCTAATTCACATCATTCAGAGTGGATTTGATTGGTGTGATGTGTGTGTCAGCACTGATGTGAATGAAGAAGGCGAGATCATGCTTTCTTTGGTTGTTTTTGGAAAAAAGCAGACCAATCAGATGGTTTTGGGGTGAGGGGTGAGGACAAGAAGGCTTGGACTAATGCCTCTTGCTCACCCCCCCCAAGCGGCGGTTACCTCCTCAGGGGACGAGAGAAAGGGGGAAAGTGGGGTGTCGGGGGAGTCCGGCAGGGCACTCAAGGCCCCAGCATCCACCTTGAGGGGAACAGAAGGTGACATCATCACAAAGCGCCTGCGGTGCAGGTGAATACTGAGTGGGGGTGAAGCTTGCAGGAGTGTGCTCAAGTACAAAAGCTGACACATTTCCTGCTGTGGCTCCTATTTTTCACTGATCCAGCAGTGTGCACCCTTTTTTTTTTATTTCTGGAACTTCCTGGCTGCTGAACTCCAGCGAGCTCATTTCCTTCCTGCCCGGCATTACTAAAGCTAAAATCTGCTATGGTTGGAAATAAGACCTCATACAGCAGCCACTCTCACTTCTGCATCTGAGGTTCACAGGAACTGCAGAAACATCAGAAGAATTTGGTCATCAACTTCTACTTTTGTGGCTTTTCCTCCAACGTCACCGCTTCACACACGTTTGTGAAGAACCTTCAGCATGTGGACGATTACACTTTATGTGTCTGAAGTGTGGTTTCAAGCACCAGCTCCTTCATTACCTGGTTTTGGGCGGGCGTTGACGCAGGTGCAAATGCATCGAAGATGGATAGATCCTGCGATGCTATGTTTCCTACACTGGGAGTAGGTGCGGCGGTTCCCGCTCCTTGGAATGCAGGAAACTGCTTATTGAGCTACAGAAAAAAGGGACAGACAAAAGAAGAGAGATTTAATGATTTCTAAAGGAACAATCCACGATGGCAACATAATCATCTCCTTGGCAGTCCTCTCCTGGATTTGCAAACAATGACAGCACAAGCTAGCGACCAACGCACATGCTTCGCTGCTTACGACTGCAACTGAGCTGGTCTTAAATTTGTCATTAGAATAAAACACAGAAAGTCTCGGAATTAAGATGTCTTTATTTATTTCAGACCATTCTCTTATCTGTAAACCTTTAGAATTTGGACACAGAATCAAAAAAGAATCTGGTAGAAGGCAACACACATCCACATGAAGCTGGTGGTTTCCATCAGTCTCTCACATGTAAACACAGACACGACCTGCAGAAAGTGTTTAGAGATAAGCTAAACTGTTAGCATCACAGACTCGACTTTTAATCAGACTTGGCATCCAAATGATGAGGTCAGAGTTACTGAACACACAAAAACACTATAGTCAGCAAAATCTCTGAAGGAGCCGCATCCTGTTATGAACGTCAGGCAAGAAACAGCCAAACTGTGTGTGTACACGAGCCCAGATAACACCAAAATAGCACGTTAGAGCGCAGATTAAAAAAGTAAACTATATTTGTGCTCTGATCCTTCGCCTAACGTGTTAGCCTTAAAACATACAACAACTGTTATTGTTGTAGTTGTTGCTGATAAAGTACTGTGTGTGCTGTAAAACATCTGCTGTATCACTATCGGAGAATCTTACCTCAATGTAATCTTCAGGCACCAGTCCAACCTGCCCTTTTGAGTTCTGTGCTTCAATCCAGCCACCTCCGATGCTCTGAAATAAAGTCAAAACCAGCTAAACGAGTGTCTTTAATGGACACACACCAGTGGAAATAACATTATAACTAGTATCTGCAACTCAAAGTGCACTGCAGTTTAGTGCTCTGTGTTCATCCCTAAGAGCACATTTTATATCCAAGTTCTCACTATTTTTCCACACCAGGTCAATCTCTGTTTGAAGTTTGACACCTAAAGCTCTAATTCACTCAATTTTTCGATATATTTGCTGTGGTATGTAGGATAAGTTAATGTCTTGTGAGTTGTTCTGTATGGGAAAAAAAAAAGCTCTGGTGCACCCGTTTCAGTAAGTAGAAGTTAGCCGGAGGAGCAGAGATCAGAAAACAACAGGACTTGGGAGTCTTACTCATTAATATCCATGACATATGATCATATAGTCAGAGATAGAAAGTCATTTTGGATTGAGATATTGTGCTGTATGGATGGTTTTGGGATGAGGATCAGCACCTCCAAATCTGAGACCATGGTTCTCGACCGGAAAAGGGTGGCTTGCCAACTCCGGGTCGGGGTCCTACCTCAAGTGGAGGAGTTTAAGTATCTCGGGGTCTTGTTCACGAGTGAGGGTAGGAGGGATTGGGAGACCGACAGGCGGATCGGTTCAGCGTCTGCAGTGATGCGGACGCTGAGCCGATCTGTCGTGGTGAAGAGGGAGCTGAGCCAGAAAGCCAGGCTCTCGATTTACCGGTCGATCTACGTCCCAATCCTCACCTATGGTCAAGAGCTTTGGGTAATGACCGAAAGAACGAGATCGCGGATACAAGCGGCCGAAATGAGTTTCCTCCGTAGGGTGGCCGGGCTCAGCCTTAGAGATAGGGTGAGGAGCTCGGACATTCGGGAGGGACTCGGAGTAGAACCGCTGCTCCTCCGGATCGAAAGGAGTCAGTTGAGGTGGTTTGGGCATCTGGTCAGGATGCCTCCTGGACGCCTACCCGGGGAGGTGTTTCGGGCATGTCCTGCCGGCAGGAGGCCCCCGGGTCGACCCAGGACACGTTGGAGAGGTTACATCTCCAATCTGGTCCGGGAACGCCTTGGGGTCCTGCCGGAGGAGCTGGTGGACAAGGCCGGGGAGAGGATGGCCTGGAGCTCCCTAATTGGGATACTGCCCCTGCGACCCGGACCCGGATAAGCGGAGGAAGGCGACGACGATATATGATCATCTCGCCTCTGATTGGCTAACAGTAACATGACTCTTCCACTGCCTTGATTTGCTCTGCAACGTTGATGTTTTATCACCCAAAATAACACAAGCCTGAAGGAGTTCTGCCATGTTGTGGAGTTGTGAATGCTAAAGTTAGCTTCTATTAGCCGAGACGTGCTCTGCTCTCCTGGACACTAAAACAACAACAGCCTTCCCTGTCGTGAACCAAGATGGGTGAATCCATGAAGGCAAATTTACAGTGTGACGTAGATCTGTAAGTCTTTTCTGACCCGAGCATTTCCTCGTCTATTTTCCACTGGCGGCTAATGCAGGAAATAGAGGTAGAAGACTATTTTCATGTTCAGCCTGCCTTTTAAACTTCATGACTGTTGGTATTTAAAAGATAACAAGTACAAAACAGTTTCTTAGCGAACTTGCTCTTTAAAAAACTACCTTGATTATGTCTTACGATTATTTTTTTAAAGAGCGAGTCACCCCCTACCAGAGTATTACTCCACTCCCACTTCATGTTAGAAAAATGCAACAAATGCTGTTGCCTAGCAGACCGAGAGGGCGGAGCCGCTATCAAATACACACACACACACACACACACACACACACACACACACACACACACACACACACACACACACACACACACACACACACACACACACACACACAGGCTCACAACGACATTGTGACATCATATGGTAACAGCTAACGTTCTAGGGCTGTTAGCCAATAGCGGTGGCAGATTTAAATTCTACTGCAGTGCAGAGTTTTTACCAGACAATGGCACAACACAGACAGTTTTAGGCAGAACATTTAAATTTTAACTAAAATGCACTAAAGTGAAAAACTTTTGACTACATGTGTCTGCAGCACGATTAGACACGCATTCATATAGTTTATCAGTAAAAAAAAGTTGATTTGGGGGTGACTTGCTCTTTAAATACACGACTAAGAAAGGCTTTATTTATGTTGGTGAAAAGTTCGGTTAGAAGTTCACACACTGCTTTAATGAGAAGTTATAATGTCGTTGCTCAGCAGAAGCACCGTCTGAAGAGACTCGCTATATATCTACGGAGACACCAGCCATTTGAGTTTGTGGGAAAACAGCCTTTAACTTTAATGAAACACCTTTATATCTATCACGTTTGCTTCATTAAATTATCGTCTTCTCTCCTTGAGTTAAGCATACTTTTTCATTACTCTGAACTCCCAAAATAGAGCTTAAAAAGTTTGGACGATGCCCTTCATTTCAAGGACATCTGGGCTGATAGCTGAAGAACAAATCAGATCCACAACAAAACATTTAGATAGAAGTGAGGAGTTTTGGATAAAGCCAGGAAACAAAAACCTAGTTAACTATAAACCTACCCGCTACAGGACAATCTCACCTATCGATACAGCTGCTCCTGATAGATTAGTCAACTATGCAGGTCAGTAAACTTTGAACTTTTGGCGACCTACAGCAGTGACACCATAGTTGCTCAGGTTTTATAGTGACAACACTTCATTACGACGTGAGATCATGTGTTCTGTAATGTAGTGTGCACACAGAGACGCAATTATAAGGCCAACAAATGAATAAATTATAATGTGAGCATCTGAAATTCTGCATTTTAGGAGTTTCAGTAAAATTTACCTGGTTGGTGATGGTGACGGTCTCACCTTCTCTCACTGTCAGCTCATTGTTTCCAGGCTCAGCTGTGAAGTCGTATAAAACCTGTGCCTGAAAAGCAATCAAGAAGGAATCCATTAAACCTAGAGGATGACTAATGGGACTGGTGTGTGTTTGTGTGTGAGCTAACACACGCTGGAACACTTCAAGGTCTTTAGCAAACTACTATCAGCAGGGGGAAAAACAGGCCAAACTAGTTCTTTTAGTCACTTTCTGAAGAGTGATTACAAAATTCCAGGTTTAACTGAAGTAAATCTGGTGTATTACAGCAGCCTAGACGTTCTCTCACACTGACCCACATCTACTAATATGTTCTTTCCCCCTCAGCAAAAGCAAACACACATTATTTATTCATCAGCAGGAGAAACTTCTCCCTGCAGGTCGTGAGTCTCTAAAAGAATCAACTAGTAATTGTTCATTAACCAGAGAGGCTGAATGCAAACCAGAACAAAGATTTTACTTTATGCCCACCTCCAAAAAGCCGGACAGATGTTTTTAATTACATAAAGGGAAAGTACCTTAGTTCTGCTAACATGGCAGAGTAATCTTCCTTAGAAGGTGCCATGAAAGCTTATGCACAGATTTGCTTTAACTTGAAATTCCACTCAATTTGTGTTCTTGTATTATTTTAGGTTTTTAGTTTTTGCATGTTAGATTTTCTATATTCATTATTAACGTACATTTACACTTATTTGTCAACTGAATAAGGTTTACCTAGCTTGAAACGGCACACATATACTAGTTGGGATTATTTCTAACAATATTTTTAAATGTATCAAACAAAAACATTAATTTTGCTAGACTTTAGCTAGAATTTTGCATTAAAATATCAGTATTTAATAGGATTTTTCCCATGAAAATATAACTATAATGATCTGAAGAAAATATGTATAGTTATTATATTAAATAGCATATTTTAATTTCACCACCATGGGAGACAAAATTGTATTTGCTGAGTTTAAAACATCAACCAGTTTTCTTTATCTTTAAACGATTAAATTAATAATAATCCAGCTCAAATTCTACATAATGTTGTATGCATCTACATTTTGCCAAATAATAAACTATCTAGTACTCATTGATCATTTAAAAAGCTTTCCAGCAGGATGTAGCTGCAAAATATGAAGTTCATTGAAAAGAACTACAAATATACCATCAATTACCAATAAAATGTTTAAAGTAATGAATAATTGAAAAGATACTAAATTCTATCTATTATAATTTAAATTTATATGAAGTTTCCTGTTTATCTGAGTAATATCTTCAGTTTATAAAGCTAAAATGACTTATTTAGTCATGCTTTGACCACTTCTACTAATGAGCTACATTTCCCAGAATGCAACTGGTGCAGCAGTGACCCGTAACGGGAGGTAGTAAAATGTCACAAGACACTTTTTACTGAGACACTTTCTCCAAGTTTAGCATAAAATAAGACTTTTGTGTGTAACACACAAGCATGTACCGATTACGACGTTATTATTAGTCATGTGACGTGTGTAGTTCGCTGAGTGTTGACTAGAGAAACTACAACTCCGAACATTTACTAAACAACTGTTGTCAGCTGAATCTACAGCAGGCTGTTACAGCTAGCTTAGCAGTATGAAAACACCCCAGAAGAAGTTAGCAGGCTTACCTTTAGCGCCATGGCGGCAGCATTGATTAATTATTTAAAAACAAACCAAACAAGCCCAGCGGTTTTCAAGATTTCCAGACCTCAGCTGGTCATTTCCCCCCCTCCTCCTCTTCGTCCCCGCTGTTCTTCCAACTGAAGGCGGACAAAAATACTCCTCTTCGCCCCGCTCGGACAACGCCGTGACACAGATAATAACTTATAAAAACGGGTTGTTGTTTAAGAAAACCGAACAAGGTGGGAAATAAAGAAGGGTAAAGGAGAGGAAACTTGTTCAGGGAGAAGTTTGAACCGCGCAGAGAGCTGCTGACAGCACAGAGGAGGGAGTGACCAGTGATAGGGCGAGAAACCGGAAAGGTAGTCCAGGTCCAACATGGCTCACAGAAATAAAACAGGGTTAGTCTGAGAAAAAGAGAATGAAGTGGAAATGTCATATGGAAAAAAAACTGTTACAAATTTTATCACTTCTATAGACAACTGGAAGCTCTAAAAGCTCTATAATCGTGTTTTAACCCATACGTATACAAATGAACACGTTTTAATTGTGATCATGGTTTTTTTGTGTGTTTTATCCTATAGTTTATATTTTTTGTAAAACCACGTTGTGTACTGACAGTTCTGTAGCTGACAGCTCAAAACGAGTGACCTCACCCTGAATCCATTTCTTAGTGTCAAGTCGCCCCCTGCTGGTTTTAAATTGTCTTTACACTGTACACCAAATTTTCAAGCGAATGAATGAATGTGTATTTTGATGCATTTCTGCACATTTGAATCACTTGTGCATTCACAGCAGTAAGAGTTTTATACAGTCACCATAATCAAACTAGACAGAAGCTAGTGCTTATTCACGCATATCCCGGTTTATTTGCGGAATACAATAAAAGAGGTACATCTAAATTAAATGATTCGCAAAGTAAGAAGAGATTAAAATAAATGGTAGGATGTTCTAAACTGATCAAATTTAAGTTCTAGAAATAACATCATAACAAAATTAAGCATGGACATTATGTGACATGTTGGTAGGAAAATATCAATATGGCAATACATCGTGATATTTTTCCCAGCAATATCGATATTCAAAAGCTGTGTATCGAAAATATAAGATAAGATAAGATAAGATAAGATAAGAACAACTTTATTTATCCCGAGGGAAATTCTTGTGTCATGTACATGCTCAAAGCAGTCGGAGAGACAAAGGAACAGGTGAAATAGAAATATGATATACAATATATACATAAAAAAGATCTACAGTAGTACCATGTAGGATAGTGCAAAGCAAACAATCGCATATCTCAATAATTAAATACATGACTGCATCCTTGTGAATAAGTAATTAAGCCGTCGGTGCAGGCGATTCACAAAAGTGATTAAAGTATTGTGTAATAGAATATGGGTTTGTAGCAGCATATGATATGATGGGGGGATAAAAACATATTTACAATCAGAACTCTTGGGTAATATTGCACAGTCAGTGAGGGCACAGAGTAACCTAGGTAACAGTATTAGGAGAATCACCTACAGGGTGAGGAAGAGTTAAACAATCCTATTGCCACCTGTACAAAGGATTTCCTGTGGCGGTCAGTTCTGCATTTCGGGGCAATGAGTCTTTTCCTGCTTGTGCTTCGATGGTCCATCATGTGGGCGTGCATGGGGTGGGAGGGGTTGTCCATGACAGAGAGAAGCTTTTTTAGCATTCTCCTCTCGACATCTCCTCCAGGTTCTCCAGTCTAACACCCAGGACAGACCACAATATATCGTGAATTTTCCCCCTGCAATATTACATCTGGTTGTTAACATCTACCAGGAGGTCTGAACATATTACACCAGTCCTACGTGCCTTGCATTGGCTCCCTGTTTTTTATCGCATCAGGTTTAAGGTCATCCTGTTTGTGTTTAAGGCGTTAAACACAGGGGCTCCTAAATATCTTTCCGATATCATCCACCAGCATGTCCCGGTGCGTTCCCTTAGGTCAGCTGACCAGAGATTACTAACTGTGCCTAGGTACAGCCTGAAGTCCCGTGGTAGTCGAGCTTTTTCAGTACTTGGACCAAGTCTCTGGAATGAGCTGCCAGCTGATGTAAAACAGGCCACGTCATTAGAAACTTTTAAAGGAAGACTGAAAACACATCTGTTCTCGCTGGCTTTTGGACGTTGAAGTTGGGGGAAGTAGGCCGGATATGGACTGTGAACTGGCACTCAGGTTTTTGTTCTATATTTTAAAATGGATTTCTTATTGTATTTTTATAGGATTTATTACGGTATTTTACAGGGATTTCTTAGTGTATTTTAATGGATTTATTAATGTATTTTAATGGTCATATCTCTGTCCTGTTGTGTTGCATTTTATTGATGTACAGCGCTTTGTTTGTCCATTTTGGCCATGTGAAAGCGCTCTATAAATAAAGTTGACTTGACTTGACTTGACATCTATATTCAAAAGCTGTGTATCTAATTTTTGGAAGAATTTACATGCAAACGTGTGTATTTTCTTGTCTTTTTGTGCAATTCAAACACCGACCACTAGGTGGCAGCAGTGTGCAATGGGTTTTGTTTCCACCATTGAAATGTAAATCCCTCTGTTATGGTTCAGATACTTAATTTTAAACATGTTAAGTATCAATTTGGACTGTTTATTGAATTCAGTCCAAAAAATTGCTAATATAGTCTGACAGAATGTATCGTGATATATTGTGATATATCGTATCTATCGTGATACGTATTGTATCACCAGAATTTCGCCAATACACATCCCTGATGACAAAGTTAGGACAAAAGAATAATTTATAAAAGAAATGAAATGAAGTTGTAGTGAGATAAACTAAAAATAAATGAGGTAGAAATGGTAAAATGACTAGTAAAAGGCCTGCATTTGTAATTTTTCAACTGTCTTTCATCTAATTATACATTCATCCTTAATTTGAAGTTTATTATTTATTCTGATGGTTTTTGTATTGGCGCTGATGCTGCTTGTCCATAAAAAGCACATTTTGCACAGCAAGCTAGAGCTTGTAGCATGTTAATCTACATACTAATCAACACTGTTTTCCATCAGTTGTTAGATTCTGAGAAAAGATCCAAACGAGTTAATAATGAAGCTTCTATTATATATAAATATCTAGGATATTATATATTCGATAGAAGTTCATATGCCAACGAGCTTGGTCTAATTTTAATCCAAAGATTAATGTTTGATTTAAGACAATGAAATTTAATAGCGAAAGTTTATTTATTTAATCAGAAGATAAAGGAATCTTTGCTTTTTCAATAACCAGAAATACACACCATTCTGTGTTTAATTTCAAGAAGAGAGTCAGGTTTTTAAAGTTAAGAATTTATTACTAACGCTTTAAAAAAATGACAATTCAGAAATGACAATTTTTGAACAGACAATTTGATATTAAAACTTGTTTGAAGGCAAACCTGTGACTGAATGAAAGCTAAATTGAAAATGCAAGTTTTGGATGCGTGAATGTTCTCAGAAGGTTTCTTTCAGAGAGAGAAGCACCTTCTGGGTTGGAAATGATGGTTTTGCAGCTAACTGAGTTGTTTCTTAAGAAGAACAGCATCAAACACAATCTGTCAGAATGTCTACCTCACCCAGTATAGGAGACCCTCTTCTGGATCCGAGATGTCAGGTGGAGATGGTTTCCTCCAGGCACGAGGTTGGTAGAAGGACCTTAGTGCGGCCAAATTGGTCCTGAGATGTCTCCTTGGGTCACTCGACTGGTGGAACGATTTGCGTCTCAAAATCAATAACTCTGAAGGAGTTTTGCATCAGCTGGTTATCGTTGCATTTATTCAGGGCAATTCTATCGGCGTGACAGAATGCTTAGTAGAGATTCGGGCGGCCGTTCCCTTGTCTCCTCGTATGGTTCATGAACTGAACTTTTGCTGTTGGAAATTTAGTTTTACCAAAACCCTCAGAACACGCCCACTCTCAGCTTCAGAAAGCTTGGTCATGAGTAAAAGACATGTGATGATGTTACCCTTACCCTGGATATCCCTTCTGAATGAGGCTGGTTACGTGCAAGACGACCTTCTAGTTTGCTGAACAAAATACATTTATACTGAACCAGAGATTATTTATGATGATTGTAATAACAGTAATAAAGTCAAGAGTTTATTAAAATTATTATTTAAAATTCGTCTTCGTCTTCGTCTTCCTCCGCTTATCCGGGTCCGGGTCGCGGGGGCAGCATCCCAATTAGGGAGCTCCAGGCCGTCCTCTCCCCGGCCTTGTCCACCAGCTCCTCCGGCAGGACCCCAAGGCGTTCCCGGACCAGATTGGAGATGTAACCTCTCCAACGTGTCCTGGGTCGACCCGGGGGCCTTCTGCCGGCAGGACATGCCCGAAACACCTCCCCGGGGAGGCGTCCAGGAGGCATCCTGACCAGATGCCCAAACCACCTCAACTGGCTCCTTTCGATCCGGAGGAGCAGCGGTTCTACTCCGAGTCCCTCCCGAATGTCCGAGCTCCTCACCCTATCTCTAAGGCTGAGCCCGGCCACCCTACGGAGGAAACTCATTTTGGCCGCTTGTATCCGCGATCTCGTTCTTTCGGTCATTACCCAAAGCTCATGACCATAGGTGAGGATTGGGACGTAGATCGACCGGTAAATCGAGAGCCTGGCTTTCTGGCTCAGCTCCCTCTTCCCCACGACAGATCGGCTCAGCGTCCGCATCACTGCAGACGCCGAACCAATCCGCCTGTCGATATCCCGATCCCTCCTACCCTCACTCGTGAACAAGACCCCTAGATACTTAAACTCCTCCACTTGAGGTAGGACCTCTCCCCCGACCCGGAGGTGGCAAGCCACCCTTTTCCGGTTGAGAACCATGGTCTCAGATTTGGAGGTGCTGATCCTCATCCCAGCCGCTTCACATTCGGCCGCGAACCTACCCAGCAAGAGCTGAAGGTCAGAGCTGGATGAAGCTAGGAGGACCACATCATCCGCAAAAAGCAGAGACGAGATTCTCCTGCCACCAAACTCGACACACTCCACACCACGGCTGCGTCTAGAAATTCTGTCCATAAAAGTGATGAACAGAACCGGTGACAAAGGGCAGCCCTGGCGGAGTCCAACCCTCACTGGGAACAGGTCCGACTTACTACCGGCTATGCGGACCAAACTCACGCTCCTCTGGTAAAGGGACTGAATGGCCCTTAACAGAAAGCCACCCACCCCATACTCCTGGAGCGTCCCCCACAGGGTGCCCCTGGGGACACGGTCATAAGCCTTCTCCAAATCCACAAAGCACATGTGGATTGGTTGGGCAAACTCCCATGCCCCCTCCATCACCCTTGCAAGGGTATAGAGCTGGTCCACAGTTCCATGGCCAGGACGAAAACCACATTGCTCCTCCTCTATCTGAGATTCAACTATCGATCGGACCCTCCTCTCCAGTACCTTGGCGTAGACCTTTCCAGGGAGGCTGAGGAGTGTGATCCCCCTATAGTTGGAACACACCCTCAGGTCACCCTTCTTAAAGATGGGGACCACCACCCCGGTCTGCCACTCCCTAGGAACTGCCCCCGATGACCACGCAATGTTGTAGAGACGTGTCAACCATGACAGCCCTACAACATCCATAACCTTGAGATACCCAGGACGAACCTCATCCGCCCCCTGGGCTCCGCCGCTGTGTAGTTGTTTGACTACCTCAGCAACTTCTGCCCCCGAGATCGGACAGTCCATCCCCAGGCCTCCCAGCTCTGGTTCCTCCTCGGAATGCGCATTGGTGGGATTGAGGAGCTCCTCAAAGTATTCCTTCCACCGTCCGACTATAGCCTCAGTTGACGTCAGCAGCTCCCCATCCCCACTGTAAACAGTGTGAGCGAGTTGCTGCCTTCCTCTCCTGAGGCGCCGGACAGTTTGCCAGAACCTCTCTGGAGCCGATCGATAGTCTTTCTCCATGGCCTCACCAAACTCCTCCCACGCCCGAGATTTTGCCTCGGCAACTGCCACTGCTGCACCCCGCTTGGCTATCCGGTACCTGTCTGCTGCCTCCGGAGACCCACAGACCAGCCACGCCCTGTAGGCCTCCTTCTTCAGCCTGACGGCTCCCCGAACCTCTGGTGTCCACCAGCGGGTACGGGGGTTGCCACCACGACTGGCACCGGCCACCTTACGACCACAGCTAGCAACAGCCGCCTCGACAATCGCAGAGTGGAACAAGGCCCACTCGGACTCAATGTCCCCCACTGCTCTCGGGACGTGGTCAAAGCTCTGCCGGAGGTGGGAGTTGAAGACCGTCTTGACAGGTTCTTCTGCCAGGCGTTCCCAGCAGACCCTCACTATGCGTTTGGGTCTGCCAGGTCTACGCGGCATGTTCCCTTGCCATCTGATCCAACTCACCACCAGGTGGTGATCAGTTGACAGCTCCGCCCCTCTCTTCACTCGGGTGTCCAAAACATACGGCCGCAGGTCAGATGATACGACTACAAAATCTATCATCGACCTGTGACCTAGGCTGCCCTGGTACCAAGTGTACCGGTGGGCATCCTTATGTTCGAACATGGTGTTCGTTATGGCCAAACTGCGGCTTGCACAGAAGTCCAATAACAAAACACCGCTCGAGTTCAGATTAGGTGGGCCGTTCCTCCCAATCACACCCCTCCAGGTCAAGCTGTCATTGCCCACTTGAGCACTGAAGTCCCCCAGCAGGACAATGGAGTCCCCTGATGGAGCACTATCTAGCACTCGTCCCAGGGACTCCAAAAAGGGTGGGTACTCTGAACTGATATTTGGCCCATAAGCACAAACAACAGTCAGGACCCGTTCCCCGACCCGAAGGCGCAAGGAAGTTACCCTCTTGTCCCCCGGGGTAAACCCCAACACACAGGCAGAGAGTCTCGGGGCTAACAAAAAGCCAACCCCAGCCCTCCGCCTCTCACCCGGAGCAACTCCAGCAAAGTAGAGTGTCCAACCCCTCTCCAGGTCTCGGGTTCCAGAGCCAATGCAATGTGTCGAGGTGAGTCCGACTATATCTAGCCGGTACCGCTCAACCTCTGCCACAAGCTCCGGCTCCTTCCCCGCCAGCGAGGTGACGTTCCATGTCCCAAAAACTAGTTTTCTTGTCCGGGGATTGGACCGCCAAGGCTCCCGCCTTGGTCTGCCACCCGATTCGCATTGCACCGGACCCTTCATGTTCCTCCTGCGGGTGGTGGGTCCACAGTTGGACGAGCCCATGTATCCGGTTCGGGCTGGGCCCGGCCGGGCCCCATGGGTGAAAGCCTGGCCACCAGGCGCTCGCTCACGGGCCCCAACCCCAGGCCTGGCTCCAGGGTGGGACCCCGGTAACCCTCCGGGCCGGGTACTCCGACTCTTCGTTTTAACCGCCATGAAAGATCCTTCGAACCGTTCTTTGTCTCACCCTTCACCTAAGACCAATTTGTCATGGGAGACCCTACCAGGGGTTATTTAAAATTATTATTGTGAAACTTGAAGTGTCCTTCAGCCTGGGACGGAACAGCAGCAGATAAAGATGGTTTCAGCAGACATCATGGCTCCTGGCTTCGTTAATTTGTGGGGCAAAGTTACAGTCGGCCCAGCTTGACCCAGCTGGGAAAATGTGACCTTTGTCACAAATTAGAGGCCATTAATGACGCTACACGCTGTTATTACTTTCATTTTGTTTCTCTTGTCAAAAATCTTCAAAGCTTTTGGAGATAAACCGTGAAAATGACTGTTTTTGTTGTTGTTGTTTTCTTAACCCACAGAATGATCAGTTTTACTTTACTGAAGAAAGAAAAACAGTTGTCACCTCTTGATCCTCCACCAGAGGGCAGCAGACATTTAAATGACTGTAAATAACAGGTTTTAGATAAAATTACTCATCCTGACTCCACCTGGATGCTTTAATACCAGAAGTGGTTTAATGTGAATTTGCAACAATATTGTTAGTAATCACAGATTAGGCAAGGCAAGGCATTTTCTCATTTACTCAGTTAAAAATAAATACATAAATAAAAAATTGAAATAAATTATGAGCTAGATCTAATATTATTTAAATTATTTTCAGAATAGTTGTTTATTGTGTACGAGATATTTTTTCATATTCTGTCAGTATGTTTATTTTTCCAAACAGTCCACAGACGTTACAAATTTAAAAGAAAACAATCTTATTGTGCTGCCTGGAAACAACATGGTTCCAGATGACTTTGTAGCATAACGTGTGAACCACTGCGTGCTCAGTTGCTCATTTCACGAGCCTCAAGGATAAATAAGTAAGTAACTGACTTGTGTAATGTCAACAAAAAGTTTAGTAAACACAGAAGCAGCCTCCACCTTCAGGTGGGACTTTAAGATGACGCAGCACGAAATCCACGGAAGAGAGGAAACAATGACTCAGCAAGAAGAAAATGATGATGTGTTTAAGATTACGCATCAAATTTCTATTTATTGCTTATGTTTGTTGGCACAGAGTGAGATAAAATGCCACTTTAAAGAGCAAAAGCAATGTTCATGATGAGTAAATAATGGTGCTTAAAGTTTTTTCTCAACCCGAAGGATTTGGGAGTCCAACATTCCTGTAAAACGAGACTCTTCTGGGTCAGAAAAAAGTCTTTGAAACATGAGAAGATGACAGGGGGAGAACAGAGAAAGCCATGGTGAATGGTTGTCAGTCTGGCTCTCTTTTGTCTACTTCTCAGACATAAACACCTGAATTTGACTGAAAACAGGTGGAAATGAACCTGTAGACGAGGTTAAACCTCAACATCAGGTCACTAAACAGCAGCTCACCCTGGAGCAGCATGTAAACAATCTAAAAGTGTTAAATATTTTAACACTGTGCACACCCGACCTCGCACAATTTTACAGCAACTTCAAACATTAATGATCAAGCATCGACAATAAAGAAATCAACAAATGTGAAGCTTAAGAAAATAACACAAAACAGCACAAAAACTGCTGAGCATTTCTTGAGCTCATGGCAACAGTGCAGGTGTGTCGTCAAAGGAGGTTGGGCGGGAAGGTGTTTTGGCATCTCTGAAGCAATTGTGCTCAGTTTGAAGGTCTCCAACCACAGAGACATCATGTCTGCTTTGTTCTCTTTATTCTTCATCTTACTGGCTTTGGGAAAAGCAACAGCAACCTTGAACTATAGCTTAGCATACTCGGCGTACCTGGATGCAGGTCAGCAAGTGAACCTGAAGTGGGGTTTTGATAATCCACAAGGAAACATTACATTCCAACTGACAGTGAACACAACCGGATGGCTGGGCTTTGGGTTCAGTGCAAACGGAGACATGGATAACGCCGACATCGTCATGGGGGGAGCTGGATCCAGTGGGAACTATTTTAAGGTAACCTTTTACTCTTAAATATTTCTATACTATCAATATTTGTGCTAAATTTTGATTATAAACTGAAAACTTTGAGTGAAATTAGTGCTCTCCTGAAAAATGATCCCTACGTTCTGCAGGATTATTTTTCCACAGGAGAAGCCATGCCTGTAGCGGACACCAAGCAGAGCTACACTCTTCTCTCCATGTCTGAAAACAATAGTCAAACCCTGATGACATTTCAGAGGCCTATAAATACCGCTGACAACCAAGACTTTCTTATCACCGTAAGAACTTCTTACTTTTTTCTACTTCATGATAACAGTGGATGCAACGCAGAAAAGCACCACTAAATCATAAATACATAAACTAGACAATTATGCTAAGATAGCTGCATAAAGCTGTTTCAACAAAAATGTTGAGGCTGCTGTCAGTGGCTAATTAGGGTAACCATGGCAACCTTATATTTGCGTGTCACACTTCCGACTGCAGACTAAAGGCTGATTTATACTTCTCCATCAGCTCAGGATCGGATTTGCGTACACGCATTAAGGGAGATGTTTTCCCTTCAGACTTCTCCGTCACCTGAGGAGTGTTGCAAAGCCGTTCCCCGCCAGGACAACAGAGGGCGTAGCCACCGTTACAGTCACGTATCAGGCCCAAGATGGTGTTTTTACTACTGTGTTTGCATTGTGTGTGTATATCTCCAACACACTCTCACACCCGAAGCAGCTAAAACTGACAATGGGTGACCAAGCGCTTGTTTCTGATGCATCAGGAGGCGCCGCGTGGTGCCAGAGCGTCGGTTTCCAAAGCCCGCAGGAAAACGCACATTTGAACGACATTTAACCTCTAACCTCTTGCTATTTAACCTTCCCCTCACCCCCATCCTAACCTTAACCCAGTTTCTCTTTCCAAAATTCTCGTTAACCATGTTTGAGGGGGGCGTTACAACTAGAAACAAAGTTTTGCATGCGCAACTGGGTTTAGCTTAGGATGGGGAAGAGGGTAAGGTTAAATAGCAAGAGGGTAAAGGTCACAATTTGGTTAATTCTCTGCGGGTGTCGGAAAGTGCTGCACTGGCAATGCGCCTCGCCTCGTGACGTTTCAGAAACAAACGCTTGATCACCCATCGTCAGCTTCGTGTGTGAACGTGTGTTGATATTTCAAAGCCTTTTTGACAGGAACACATTTGTCCAACATTCCCCTCCACCTCTTCATACGATTGGCACCTCTAAACCCACGTTTTCCATCCAGGAATAAAACGCTTGCTGCGTATCTTTGTACTCCTTTTGTCACGGGTGAAGAAACGCTCATTATTTTGTTCTTTTTCCGCAAGGCGTTCTTCAATCTGCTCCGTATCTCATTTTTGAGGGGAAAATGGTGGTGCTGTTGACGAATTTAAAGGAAACGGCATCCTGACCAATCACAAGATCATGACAGATAGTTAAAAAGTTGGGTATGTCTCCATCGACCTCTGCGAGCGCGTCGGAGAGCCCTCGCACCGACGCGTAATGGTGTTGCGTGTCTCCGACGCAGACGGAGAAGTATAAACTAGGCCTTAATCAAACAGATGGCAAACTCAGTAGGCGTTTGTTTAGTCTAATGTCGGCAAATTGTTACGTATTTATTCATGTCATGGCGTTAACAGTTTCAAAATGCTTTTACCAAATTTAAGAGTAATAGATAATCAGAATAAAAATACTAGATATGGAGATTTTTACCAAAATCATAATATCAAGTAAAAAATCATAATGGCTGCTCCATTCATTACTTGTTTAAGTGGCTAAATAACAAATATGAAATCAGCTGTGGTGTTTTCTCCTCCATGGCCCATACAACTGAACTAATGAAACATTTTATTACACTTTAATACTGTGTGATGACAACATAAATCCCTACTTTGTTCCCTGTAAAATTGCTGGTCATAACCCTGTTGTAAACCTTTTTACCCAAGGGCGTGTCCAGGGTGTGGCCTGGTGTGGCACATGCCACCCCTGATATCTGATTGGCCACCCCACTGAGTTCCATTTAAATTGACTTTAAATTTTCAACTGAAGGCTTGGGGTTATATAATTTGTCCCCCATCTCACCCCCCCCCCCCCCCCCCCCCCCTCCATAACCATAGGTGCCTCCCATACATAAACAATTGGCCCACCTGGGCCACCCCATTTGAAAAGGCCTGGATACGCCACTGTAACATAAGTTTCTTTGTTAGGTATGTCCATTCATTCATCCTCCCTTCAGCTGGGTCGTTTTCTAATATGGAGATCAAGGAAGAAACCTAATGTGTCACTTATGTTAATTTGGTCATTGAACCACAGAATTGGTAAATGCCATCCATCCATTGTTTGAACCCGCTTGTCCACGTAGGGTCGCGTGGGGGCTGGTGCCTATCTCCAGCGGTCAATGGGCAATCAGGCGGGGTACACCCTGGACAGAGAACCAGTCCATTGCAGAGAATTGGTAAATGTTTAAAAAAAAAGATAACTTCTTTGCAGATCCCCTTTTAGCAAAGCTGACAGTGTCCAGAAGATAGTTACAAGGGATGTCTGATATAATTGATGTACCATCAATACCGGCCGATATCGATATTAAAATTTAATATCGGAAAATATCGAGATCTGTTTTTCGTTCTTTAATGACCCAACCTTTACATGCCATACACATATTGTACATCAAAGTCTTCAGTTACTTCTCATCTCTGTCAAAATGTCAAAATATGACAGATCTGAGGTAAGGATTTTGAGATGTTTTAGCTCTTTTTATTACATTTGTTTGTAATGTCCAATGAGTCTGTGGAAATAACAAGTGTTTCGCAAATATTTAGAAAAGTTCAATCAGATCAAAATTCAGCATGTGTGATATTGTTACATCATAAGTTTAGCACTCTTCTAAATTTTAGGAAAATCGCAATTGTGTAAAATCCATAAAAGATTTCAAAATACTTTTTCAGGCATGTAAAATCGAACTTTCTGGGAACCGTTTAAAGTTTGAGTGACACTTCTCCTTTAACGTTTTCCCTCGCTGTAGAGCTCCAAAGGGGGTTGGGTCTGTGACAGAAACAGATCAGGTGAACAGCAATCAGGGCACTTACTCATTTATGCCTATGCACCCTTATTGATACCATCAAGTGATAAACACGAGAACAGCTGGTATGTTTTGTCCTTGTTCAGAGGTTAACTGAACAAATGCACTTTGATGTCTTTAATGTCCTTAAATTTCTTTATTGTTTGCATCGAAACTTTCCTCACAGCTCATAATTGTATTGTTAGTTTATTTGTTTGTGTGCTGCACCTCTCGAGTTTCCAGCTGTATAATTATGTGGAGCCTACTGTAAGTGCCTTTGTTGGACTTGAACATCCATGTATTCTGCCTTCAGCAGAGCAGTTTTCCAGTAAGAGGACAATGGTAACAGGACAATATGCTGCACAGGATTTTTTTCTCCAGTGAATGACAGAAATACCAAAAAAGTTCTGTAGTGGAAAACTACAGGGTTATATTTGCTGTTTCAGCGCCACCCAATAAAGGCTGTAAAAATAACATTTTCTAATTTGACTAAAGTAATCTTTATCTTGCAGAATCAACCCATTCTTGTGATCTATGCCTACGGACTAACAGATACGATTCAATACCACGACAACCGTCGAGGACACAAGCAGCTGAATTTGCTCAACTATACAGGATCTGACAAAAGTAAGTATTACTACATTTTTGCTGATAAATCAATTTCTGTGCACCTACGCTGATTTTTTGCACAAACATCTCTTTGCATGATACCTGCAAAATGAAATGGCACACTCTAAAATATATCCCATTTGCTGTCCAGAATAGATATTGTAACGTCCGAAAGGGTCAATTTTTCACCATCTACATTGACCAACATAGTGACCTTTCATCTATAGAAATAAATCCACTTTCTATTTGGCCTTCCAAACCCAGAAGGCTCTACAGTGCTTGTTTACATACCATTAAGACAAAACATTCAAACATTCTCAGCCAAGGTTCTTGCACTCACTGTGTGAACGCCAGAAGTCAACATTCTTCAGACTCCACGATTTTATAGTTATAAGTTAATCATGTGTGATGAATGAACAAGATATTTAAATCAAATGTTTTAATAATCTGTGCTTAAATCAATGAATTTGAAATGAATATTGTTCTTACAATGATCCATTTATATCACAAATCACTGTGTGTTTTATTTAACAAGTTAATCACTGTTTACACTCATACACATTACAATAAGACACATATTAAGGTTAAGAATTTTGTATCTGAGGAAGGCGTGGCTTTCTGAGGGATGTTGGTAAATACTCAGAAACGTGTCAAATTCAAACTTGGCCAGAAATCATAACAAAGTAGTTTAATAAAACAAGAATTACTTCTCAATTAATTCAGTTTCTCGCTGACCCTCGAACCGGCCAATTCGGGAAAGAAGCATTTTTGAAACCATCTTCTCCTTTGACCTCCTGTCAAAGCCTCTCTGCAACACTGTGGCTGATACCAGACAACCGGCTCTTCTAAGAGCCAAACAAACATCAACATTAGATGCAAATAAGCATTCCAGCTTCCTGCCTTCACCTGGAGGGTTCTCAGACTGGACGGGCTCTATCAGAACTGGCTACAGGTTCCTGATATCAGAGGTTCACTCCACCGGCAGTGACGATCAACCCCCACCAGATCGAAAGAGAACCTTCACACCAAGGGTGCGTAGACTTGGCACGACAGATTATGTCTGATCTTCGTCTTCGTCTTCGTCTTCCTCCGCTTATCCGGGTCCGGGTCGCGGGGGCAGCATCCCAACTAGGGAGCTCCAGGCCGTCCTCTCCCCGGCCTTGTCCACCAGCTCCTCCGGCAGGACCCCAAGGCGTTCCCGGACCAGACTGGAGATGTAACCTCTCCAACGTGTCCTGGGTCGACCCGGGGGCCTTCTGCCGGCAGGACATGCCCGAAACACCTCCCCGGGGAGGCGTCCAGGAGGCATCCTGACCAGATGCCCAAACCACCTCAACTGGCTCCTTTCGATCCGGAGGAGCAGCGGTTCTACTCCGAGTCCCTCCCGAATGTCCGAGCTCCTCACCCTATCTCTAAGGCTGAGCCCGGCCACCCTACGGAGGAAACTCATTTCGGCCGCTTGTATCCGCGATCTCGTTCTTTCGGTCATTACCCAAAGCTCATGACCATAGGTGAGGATTGGGACGTAGATCGACCGGTAAATCGAGAGCCTGGCTTTCTGGCTCAGCTCCCTCTTCCCCACGACAGATCGGCTCAGCGTCCGCATCACTGCAGACGCCGAACCAATCCGCCTGTCGGTCTCCCAATCCCTCCTACCCTCACTCGTGAACAAGACCCCGAGATACTTAAACTCCTCCACTTGAGGTAGGACCTCTCCCCCGACCGAATTATGTCTGATGCTGTTTTTAATAAACAATTCTCTAGTTTAGAACCAAACAACAAATTCTTTTACACCCAGATTTCACAATTTCTCTCAGATACAAAGAGCGGTTGCTACAACATCTAGCTTCCATCACAACCCCTCCCATCCACCACATCACATCTCATCATTTATATCTTGTCATGTATAAATTGTTAGTTTAGGAAAAGAAATAAATTCATTTCATAAACTATAAACTTGACTCTGTCTGAATTAATACGAAGTGTGTTTATGGTCCCTAAACAAGCAAAGAACCCTAGAATCTTCTGATTGAACATTCAAAGATCAATCAGATTGATATTTCATATTTGTATGGACTATCACATCTTATCGGCCATAATTAATATGTATTAATTGCTACAGAATAATGCAACAGTGTTGTACAGGAGTCTTGTTAAATAGATTAATAACATTAATACATGAGCCTATTTGTTTGTACATTCTGAAATTATTTATGATATCCAGAGGAAATATCAAGCATCAACCTTGAAGAAATCCTTAACCCATTATTGCCATTGACAAATACATGTTCTTTACAGGTGTGGGTGACTGAAAAAACATTTTAAAATGTTTTTTTTTTCTCTGATTTCAATCGGTCTCTCTGAGTTTTTCATGCAGGCTGAGCATAAAAATAGTCTTCTACACCTGTCTCCTGCATTAGCTTCTGATAGAAAATAGACGGTGAAATTCTAGGATTTGACAATCCTGACAGTTCTACGTCACACTGTCACTAAACATTCATGGACTCACCCATCTCGACTCACGACGGGGAAGGCTGTTTTAACATCTGGGAATCAGCATTGGACGTCTTGGCTAATTTAAGCTAATCATTAGCATTAGCAACTTCACCACACGGCAGAAGCTCCTCCAGGCTTGTGTTGTTTAGATAAAAAATCCACATCACAAGTCAGTGCTGTTGCGTTGCTGGTATCCAATCCGGGGTGGTGTCCAAATATCAGGAAATACGACTCGAAAACCTGCTGTCTGAAACTCAGCTGTGATGTGGGCAAACTTTAGGTCCTGGAAATGGTACACCAGTATACTTTTTTACAACGACTTACAATGCATTCATTCCCACTGGAGACCACTGCAATTGTATTGATTAAATGAGTCAACAACTCCTTTGAACTAAACTTGTTATTCTTTAATGCCAGTAAAACAACTATTTGATAATCATTTTTATTTTGTTTAGTAAGTCATTGGAATACAACAGTAACAGACTAATTAAATTGGCCCTTGACACCTGTTAATTCTCCATCAGGAGGCAAAAGGCACACATAGAACTGGACATGGCAGGTTTATGATGAAAGTACTAACCCCAATCCTCCATCTGAAGAGGTTTGATGCTAATATGCTAAATTTGAAGCTGACAATTAATACAAAAAGATGCTGTATGTTTTAAAGATTCTACAGATGAAAATTCCCTTCAGGTCCAGTGCGGGTGTGTCATCAGAGCAAGGCGGGAGAGTGTTTAGATGACATTATACACAGTTTGATGTTTCAGACCTCACAGAAACATCATGTCTGCTCTGCTCTCTCTCCTCTACATCTTTATTACAACGACACTAGCGACAACCTTGTCTAACTCGATGTACCTGGATTCAAATGAACTGGTCAACCTGAAGTGGGGTTTCGACAATCCACAAGGAAACATTACATTCCAACTGACCATCAACACAGTGGGATGGCTGGGCTTTGGTTTCAGTGCAAACGGAGGCATGGATGACGCAGACATCGTCATGGGGGGAGTTGGATCCAATGGGAACTATTTCAAGGTAACTTTTTATTCTTAAATCCATCAATTGGTTTGTTTTCCAACATAAGATCAATTATGAGCCTCTGTTTATAGGATTACTATTCCACAGGCGAAGTCATGCCTGTAGCGGACACCACACAAAGCTACACTCTCCTCTCCGTGGCTGAAAACAACGGTCAAACTGTGATGACGTTTCAGAGGCCAGTGAACACAAACGACAACCAAGATTTCCAAATCACTGTAAGGATCTCGCCTGTCAATCTATTAAGGTTTCGCTGGATCGGAACTGTCAATTGTTCTGCTTCAACTGGGCGCTTTTGTGATTTGGGAACATAAAATCTCACATGGGATTTTTATCCACTGAATGACTGAAATTTGATAGTTTCTGCTAACATAATCTGTAATACGACCTCTGCAGTTACACACACACACACACACACACACACACACACACACACACACACACACACACACACACACACACACACACACACACACACACACACACACACTTATTCGACTCCATATTGGATATAACGTCTAGCTGCTTTTCCTTATTCAACTAAAATATCCATTTGTGTTGCAGGATAAATCCATTTATATAATTTATGCCTACGGACTAACAGATGAGATTGCATACCATGAGAAGCGTCGAGGCCACAAGCAAGTGAATCTGTTCAACTACAGTGCAGCAAGCCAACTTTGCACTTCCTGGATCGTGATTGTGGGAGCATTCGTCCTTTTGCTGCTCTGGATTGATATCATGTAACATGAATTCACAAGCAGCAGGTCATTGTCCAATTTTATAAGAGGAAAAAAGAGAAATATTTATGATTAATAAGCTAAATTAAGCATATGTCAAGTAGGATTCTGATTTTTTTGGTACTCATAGTGAAATTTATAACTTAAGCATAGGTTTGGTGTCCTGGGTTTAAACTCGAAAGCTTTAGTTGTTGTTTTGTGATTGTTTTCCAGCACATTTTACTGTAAACATCATGTTCATAATGAGTTAATTACTAGTCTGCTCTAAATGACAATATTTAATGAGGTGAAATGGTTGATCTTCATTTTTTATGTATTAGTGCTACTATCACCACTGCCCTGGCTCTGAAAATCTAGTTTTATTTAATAGTTATTTTATAGTTTTTTTAAATAAACAAACATACATTGTAGATAAAAAACACATCAAGACAGTCTTACTAATTAGAGGACATATCTGAATACTGGTTTAGCTTTGTCTGCTGTGGATTTTCCAGTTGCTGAAACACATTTTTATACAAATAAAACCTCTCTGGAGATGGAATTAATGAAGTCTTTTTTTTTCTTCTTTTTATGCTGTCATGTGCGGTTTTAAAACAAATGTTTTTATGTTTAGAGATTACAAACAGTAAACCTGATTTACAATAGCTAAAAGACCAAAATACACCATTTTGATTTTAGTTTTGAGGATCTGTTGAATTTAAATGGAAAAAAGTCAATTGTCTCATTATGAGTTTTAACTAACACAATAAAAGTCAGACTAAAAACTGAGTTTCTAATTTTGCTCTGATGCCACATAAAATGCCTTTTTATCTGACTACCCAATTGAAAGTGTATTAGAGATTTAAGGAAGGATCTGGTGCTGGGTGTAAGTGGGGAGGTGAGTGTGTGTGTGTGTGTGTGTGTGTGTGTGTGTGTGTGTGTGTGTGTGTGTGTGTGTGTGTGTGTGTGTGTGTGTGTGTGTTTATTTATTTGTTAAAGGCAAAAAAAACATGTACACTAGAGATAATCGCATATGGTATCCAGGCATATAGTTTGGCCATGGCCAATAAACAGAGCTCAGTCGTTCGGACAGAATTTATGGTTGTCTTACAAACCATAGACATAAATACAGATGCTCTGGAGAGTGTAACAGTAATGCCGCCATATTGGATTGTGTCCTTTCCAAACCCAACTAAAGGGAGTGCAGAATTATTAGGCAAATGAGTATTTTGTCCACATCATCCTCTTCATGCAAGTTGTCTTACTCCAAGCTGTATAGGCTCGAAAGCCTACTACCAATTACGCATATTAGGTGATGTGCATCTCTGTAATGAGAAGGGGTGTGGTCTAATTAGTTTCTAAGTGTAAAGTAAAATGTGTTACTTCCTTAACTGGATAGCCAGCAAGGTTGCTGGTCTTCTTGCTTGCTTACATGGTAGCCCTATCCTGCCACAAGTTCACTGCGCCACCTAGTGGTCTGAACATAAAATGGCAGTGTAGTACTGTGAGTGCAAGTGAATGATGAAATGAATGAAACTAAATTAGAAAGGACAATGTCTGTTTTATGTGTCACTTTTTATCCATCCGTTTTAATCTATTTCTATAGTTTTAACCCTCTACAAATACAAACACATAATTTTGTGGTTGATGTCACACAGTGCTATGAATCTAATCATTGTACCTAGTAGGCTATCACTACAAAAAAGCAGTGGATCACACAAAACACGACATACAGTATGTTGAAACCTTGATAGGTATATTTACAATTTGAAATGGGTAGAAAGTATACTTTTAGCATTGCCAACATTAAATTGTTCCTCAGACCATTTAGGAACCGTATCAATAACAGTGCAAAAATTATTCAACATAAACACATTGAGCTTCATCCATTCTTTGTAAACTTAACAGAAAACAGCTGAACTGCACCAGACCTCATCTTCAGTAATGATGGGCACATTTAAAGTATTTTTAGCCTCAGTAAGAGAAACTAAATAAATAACAAAACGTACTTTTGCTCCATAAACAGTCAATGTTTAAACAAAATAATATTTCCTGCAGTCAGGCCATGTAAATAAATTAAACAACTGCTGAAATAAATAATGGTGGATTATATGCTTCAGTTGTCTATGTTTCACTTGGAAATATTAACCTGCTTCACCTTGTAGTGCACCATTGGCGGAAACACGTCATCATATCAGTGCTAGTCCACACTCGTTCCCTCAAACCAACAATTGTACCTCATGAGAAGAAGCTTCTCAAACTTGCGATCAGACAACTTGTTCCTCTTTGGAGTGAGAATCAGGTTTCCCAGGCTGAAAAGCCTTTCAACCGGGGGCACTCGAGGGGGTGGCTGCATTAAGTTTAAGAGATAGTTTCTTTATCAGCGGGAAATGCTTCAGAGAGTCTAACCCTGTAGCTCCTGATGTGAGGTACTTGGCTACCTCAGCTTCAGCAGTGGCATAGGTGTCATCCTCTCTGCAAAGGAGAAGAACTCATCCTCTTTGCTAGAACCTGGGTGCTGTGCTGTGTCGGTGGCGCAGGTACCTGGTTGTAGCTGATTGTGTTTGGGGAGAAGTTTTCGACACTCTGCCAGCAGACGTGCCTTTGCGAGGTCCCTCCGTGCCTGGTCATGTAACCAACGAAGCTTGAATTTTGGTAGTGTCACAGCAGCCAGGAGAGCATCTTCACTTCCAAGAACATGTGCAAACCTTGTCCTGACTGCCTGTAATAATGACACAGCAAGAGTGCAAAAAGCATTATTGCATGAGAAAGTATGCATTGTTTCAACAATAAATGAATTAAACATTAACACCATGCTGTAGTTTTATATAGCATGTATTTTATTTTGTAAATAACATGTATTTTACTACATGTTGTATATATATATTTTATTTATTGATCATCATTTATTTATTGAGCAATCATGCATAGCCTTTATACACCCAAACACTAACGACACAATTTAAAAGGCAATTGAGTTAATTTCATTAAAGGGATATTCCACCCCTAAGTAAAATGTATCTATTCCCCGGCGTTAGATAAGAGGAAAAAAAGCATTTTGTAAACAGCTCAGTCATTCTCCTGATCTGGCAGCAGTCAGTTTGCTTTAGTTTAGCATAAAACAATGTAAGTGAGAGGAAACTAGCGTTTGGGTTTTCCCATTCACTTGTTTTATCCTAAATTAAAGCAAACTGACTGCTGCCAGATCAGGAGAATGACTGAGCTGTTTAGAAAATGCTTTTTCCCTCTTATTTAACTCTGAGGAATATAACAACAGACACAATTTTACTTCAATTCAATTTCAATTCAAGTTTATTTATATAGCGCCAAATCACGACAAGAGTCGTCTCAAGGCACTTCACATAATAAACATTCCAATTCACAGTTCATTAAGCCAATCAGAAATAATGTTTCCTATATAAGGAACCCAGCAAATTGCATCAAGTCACTGACTAGTGTCAGTGACTATACAGCAATCCTCATACTAAGCAAGCATGCAGCGACAGTGGAGAGGAAAACTCCCTTTTAACAGGAAGAAACCTCCAGAGAATCCTGGCTCAGTATAAGCAGCCATCCTCCACGACTCACTGGGGATCGAGAAGACAGAGCAGGCACACACACACACGCACACACACACACACACACACACACACGCACACACACACACACACGCACGCACGCACGCACACACACACACACACACACACACACAATAATGTATCTACAGTTCTATTGTGATGTCTTAGTAAATATTCTATTTGGTGAGATAAACTTTATTGTATTTATCCTAGTGGATCTCTAATTAAATGGGTAAACTAGCAGAAACACGTCCAATGTCAAGGAAAGCAAAAAGTTATTATCAGGAGAGGGAGAATGTTTAAGTAGTTAGCAGCAGTATGTTGGACGATGGCCCCCTCCATGAGGCCACCACAGCTCAGCAGAACATCGTTGTTGCTTCTTCTGGGGAGAAAAACACTTAGAGAGTAAATAAAGTTAACAGCTGAAATTGTAGAAAGGAATACAGTTAAAGAGCAGATAGTAGAAGAAAGTAGTAGAGTGTGGAAAGTGGTCAGTGTATCCTCCAGCAGTCTAAGCCTATAGCAGCATAACTACAGAGAAAACTCTGGATAATCTATCCTATTTAGATGGAGGCATGTTGGAGGCAGGGCAAGGGAGAGCCGCCTTTACCGACTGTACACTCCACCTCCCTGTAATCCCCCACTTGTCCAGATTTAGGCTAACATCAGATTTTAACTATAGGCCCTATCAAATAAAAATGTTTTAAGCCTATTCTTAAATGTAGACAAAGTGTCTGCCTCACGGACTAAGGCTGGGAGCTGGTTCCACAGGAGAGGAGCCTGATAACTAAAAGATCTGCCTCCCATCCTAATTTTAGATATTCTGGGCACCACCAGTACACCTGCAGTCTGAGAGCGAAGTGCTCGGTTAGGAACGTATGGAACAATCAGATCACTGATGTATGATGGAACTTGATTATTAAGAGCTTTGTATGTGAGAAGGAGGATCTTAAAATCTATTCTGAATTTAACAGGTAGCCAATGTAGGGAAGCTAAGACAGGAGAGATATGATCTCTCTTTTTAATTCTCATCAGAACTCTAGCTGCAGCATTTTGGACAAGCTGAAGACTTTTAACTACATTCTGTGGACTTCCTGAGAGTAATGAATTACAGTAATCCAGTCTTAATGTAATAAATGCATGAACTAGTTTTTCAGCATCACTCCTGGAAAGGATGCTTCTAATCTAAGCAATATTCCGAAGGTGGAAAAATGAAATCCTACAAACCTGTTTAACCTGGGAATTGAAAGACATGTCGTGATCAAAGATAACACCAAGGTTCCTTACTTTGTTCTCGAAGATTAATGTAATGCCATTCAGGTCAGGCGACTGGCTAAGCAATTTCCTTTTCTGGATTTCTGGTCCAAAGATGAGAACTTCCGTCTTGTCTTGATTTAAAAGCAAAAAGTTTAGAGTCATCCAATGTTTTATGTCCTCAAGACAAGCCTGTAATCTACCCAACCGATTAGGTTCATCAGGGTTAATGGATAAATATAGCTGAGTATCGTCAGCATAACAGTGGAAGTTTATCCCATGCTGTCTAATGATTTTACCAATTGGGAGCATATATTTAGTAAAAAGAATTGGTCTGAGCACTGAACCCTGTGGTACTCCACAAGTAACTCTGGAGTATGTACTAGCCTACATTGGGATTTTCTACTTTAATTTATTTTATTTTATTATATATATATAATTCAAAGATGCTAGTGCGACTGCCAAATCCTCAGTGCTTATCCTGCTCGACTTATCGGCTGCATTTGACACTGTCAACCATGGCTTCCTTTTGTCCACACTCTCTAGCATGGGCATTACAGAGAAAGCACACGCCTGGTTTGAATCGTACCTCACAGGACGATCATTCAGTGTATCTTGGCTTGGACAATCCTCTACCATGCACCATCTTGCCACAGGAGCCCCCCAGGGCTCTGTACTAGGACCTCTTCTTTTTGCCATATACACCACCTCACTGGGTGAGATCATTCGATCACATGGCTTCTCCTACCACTGCTATGCAGACGACACCCAGCTCTGTCATTTCCACCGGACGACCACACTGTCTCTGCACGAATATCAAACTGCCTCTCTGACATATCAAAATGGATGAAATCCCACCATCTCTAACTCAACCTCTCTAAAACTGAACTACTTGTCATCCCAGCAAAACCATCCATACAGCACAATATCTCAATCCAAAATGACTTCCTATCTCTGGCTCCTTCAAAGGCAGTTCGAAATCTGGGTGTTGTGATTGATGAACACCTGACCTTTAAAGATCATGTTGCCTCTGTTGCTCGTTCATGCCGCTTTGCGCTATATAACATACGAAAGATCAGACCATACCTAACACAACATGCCACCCAGCTCCTGGTGCAATCTACTGTCATCTCCCGCCTCAATTACGGCAATGCCCTTCTAACTGGTCTTCCAGGCTGTACTGTGAGACCTCTTCAAATGGTCCAGAACGCAGTGGCGCGTCTGGTCTTCAATCAGCCAAAAAGAGCACACGCCACCCCTCTGTTCATTGAGCTCCACTGGCTAGCGCTGTCATGGTCTGCGTCAGCCCCTTCCTTTTTTGTGCCTCCTGGTGTCCTCCATCCCTCTCTAGATTCCCTCTTGTGTCCCTTTGTTCCCCAGCTCCTCTTGTACTCCACTCCTGGTTCCCCCCTTGTGCTCTCTTAGCAGCCTCATGGGTCCTTGTCTGCATCCCTGTTATGTGTCTTATGTTGTAGCCCTTTGGCGCCCTCATGTGTCCTTTTTCTGCATGTCAGTTTAGTGTCATGTTATCTTTTCTACCCTTTCCTCCCAGGTCAGCTCCAGCCTTGTTCTCCCCAGCTCAGTGTGTGTGGGTGTATGTGCTATGTCCTCCTCCAGCTAGTTTGTGTGAGTCCTTCCCTCTGTCTTTTGGTAATATTTGTTTAGTTTTGTGTTTAGGTATTTGACCTCCTCTGTTTCTGTTTTCCCCATTGAGTTGATTAGTGTCACCTGCCTTCCCTCCAGCCCTCACTCCACACACCTGCTTCCTGTTTCCTTAATTTGTCTCCCAGTCTATTTAAGCCCGGTATTGTCTCTGTCTTGTGTCGGTCCATTAATGTATCTGTATGTTATTCTGTCAGTGTTTGCTCGTGCTCTTGATGAGCTTTGTTTCTCCAGCGTTGGAGTTCTGGACTTTAGGCTCGCTGCCTGGATTTACTTTTGTTCCTTCTTCAAAAATAAAGGATTTTACTTTTCATCATCTCTGCCTCGTGTCATCCTGGGTAACTGCATATTTGGGTCCTAACATCCTCAGAACGTGACAAGCGCTAGCAGCACGCATCAAATTCAAATTGCTAACACTAGCATACAAAGTCCGAGATGGTATGGCTCCCATCTACCTGAATCCTCTTGCAAAGGCTTACGTCTCGGCCCGGCCGCTCCGGTCATCACAGGATCGTCGGCTAGCAGTGCCTACACCACTCTCAGGACAATCTAGACACTTCTCATGCATCGTTCCACAAATGTGGAGTGACCTTCCTAGCACTACCAGAACAGCGGCTTCCTTTTCAATTTTCAAGAAACTCCTGAAGACCCTGCTCTTCAGAGAGCATCTTCTTAACTAGCACCTTCCCTGCACCCGTCCCCCCCCTCTACCGTCCACTCCTTGTTCCCTCCTCTCCATGATTGATGTCAAGTTGTTGTTATTGTTGTTGTTAGCCTCAAGGGCAAATGCCGATTATCACTTGTAAGTTGCTTTGGATAAAAGCGTCTGCTAAATACATAAACATAAACATATATTTTTAACTGATTTTGTGAAAATCTTAATAAAATGTGTTTTTAGTTGGGTGCACACCTTCCTCAGTAAAAATAAATGCACTAGGGGCAAATGGAGACCCATACAAGATGGAGGCCGGCCACTACGGCAACTCCTATAGGCAGAGCCAGTCTACGGAGCATGTATGATGTCACACGGCTGGATGGTGCTAGGACCAATCAAAGCAAACAAATAACGGGGCAGTTTGCCATTCACCATTGAAAAAGAAGAAAATACAACTAGTTTGAAAATAAAGGATTTTAGTAGCCTATCATCCAAAGTTGATGCCAAAGCTGTTTCAAATGAGCACCGTTCCGGAGCCGACACCATCTTTTTATTTTTTTCTTTATCCCACCTCTGGTGCTAAGCTGGCAAACATAGAGCACTGTGATTGGTTCAACCTAAATTTGTTTGGGCCAATGGTAGACCTGCTAAGGAACAATAAAGCATGGCTAGATCAACCTACAGAGTAAAAACTTTTGCTATGGTACGATTTTTCTGGATTTCTAGGCTGAGTCAACGGGGATGGCTTGAGTAATCTTTGTTGTTCCACATCCTTCCTGTAGTCAGATTCATCATTGTCAAACCAACTACATTTTAATCAAATGATTGCTAAGATATCTTGCAGAAAAAAACCTATGCTTGGTACACATTATTATGGAAAGCTGGTGTTGAAAATGGTGGTAGAAGAGGTGATGTAGTGGCCGGAAAGGTCAAGAGGTCATCTACAAGAAGTATTGAGCTGAATTGTGAGTCTTTCGGATAAAACCTTATGGGAGAGGTTCGTGTGCTGTTTTTTTCCCATCAGCTCCAAAGTAGGTTCCTCTTTTGGCCAACGTTGAGATGTGCTTCCAGTAAAGTCTAACGCTGACATGTTAACAGTAAACTGGAGTGAATCAGAATGTTCCTGTGTTCCAGCCAAAAGTTTTCAGTAAGAGGGCGTGTTTATGATAACACTTATCAGAAGTGACAGATGCTTCCAGAGGTTTCCTGTTTCTAAGTCAACACTGTAGCAAGAATTTGTAAGATTTGTAATTAGCCCATTTGCCTATTGACACATTCAGTCCTGGCAGCAACAGTGTATTGCCTATGTCTGTGAATTGCTGCTGTTAAACGTAGTACAGGAGTTGATTATAAATACAAACTAACATGTCATGTTTATCAATGGTTAATGTCACAGTCTCCATCCATCCGCCCATCCATCCATTGAAAACAGGATGTCTACCAATATTATGACAATGGGCATCGTGTTTACTGGTTCAGATTACTGCTATGGAAATGCAGTAATCTGGGAGCATGAGGACAGTCGTGTCACTGGTTCAGACAAAGCTCCAGGTTGCATTCTGCCCAAACTAATCCAGAGTGACACACGAGTCCCAGACCTCTGGGTGAGTCAGAACAGAGTGGATGACAGCTGACATTGTATCAGACACGGACCAGTTCTGCATAAGCTGTTGGTCCACAATGATGTCCCCTCAGTTCTCATGTGGGACAAGGGCTACAATTAATTTCAACCACAGCTTGGTTCAGAGAGGTTGTCCTGATTAGTTCCTGAGTTTATTCCCATTGTGGTGTCTGGGCCAGCTTTTCATAGGTTTGAAAATTGGGAAAGTAGAACATAGAAGCAAGTTTCAGTGTGGTTTCAGAAATTCCAAACAACTGTTCTCTCTTTCCTGTTATCTACTCATCTCATCTATGAGAGGAGGTGTTTTGTCTTACGAAGGAGGTGGCTTGGCAAGGCTAAAGCCTTTGCACTCAGTCTGAAAGTTTCCAACCCCACAGAGACATCATGTCTGCTCTGCTCTCTTTTTTGTCAATTTTATTAGCCTTAGGAAAAGCAACACTACGTTCAAACGACTTGCCTTTCTCGTTGTACCTAGATCCGAGTCGACAGGTCAATCTGGAGTGGGGTTTTGATAATCCACAAGGAATCATTACATTCCAACTGACCTTCAACACAACCGGCTGGCTGGGCTTTGGTTTCAGCCCAAACGGAGGAATGAATAACGCCGATATCGTCATTGGAGGGCTTAGATCAAATGGGAGCTATTTTCAGGTAAGCATCTACGCGTCTGTATTTGTGCTTAGTGTTGTATAGCTATAAGTTTTGTAACTTTAACATAATTTGGTGCTGTCCTAAACTTGTGTCCCTATGTACATTAGGATTGTTATGCCACAGGAAACGCCAGGCCTGTAGCAGATGATAAACAGAGCTATGCTCTCCTCTCCATGACTGAACAAGACGGTCAAACCAGGATGAAGTTTCAGAGACCTATGGATACATGTGATGACAAAGACCTTCTCATCACAGTAAAGCACGGTTTGCTTTTTCTTCCTTGCTCCTGTATTCAGTTGACGTAGAAAAGACTCCTGATTACACAAATACCTCTTTGATTTGGTAAATATAAAATATCAGTGTTCAACTTATGTTTTGAGGAATGACAACAGTTGAAGCTGGACCAAATGGCTGCTAGCTTTAGTTTATCTTTTTAAAACTCTTTTTCCCAGTTTTCGACAATTATTTTGTAGCTCAGGTGTCCCAACCATCACTGTGAGAAGTCTCCTGAATCTCTTTGTTAGAGCTGAAACTGCATTTAAAATGCTTTCAGCTGGGTGTTATATCCAATATGGAGACAATCATGACATAATAACATGCCATACAGGGTTTTGTTCTCCATTCAACAGCAGTAATACTATACAGTTTCTGTGATGAAAACCGATGCTCTGTCTTTTGTTGTTTCGCATGCACACGTTTACTATTTAAGGAAATGTTCTAAAAACGTAATTTTAGGAAGGATTGTTGCTTTTGTAAATGTCTTACAGGACCAACCCATTTATCTGATATATGCCTACGGAGAAACGGATGAGATAAAATACCACGGTGGGCGCCGAGGCCAGAAGCAAGTACATCTGCTCAATTATCTGGTCAGGTCCCTCTCGCCTAACGCCACATATCTCAGTGTCAGAGTGGAAAATGTACGTAGGAAACATTAAAACCAAATACACCAGTATTCCTGAGAGAAAACCCCTAACCCTGACCCTAACCACTTTGCAGATTACCATTCCCCCCAAAGACACCTACTATCACTGCAAAGTTATGCAGCTTCCCGTCTTGGCCACAAAGCAGCACATTTATCAGGTAATAATCTCTTATTACAGAAAATTCTCTTTTCTCCATCACTTTGGTAGCCTGGCAAGCCATCCGATATATGAGAATGCATATGGTCTAGATTCTAGACTATCACTTTGGAGCAAATTGGTATAGTTTTTGGTGGTTTTATTTTCTCAAGTTATTGATTTTTGTGTCTTAATGGTGTCCAGTATCCTCAATAGGTGTGACAGATGAAATAACAATGGGAAAAAAATAGATCTCAACAGCTAAGTTTTCCCTAAAAATGTGTGTGTTTGATTTTGATTCAGATTGAGCCCATCATTGAGAACCCCACGGTCGTCCATCACATGCTCCTCTATCGCTGCCCCACTTTTGTGGAGGCACCATATGATAATGAGTGCTACATGGGACACATAGGAGATGCCTGCTTTGCAGTTATGGCTTCATGGGCTGTTGGAGGAGGGGTGAGTCGATCATTTTCTACCTCCAGTCTCCTCTTTCTCTGTTTGAAAGAGTTTTTAATTTAACTTACTCTTTCCTCCCTCAACAACTCATCTGTGAAACTTTAGTCATTTGAGCTTCCAGAAAATACAGGGATTCCTATTGGAGGGAATTACAGGAGTCATTTCTACAGGCTGGAGATCCATTACAATAACCCACAAATGAAATCAGGTGATTATTTTCAAATATACAGCGCTGTGAAAAAGTATTCCCTCTGTTACAAATGTATTAGGCATTTGCTGTTTTTGGTCACAATTAAATGTATCTGTCATGGATTTTATCAATATGTTTATCAATAACCCATTTCCTGTAGTCGGAGAGAGATGGAGACAATGTGCAGACAAGTCAAACAGTTATGACTGTGACAAGACGCACGAGGCAAAATGCCCCGAACATCTGTTCACTGACTTTATTTATAGAGAGATGTGAGTGGAGAGAGAGAGAGAGAGAGAGAGAGAGAGAGAGAGAGAGAGAGAGAGAGAGAGAGAGAGAGAGAGAGAGAGAGAGAGATTGTGTCTGTGTGTGGGAAGTCAAGAATGTGTGTGTGTGTCTTGTGTGGATGTGTCTGAATATGAGCATGCAGAGAGGCATAGAGCAATAAATTTACATCCTGTTGATTGAGTCCATGATCAAGAATTAATAAACATAAATTTTTCCCATAACAGTATCAGATCAGCAAACTAATTTCATTTTCAAACATATCCTGAGCAAATAATCTGAGTAAATGCGAAATTCTATTTTAGATGATTCTGAAGCAACAAAGCAGCCACAGACCATCACACTGCTACCACCATGTTTGACTGTTGCTGTAATGGTTTTATGCATACACACAGCAATCATCTTGGAACCCTCAGCAGAACTTCCCTTGAACTCTACGCTACACCTCTATATATATTAGCAGTACTCTGCTGCCACCTAGTGTTAAGTTCAGTACACAACATTTACAATGGTTCATGTCTATTTACACATCATTAATAATACATATACTGATATTTACACATCCCAACAAATCTCCCAATGGCTACCTTTACAATGAGATCAAAGTAATCAAATATACATTTTGGTTACAGAAAAATACTTATTAAAGTCAACTGGGTAAGTCATTTGTGCCTCACTAACATTATTTTTGATTAAAGAAAATTGCTTGGGTGCAAATTGTCTTGACCGATTAAAATGTGATTAATCAAGAGTAATTAATCAAAAAGTCCGTAATTAATTAGATTAATTTTTACTTGAGTCCCACCCTTAGCTGTCTTGTTTGTATATTGTTTGGAATTGAGTTTTTTATTGTTTTGTCTCTTTGTACAGGAATCACAGACAGCTCAGGACTAAAACTCTACTACACAGACCAACTCCGACAGCATGATGTGGGGATTTTAACCACAGGTGTTCCGCCAATGTACCCCTTTCAGTACAAAATCCCTCCTAAAATCACTCAGTTCCACACTTATGGAGTTTGTAATACTATTAACTTTTCTCAGGTGTGTAATATGGATCATAAATGGTAAGAATATTGTCACTTCCTTTGTTTTCATGTCAGTCTTTAACATCTTCTTACAGCTTGTGAATAAAACACCTGATCTTCAAGTGTTTGCCGTGCTCCTGCACACCCACTTGGCTGGAAGGAAAATCAGAGTTGGTCATTTCAGGTCAGAAAAACAGGAAATGCAAAAACTCTATAAGTTAGAGAATTTAATGAAACCGAAAAAGAGTTTAAAATAATGTTCTTGTTGTTTATGAAGAAATCAACAGCAAATAGACTTTCTGGGTTTGAATGAAAACTACAACTTTGACCTGCAACAAATTGTCTCTTTGGGGAGCCTTAAAACAATCAAACAGGTAAATCTTATTGTACAAACTGGTAAAAAATAAATAAATAATAATAATAAAAAGGGAGCTCTCTATGGATTCTCATCATTTTGTTTTGCTGTTTAGAGTGATGATATTGTTGTGGAGTGCACCTACAATACTGAAAATCGCAATCAATCCACCAAGGTTGGTCATCATTGCTGCAGTAACAGAAACAGAAACCTGTCATGTTTTAGTAAAATTGTGAAACAAACAAAAAACCTGCAGCAATACTTACCACATCATCCATATGCGTTCTTTCAGATGGGTTTATCCAGCACTGATGAGATGTGCTTGGCCTTCTTGCTTTACTACCCTGCAATCAACATCACATCTTGCATTAGCCACCCAAATACATCGCTTTTACCATCTTCATATGACCTGTAAGACCCTGTGAGCCTGTAGGGATGATCGCATGCATTCTGTTGTTTTATTGGTAAAATGTACATTGACATGCTCTGTTAAAATGTCTCTGGGATCATTTCTGACAGCATGTCGGGGTTTCAAGGCAACACTGTTGAGAACTTGTTGAAGACCTTACCACAAATTCAGGTCATCTCGGATGTAGATGTAAGTTTTTGAAAAATGTAAACATATTCAATCCAACAAAAAAAATTTCCAGGATGTTTTTTAAGATATGAATGCAAAAAGACAAAGAAATAAATGTGATTGTGCACACTCATTGTCATAACCCTTATTTAATGTAAATGCATTTAGACATTTTTTTGCTTATTTCTTTTATTGTTTAATACACTATGAGGAATTCAAATTGAATAATTCTTTTTATGAAATAATAAATTAATTTTTTAAAACTTTTTCTTTCTTTTTCACAGGGCAAAATGTTTATTGATAAAAACAGTGTTGTCAAGGACTTGATGAAGACTCCCACCGCTGTTTGTAAGGATTCAGGAAATCCAGGCGCTGGAGCGACGAGATTCCACACGACCTGGATTATGAACACAGGAGCAATTACACTTTTACTATGCTGGATCATTATAATGTAACATATCTGCACAAACAATACATCACTGTGCAATTTTTACAAAGAATGTATTTTTTCTGAACTGACCAACTTGGAAATAGAATATAAATTTTGTTAGCAATAATAGATATATCGATAATTTTACTAGGATTTTATTATAGTTTCAGTTGCCTGATTTTAAAATGTCTTAAATAAGAAGCAATTGTTTTTGTTCTGTTCCTTCTTTCTTTAACACTTGATTTTCTAGTCCACATTTTCCATGATTGAATAGCCAATGCACACCAGCTGTAATTGATGTTATCAAAATGCAATTTCTATGTTTTGCTTAATTGTAAATATTCACATTTATTAACGCTGTAAAATAATCCAGCATAATAATATCAATGGAAAAAAAGCGGTGGCATCAGTTGCAGTTCCAAATTTATCCACGGAGAGGCGCTACATTTTTTTGTTATGCTAACTCTAATCAGAATTAGACACCATAACAGCGGCTAGCTCCCCCCGGCTGCTAGTTTCGGCAATGTTGTTACTATCAGAATGATATCACAGCGGGAGAGAGGAGAACTCGCTCGGTTTTATACTGTCACTGATCCTACAAAGCACCAGAAAGGCTACACTGTATACAAAGTCACTGCACGAGTAAGTAAATATAAGCTTTGACAAATAGTGAAAAGCTAGCCGTGGCTAGGTATGTTGCTAGCCAAGCTAAAGGGATGAAGATTCAAACACGGTTAGAATCAGTGAGTATATCCTCTGGGCGGTTGTAACTTGCGAGAACACCACAGGTAGAACCTCACCGCCTTGCTATTGCTTTGAAAATGTTGATTTTTATTTTCTGCGGTGAGTTTTCTGGCTGCTAATAACAAGAAAAGGCTGAATATGCAATCATAGAACAATGTAACGTCATATGAATGGCGATAGAGACAAAAACAACAAGAATAACGGAAATCCACACGTAATTTCAACATTAATTAAGTTTGCGCGTTATTATAGAGATTATATAAAGAGGGTAGATGATGTAGGGTGGATAAGAGGTGTAGAACACTGACTTGTATATTGTAGCTGCTTCTCTAATTATTGTCTCCCTATGTTATTATAATTTCATTGTTTATTTCTTAATTCAAATGTTTGCATATCATTTATTTTTCTTGCACCAAATATCGCAGCAGTTTCCTAATATTGTGATTCTCGCACATATGGCAATAAAACCCTTCTGATTCTGAAACAATATCAGTACTTGCAATGTTCTGAAATCCTGTTGTCATAAAATTACTTCTAATTGATAATTAATAAATAATCAAATTTAAAAACCGATAGCTAAATTTGTGATTTCCTCTAAGTCAGAATGCATAAGCTATGTTATGTAAAAGGAATATTTCAGCAGTTTCAAATAGCCTTTTTTGTTCGAGTGACTAGGCAAGCCCAAATCCAGTTTAATAGCTGCCATTCTGCTGATCATCACTCTGGTGATGTCCCGTTCTAACACTTAAGACTTTGATCCATAATGAACTCATTGTGACACTCAGACCTATCCCCTCCCTCTGCGTGCTTGTGACCACCCTCATCAGATTAAGCCTCCACACTGAGAAATGGACAAGCGCTTTCGCTGAGCTTCCTGATTCTTGAGTCCTGTTCTCTGTTTTCCTCACAGATCATCTCCAGAAAGAACCCAGAAGATGTCCAAGAGGTTAAACATGCTTTTCTTTCATTCTCAGTTAGTGAAAAGTAACTTTTTCTTCTAAAACGTATGACAAGAGTTAGGCCCTTTTGACAAAATTTCACATTTTAATAATTTAAGAAACGTAAAAGAAAACAGCAGATTAAGAAACCACCAAAGCTTTGAGGAAAGGTGCAGAAAGTATCGTTTATTACATGTTTACGAGTATTCAAGAATACCTCATAATTTAGTTACACTTTTATAGATAATAATTGTTCATTTCAGACCTTCTTGCGACACTTATAATTCACCATCTACTTAAAACCAACAGAAAACACAGAGAATGAAATGCTTTGTGGCAGAAAGCCACCAACATAACTCAACAACAATTTCAATTATGATACCAAGTGAGTTTCATGTGGAAGCAAACACTCTTTCATTACTGAGCGGTGCTGAAGCGTAGCAACAAGGAAATGCAGTTTTCTCACAAAAAAAACCCTAAGATTTTAAATCAGATTATTGTGTTTAGCCGTAACTTGTTTATCGGCGGTATCTGAGGTTCTTGCTGAATTTTGGGGTTATAAAGCTGTTACTGATCCATTCAGATGTAGGTTTTTAAGAAAACCTGATTTAATTAGGTTTATTTGGATGTTTTTTTTTTCAGTCTAACTCAAAAATGAGCGTCACATGAGCCGATTGTGTGTTGGGAAAACCAAACTGATGCTGCTTGTATCTTCGAGCCATTATCGACTCGGTCCACACCCTCTCATCTTCTCTCTGCAGATAACGGTATGGAAGAGATATAGTGATTTCCGGAAGCTCCATCAGAATCTCTGGCAGCTGCACAATAGTGCATGTAGCCAGTCGGAGCTGTTTCCTCACTTCCCTAAGGCCAAAGTCTTTGGTAAGACCCTTCCCTTCACCTTCAACTTATCCAAGGCGTGATAAGAATCTCTGATTAATCCATTGTGATCGTGTATTCAGAGTTTTTGTCCTTTCACATGATTGTGTTGGTGCTTTTCCCTGTTTGAGTTCTATATAAAGATTACGCCTTTGTGTGTGTTTGTGCTTATTTACGTATTTATAGGTCGATTTGGTGATTCTGTGATAGAGGAAAGAAGACAGTGCTCTGAGGATCTTCTACAGTTCTCTGCAAACATCCCTGCTCTGTATAACAGTCAGCACATTCAAGATTTCTTTCAGGTATTGGATTGTTTTTGCAAATGTGCAAGTGCTTGTGTTTATTTTTGTAATTATTTTTCTTCTTTTTTACTTTAAGGGAGGTGAGGTTCACGACGGCTCCGAGCTCATTGGACCACCTGAGCCCTTTTCTGACTTCCTGGCTGACAGTTTATCTGATTGTAGTTCTGATGGTAGGGTCACAGAAATCTTTCTTTTCTAATATTTAAAGACCAAGTTTCCTAAAGAACAACTTTTTACTTGTTACTTTTGAACTATAGTCAGTCACTCTGACTTTCACATTCAGGCTAATTGTGAAAATAGCCTTCTACCCCTATTTCCTGCATTAGCCGCCGATAGAAAACAGACGGAGAAACGCTCATGTCAGAAAAAGCCACACAGATCTATGTCACGCTGAGTGTTAACGTTCATGGACTCACCCATCTTGGCTCGTGACGAGGAAGGCTGTCGTTGTTTTAGCATCCAGGAAAAAGCAGAGCATGTCTCGGCTCATAGAAGCTAACCGTTAGCATTAGCAACTGCACAACATGGCAGAACTCCTTAAGGGTTGTGCGATTTGTGGAGATAAAACAGTTGCAGAGTGAATGGAGGCAGTGGAAGAGTGGTGTTGCTGTTAGCCAATCAGAGGCAAGGTGTCTGAATATCATGAATATTAATGAGTAAGACTCCATATGTTGTTGTTTTCTGCTCCTTACTCCTATGGCTAGCTTCTACTTACTGAAACAGGAGAGCCAGAGCTTTCTTCCTCACAGAACCACTCACAAGGAATTCGTTTATATAGAGACGTGTGCAGATTTATTGAAATCGGTGACTGAGAGCTCTAAAGAGAGATGTGTGTGCTTTTCAGTTCAGAGAGACGTTAGCGGTGCAGAGGATCTGACTATCACATCTGACTATGGAGGTAGCGTTTGCTCCAGTTGGTTAAATTTCCTGTTTATTGATGACACATATTTATTTACTGACCTGATTTGTCTATTTTCAGGCCCATCCAGTGACAGCGACCTGACCTCTCTGGCAGTGGATGCAGACTCTTTAGCCGGGTTGGATGATGGCATGGCCTCAGGTCGCACCTCCCCAAACCACTCACACGGGGGAGCCACCAATATTAGCATCAGCTGCAGCCCTCGCTTGCCATCCTTGCGTGAACGCCGCACCCCACCACCTGCCCCCGCCCCTGCCTCCTCAGCCCCTAACCCAGAAGTCAGCTGGCCAGGTCGAACATCGCTGCTGTCCAGTGGTCTGAGAAGAGCCAGCGGTGGCAGCGCCAAAGACTTGAAGTCAGACTACCTAGAAAAAGCCAGTGAGCTCATCGGTTTTGCAGTAGAAAAGGAAAAAGTGCAGGACTACCAGGCAGCTTTTACGTACTACCGCAGTGGGGTCGACCTGCTGCTGCAAGGAGTACAAGGTCAGACTAACTTTATAGGTCAGGGGTTTCCAAGGTATAAAACTGATCTCTTTCCTGTAACCAGCTCAAATCAACACTAGCTTGTCATATGGCATCTTCAATTCTTAATAAATACTTCAAATTACAAGTTTTAAAGACAAATGAGCTCTTCAACCTCAACTTTTTTAGGTGAACCAAGTGCAGCCCGCCGAGAGGCGGTGAAGAAGAAGACGGCCGAGTATTTGATGCGTGCCGAGCAAATATCAAGTCAGCATCTGAGAAGCAACATGGGTCAAGGATCAACACAAACTGTGGTGAGAGGAAGATAAAGGCTCCGTTCTTCACCGGCTGTCTGGTCTGGTTTTTACACACGTTCTTTGGGTCAAATGTTGGAAGAAGTGCAGATTTTAAACTTTATGAACTGATTTTGTATTTATTCTTTCCATCAAGGCCTTTGGGTCTCAGTGCTGCTCATCTACGAGCAGAGGAGGGCAGCAGAGTCCGTTTGATGAGCTGATGGCTTACAGGGTGATAGGAGTCATAGATAAGGTAACCTGCTACTCAGCATCATAATTCGATGCTCCTGAGTTGGTTTTACACATGTCGGGCTTAAATTTGGTGTGTGTTAGTCTGAGATCAAGGTGTCAATTAGCCTCTGAATCTTAGTACTGAGATTTAATGTCAGGATTTCCTCCAGTGATTACAGTCGAGTCAAGCTGACATTTATATTACAGTAACCCCGACCCAGAATGCAGCTCGTATCTGTCTTCACTTTCCCCTCCTTGTGTCCTTTTCTCCCGTCTCTCCTATCCAAGTCAATAAAACCTAATAGATTTACTAGGTGCATGGCGGGGCCTGAGCGTGTGTATGTTTAGTGTCAGTTATGACTACCACAAGGTCAGTTTGGGTTGCTGGTCCTCTCAAACAGCTGCCGGCGAAGCAACTCCACCACTCAGCCATGAAATGACTTGGCACGCAGCGCGGAGAATGACACACTACATTGAACCTATGTTGCTCATCCACACACACACACACACAACCCTAAGAAAAATGTTGACACAATTCCAACATGTGTTATTCCACAGAGATGGACGCAAACTACACAATAACACGGAATCAACTCGAGCACAACACAAATAAAAGTTATGCAGCAAAATCCTCCTCTCTTCTACTTCCTCCTCTCAGTTTAAACGAGGACAGAGGGGACAGATGGCAAGAGCTCCTCACCCTACTGCTCCCCATACCCCTTCTCCCCCGCCGCCACCCTCCCCTCCCTGCTTCCCTGATGCTTGTTTCTTAATTATATTAGCACCCTGGCTAGCACCGCCACTCTGTTTACTCGCAGCTCCATTCATATCCATTTAGCCCGCACCTGTTTGGTCCTAGTCAGGGTCACGCACCCGCAACACGTGCACCAGAATAAACACAAACACACACCAGGGCACACACATATGCTCAAGATGTCCCCCGAGACGAGCGATGGACCAGGAGAACGATGGAGATGTCAGAGAGGGGAAAAGAGGGCCGATGAAGGGAGATAATGAAGATGTTTGGGAGGGACAGGAAGGAAAAATGCAGGAGGAGTTGTATTTTTTATAGGAATTTCTACTTTTGGGCACGGGGTAGACCGATATATCTGTCAGCCAATATATCGGGCCGACATTTACCAATTGTTATGCATTGGCCAATATTTGTTCTTTGTAAAGCCAATTTCATGTCAGGCACATCCTCAGGCAGCCCGGTGCTGTTGCAGATTTTTATTTAAATGTGTTTTTACATTCACTAATAAAAGTCTGCATTAAAATACTCTAAATTAACTTTATTAAGGTGTCTGACTTTAACACTGAACAGTGCAAAAAGTTAAGATTTAACAGTTAAGGTCAGAGTTCAAAAACTGATTCAGCTTCAGAAACTTTTGCATCAACTTATATAACTGACTTTTTAGCATGAAAACAAAGTGGAAAATGTCTAGATATCGCCATGGAAATCGACCCATAAAATCGGCTGACCCTGTCCTCTACATATCGGCATCGGCAATAGAAAAGCCAATATTGGGTAACCTCTACTTTTGCGTGATTTAGAGGGTAAAGAGATTGAGCCGGTGTCAGTACAAGGTCTGCTCGGGTGCAAGATCGGCTCGGGGTCCATCGACTGCCGATGACGTTAAAGTAGTTGATTGGCTGAACATGAACCTTATGGGATTACGTAATCACGTTACGTTGTTATCACGTTACGTTGGTCCAGGCAAACTTTTCTGTTGGAAAGATGGACAACTTTTACAAAGAAATCCATCATTACCTCTTTGAAAATACACTTTTAGCATAGAGCTGCATGTATATTAGGGCTGAACGATTAACTGCATGTGCAATTAAATTGCGATGTGACAAAAGGAGATTTTCTAATCGCAAAGGCTGCAATTTGGCAGCGAGTGGTTAGCGCAATGCTAATATACGTGGAAAAACCCATAGGAATGCTAACGCTAATATCACCATTACATTACATTATTACAAATTATGAGTTAGAATCTTACCAAATGATTACATTTGGAGTATAATGGAAAGTAAAACTACCATCAATCAAATAAGTACAGACAGGTATTTTAGTAAAGCCAGAAAACTTTTAACTCCAGAGTTTTGGCTAGCAGCTATGAGCGTAACTGAACTACGCATGGACAAGACGTCAAAAACTCTAAACACAAAATACTTCAATAAACGGGACACACTTCTTTCCTGCAAATACAATTTCACAGGTGTTGCTAATACCTATGATCCTTCAAGGGACGTGCTCAAAGAGGAGTTCAACATTATGAATACAATATAGTGTTTTATTTTACAAATACCATTATAAACACAAACTTACGTCTTAAGAAACATTATTTTAATAACAAAACTGCTAAACTCTTTCCAACAGTATAGATGTGTAGTGAATTTTGTCCGAGTGGGTTTGCCGTACTTTGACGTCATCGGCAGTCGAAGGACCCCGAGCCGATCTTGTACTGACATCGGAACACTTTAGGGATTCGTTGCACTGCTCTGTTGGGACTTGTTACAAAATTAAAAGTGTCGGAGCTTCATAAAAACATCTGTTTTATCAGGTTGTTGGGTGTTTTAAGAATTCTGTTTACTTTGGTAACTTTTAATTGCAATTTTTCATTTTTTTTAAATAATTAATGAAACATTAGCCTTGATAAATAGTAACAAAAATGGCCTCCTCCTTATATTTAGCATTTAGCGCACAGATTTCTCTAAATTCCTTTTAGTTTTTGTTATACAACACATTGACAATCCCATGAAGTCTATAAAAAGTGTCGGTGTTTCCCTCGAATTGTATATTTTTGGTTTTATACATTAGAATAAGCATTTTCAGATCTTAAAATAGGGAATTTTGGATATTTGAAACAATGAAGCTGTAAAAAAAAAACAAATTTACATGAATTTTCTGAAGCTCTGATAGTTCTAAACAAAACCGCCAGCTTTCGATATAAATCAAAAACTCTAACTTATCTTGCAGTGCCCCCTCGTTTAAACCTCGTTTTGACCCTGTCCGGTCCCAGACATGAACGTAGTGTAATCTTAGACCGCTTCTCTCTGTTCCTAGCTAACCATTAATGGCACTATTCCAACGCAGGTTCTTCTGGTCATGGACAAGAGAACACAGGAGACGTTCATCCTCAAGGTAAGTGTAATGTGTGTGTGTTGCTGTGCATCCTTGTTGTCCTGGCTGTAGGTGTAAAGTTGGCCAGAAGCTGCTGTGTGTGACCGGTGTAATTGATTCTAATGAGCTCATCTCCATCAGCTCCTCTGCTCTCAGGTGTGAGACGTGTGCCAGATGCTAATGCACAGCAGACACAAACGACCACACACTGACATGCATGCACACAACCAATGTGAAGTTTTATGGTGCTGATAGGTGTGTGTCGCTTGATGAATCCAGTGACTTTGGGTTTCTGTGGGCCATAACTGCTACTTTATTAATGGGAACCTTCTCCTCTGACATCGTCTCGTCCTTCTGTAGTTTCATTTTGTGAATTAAATGAGTTTTTCACAGTAGCTCTTCTAATCCCAGGGTTTGAGGAAAAGCAGCGACTGTGGGCAGGTTAAGAAGAACATCATGCCTCACTTGGTGCCCCACATGGTGCAGCTGAGAAAGTTCCTCATCTCTGAAGACTCCATTTTCCTCTTGCTGCAGTATGCTGAAGGTAAATGATAGAGATGTGTCAGTCGCAGATTTCATGGCCACTTTAAGTTTTTCCTCTTTAATAAATAAATCTTTACTGATTCCATTTTCATAATAAACATTTTCTACTTTTATAGAAAATTATTTTTATTGGGTAGTAATCCATTCCACCTCTTACAGGTTTGTTCTATAACTCCAGTCTTCAGTAAAAACTTCTAAACCAAAGGCATTCTAGTGCTAGCTTAGCCATGTTACATTTAAAAATCTGAATTAAAATCTGACTTTTAATCTCCAACAGCTAAGGTATGGCAGCATACAGTATTTAGGGTCACTCAGAAAAAGAAAAGGTTTAAAGTGATTTTCTTTTGTGTACCCGAGATTATGTTACATAAGACAGTTAAAGGGGCATTATGGAAGTTTGACAGCCAAACCATGTATAGAAATAATAAATGTCTTCTTCATACATTCTCCTGCAATGCCCTGGTCCTGTAGAATGAGCCCTGGCATTTTTACTGTGATTGCCTGTTTTTCTGTAAAATCACAGAAAAAGAGAGATGCTCGGGTCGAGCAGGCTGCTTCATGCTCGTTCACGCTCAGGCATCGCCCGTAGCATTTGCTATCCGTAGCTTTAGCAGCAGAGAGCGAGGCAGTGCCACTTTGTCGCTGTTCCTAACACCTAGTGACAAAGCTAGCTACATTTCTGAGGACCCTTAGCTACTTTCTGTAGAACTTTCTTCTAGATATTTCCTGCAAATTAGCAACAAAATAGCCATTTTCGCTCCAAACCGTTCTTTGGTTTGACGTTGTTTCAGCTGTCATCAAGGATATAAATGTAACAGAAACTGAATGTTACTAGAGTGTAGCTCAACTTGTAAGATGTCTTGACTCCCATGCAGAAGACCTGGGTTCGATTCTGGATGTGAACATAGTTTATTTAGAGTTTATTTTTTACATTAATGATAATTTTTTTACAGTAAGATGCCCAAATTTTTATTCGAGACTCGCCGAACGGCATTGAATTCACAGATAAAAAAGAAGTGGGTTCAACTTTCATTTTGGAACAATTTTTCAAGCAAGGGAAGGGAATGATCTGAGCATGCAGGAGGACTGACCCATCATAAACCTTTGTCGGCTGTGCTGAAGAGAAAGGTACAGAACCACATTATTTAATTAATTAGCTGCGCGTTCTCCTGTCCTCTGTCCTCCGGGCCACACACACACACACGCGCACGCACACGTGCGCACTCACACACACACACACACACACACACACACACACACACACACACACACACACACAGGACTGTCTCAGCTGTTATTTTCGTTAAGGAGTGTGCACGTACAGCATGCACGCCTCATGCACGAGCCTACTATTGAAGCTGCTGTTACGCTTTTGGCCTGAGGGGGCAATCCCGAGCATAAAAATTCTAAAGTCCCTTTAAACTCAGACTCTGTAGACAAAATAAACATCAATATTTTAGGAATAAATATAATAGAGTAACAAAACCAGCAGCAGGTGTAGGAATATGAAAAATAAGGACAGTTGAGGTCAAAAAGGTGCAAAATTTGAATCTTAAAGCAAAAGATCCAAATTCTACTTATCTGTTTAATCTCCTCACCTTTTGTCTTGTTACCCTTTCTTTCCACTCTCGCTGCTCTCTTTGCCCTTGTTTCACACAGATGTTTTATTGTGATGGGTGTGTGTTACAGGTCATTATTCTAAATACCAGGTGGTGCAATGCTTCATTAGCTGTACCAACACCTGGGCCTCCTTACACCCTCTCTCTTGGATGTGTCTGTAGACTGTGTGTGTGTGTGTAGGTGACTACATACAGTCATATTTAACAGCCCTGTAACCTGTTCAGTCTGGTGTCCTCCATTACCATCTTACACTATTATTAAGTTTAATTTGAGCTAATTAAATGTTTTTATCTAAAATGGATTTTCTGATGTTAAAATCTGTTCTGTGATAAGGAATCTGCTTTTTCCTTAAACATGAAAGAAGCTGATGAGAATGGACAAGCAAACAAAGGGAGGTAGTGACCTGAGTGACATTGGACACAACAACATGTGGATGGTTTTACTTTCTAAGCCATGGAACTGCCCCGCTGTCATTATCATCATCGCAAACTCGCAATTCATCCTCATCACGCACAGCAGATGCTGGATTCTAATTGCTCACTTTACAGCTGTGTGTGTTCCTGTAGACTATGTGTGTGTGTGTGTGTGTGTGTGTGTGTGTGTGTGTGTGTGTGTGTGTGTGTGTGTGTGTGTGTAGCCAGATCTTTGAGATGCAGTGTTTTCATTTGCAGAAAAGTGAGATACATGTCTGTGAATCCCTGCCAAGCACTCTGAATAGTTTCTGTTTTACTCTTCTTTGCCAACAGCACAAAGTGTGCGTGTGCACAGGAACTGAAAGACACTTTCGCTTCACAAAGGCTCCAACTTGTCTATGTGGCAAAACGTTTTCCGACTTAAATCGATAACTTTCTAATAGCTTCCTCCAAAGCACAATGAAGCTTTTAGGAGTTGGTGCAACATGCGTTTAAAATTCAACAAATTTCAGCAACCAAAGGGCAAGACATGTTTAAACATCCATAAAAAAAACTTTAGAAAGACGGTTTAATCGAATTTAAGATTTGATCACTTAAGAAATATCTCCAAACTGCAAAGGTTGGTGTCAAAACACAAACGTGAAATGGTTCTCCATGCCGTTATCTCCTCCTGTCTAGATTACTGTAACACACTTTTCACATGTTTTACAAAAAAGCCCTTGACCGCCTTCAATTGGTCCAGAACTCTGCAGCGAGGCTTCTAACTGGCGCAAACAGAAGAGCACACATCACTCCTATTCTGATGTCTCTGCACTGGTAACCCGTTAACTTTAGAGTTCATTTTAGAGTCCTGACTAGAACTTTCAATGCTCTACATGGTCAAGCTCCTCCCTATATTACTGAACTGTTAAAGCCTCATGCTCCAACCCGAGCCCTCAGGTCCACACACCAGAACCTTCTAGAAGTTCCAAAGATCAGATATAAAAGTTGAGGTGATCGCTCCTTCCAGACTGTTGCACCCCGACTCTGGAATGATCTTCCCTTATCCTTACGCAGCACTGACAGTCTGGACACTTTAAAAAAATGCCACCATTAAATCGTGTGTTTTTAACTGTTTGGCATAACCCAGCTTAAACACATGCTTAAACGTTCTCGTTTAGAATCAGTTATTCACACTTTATTTCATCCAGACTTGATTGTGCAAATTCAGTTCTGATTGGTGTGAACAAGTCTTTGCTAGACCATCTTTGGAAGGTTCAAATGCAGCAGCATGTTTTCTGACAAACTCAGTCAGACACACTCATAACACATCTGTCCTTGCCATTTTACCCTGGCTTCTTGTTTATTTTTATTAATTATTTTTTACTGGGTTCAGTTTAAAATTCGTTTTTGTCTGAATCTTTCATGAGCTGGCTCCCTCCCATCTTTCGTCTATAACTTGACTAAGTTTCTCTCTACCACCTCAGTTCCTCTCCTTATATTCCATTTTTCTGTTTCATTCCTTTTCCCCAATCGTTGTTCTGCTGTTTTGTCTTCAGGTGGGAAGCTGTGGTCTCACATTGGAAAATACCTCCATAATTCCAGCCCAGATGAGAGCTTTGACATCCCTTTCATCCAGAAGAGTCACACAACAGCTGTGCATTCACCACAACATGTAACGGCACAGGTAGATGTTGGTTCCGCCAGTTGTGATTCAGAGACCAATGCTGGTTCAGATTCTGCCTTGGGCCTCCAGAAGGAAGAAGAAACCCCCTACGTGCCGTCTCTCAAAAGGACCCTCCCTGCAGGGCTTATTGAACAAAGTGGAGGCCAGTCGGACTCGGGAGCTACCTCTGAAGAGGAGTGCACCAACAGTTATCTGAATCTGTGCAACGAGTATGAACAAGAGAAAGTAGAACCTGATGCTCTAGAGGAAGAAGACAAGAAAAGCGAGCAGGAGATGCTTTCAATAGATGGTCCAACTGCAACAGCCACCACGTCATCACGCAGCCGCTCAGTTCTTAGCAACGATAGCCTCTCTTCACCGCTGAGTTCTCAGGAACTGGGCTTCTTCTCGGATTTGCCTGAGACAAGTGGACACACGCTTGATGATGACCTGGGTAAAGAGGAGCCCGACCATAGAGAAGTCTTTAGCCCTTCTCGTTCCCCTGCTGCACCTCTCTCTTTGGATCAGTCCAAGCACACACCCATGCAGTTTTTCCGTATCGACAGCAAAGACAGCGCGAGTGAGGTGGTCTGCCTTGACTCAGGAGAGCAGCGACCTTCTCATATGCAAGTCCATGTGTTTTCTACATCCATTCTGGGTTCTGGTGGCACTGAAGAGCCTCCTGAGCTGGCTCAGGAGGTGAACGGCCAGAGCTTGGAGTTTTGGGGGTTGGGCACTAGTGATGGAGACTCTAATGAGTCAGTGCCTGTAATTTCATTTCAAGAGGCAGCAGTCGAGGATGAGGGTCACCCTCCAGACCTGCTGGTTAATCTTCCTGCAATAAGTGGGACTGAAGACCCTTCAAAGAAGGAAAAAGAACCTTTAAGAGTTTGTTCGGGCCTGGAGGTGGCATCCTCTTCCCAAAAGTGCTTCCAGCCTGATGTTTTACAGCTTCATAACCAGCCTGAGCAACCAGAGGAGCGGCCTCTGGACCAAGAGCTGTCATCTTTCTGTACAACCTTTATGACGTGTGATACTAGTGTTGCATCAGCTTCTCCTTTCAACTCGTTATGGGACAACAGCTCCATGGGTGAACAGGAAGACTCTTCCAAAGCCCCTGTCCTTTCTGAATGCCCAAACAATGACTTTCTGCTCAACACCGACATTGTGAACCCCGATTCTGATGATGAGAAACTAAAGCCTTGCACAAGATTAAACACAGACTCGATTCCAGACCTCAGTGAGAATAGCACAGTCCCTGTCCCGGCCTTCAAAGGGACACAGACACGTGCAGTTGTTGAGGGTTTATTAGGTCTCGATGGTGAATCATCAGGAGTTATTAGCACTACAGGTGGCAGTGAATTTGATAAAGAAGTGTCGCGGCTGTTTGCAGAGCTGGACAATCTGTCATTGGCTGCTTCCCAAGCTCGAATCCCGGAGGAGTTTGTTCAACGCTGGGCAGTGGAGATGGTGAAGGCCTTGGATCACCTCCACCAACAGGGCATCATCTGCCGGGACCTGAATCCTAATAACATCCTGCTTGACCACCAAGGTTAGAATTATTGGGTTCCACCCATTAAAATGCTTAGCTGTTTTACTTGAAGACACTTATTGTGTGAATTAAGTCGAGAAGTGTCCCATCTGACCACATTTGACGGAGGGTCGGCCTTCATCAATCCGTCACAAACCTGTTTACCAGGAACTCTCTAGAAGGAAAATAGTTCCCGTGATGTCAGATTCCCCCCTCGACAACTTCTTTTGTCTTCCTACAATCACCTCTCCCCACCTCATTATCAACAAGCACCTAATTAGCTGAGTGGCTGTTTTCGTCTCCCTGGTGGTAATTATTGTTCTAAAGGACCCATCAACGGCCTAGTGTGGTGCATCAGTCTGGCTAGCCGAGGCTAATGGCTACGGCTACCTAATGACACCATTAGTTCTAATGATAGCGTTAACGGGTAGCCGCTAAACAGGAGTAATCTCCAGGGCTGTTTGCTCGAAAAGCTCAGAGAGAGGGATGTAGAAAGAAGGAAGGAAGGAAATGCGCTCTGAAGGTTGGCGATTGGTTAGAAATGTTAAGTGACAGCGAGGGTTTTAGGAAAGGTGATCATCAAATCCAAATTTGTCAGATGTTTTTAATCTTTCCTCTCCTTAGGTCATGTTCAGCTCACCTACTTTTGTAGCTGGTGTGACGTGGAAGAGTCCTGTGACAAAGAGGCCGTTACTAATATGTACTGTGCACCAGGTGAGCCACACGTCCAAACCCTCATATTTCTACAGCATTCAACACAAAATCACATTTACAGCCACAAATTAAAATGTTTGGGGTTTCCTTACAGACCAATACAAAGAAAACGTTTTCCTTTAAGGTGTTTACGTGAATGTTGTTCTTTGTGGAACATTGACTCATTCCAGTCTTTTTCCATCCATCTGTTTTCATCCGTTTATCCGGATTCGGGTCGCGGGAGCTGCAGCCCAAGGCGAGAGGCCCAGACTTCCCTCTCCCCAGCCACTTGGGCCAGCTCCTCCGGGGGCATCCCAAGGCGTTCCCTGGCCAGGTGAGAGACATAGTCCCTCCAGTGTGTCCTGGGTCTCCTTTTGGGTCTCCTCCCGATTTGACGTGCCAGAAAAACCTCACCAGTGAGGCGTCCAGGAGGCATCCTAACCAGATGCCTGAGCCACCTCAACTGGCTCCTCTTGATGTGGAGGAGAAGCGGATCTACCCTGAGCCCCACCTGGATTACCGAGCTTCTCACCCTATCTCTAAGGCAGAGTCCAGCCACTCTTCGGAGAAAACTCATTTCGGCCGCTTGTATCCGCGATCTCGTTCTTTCGGTCACTACCCAAAGCTCATGACCAGAGGTGAGGGTAGGAACGTAGATCGACCGGTAAATCGAGAGCCTCGCCTTCTGACTCAGCTCTCTTCACCACGACAGACCGGTACAACGCCCGCATCACTGCAGATGCAGCACCAATCCGCCTATCGATCTCACGCTCCAGTTTTCCCTCACTCGTGAACAAGACCCCGAGATACTTAAACTCCTCCACTTGGGGCAGGACCTCATCCTGACCCGGAGAAGGCATTCTACCCTTTTCCGAATCAAGACCATGGTCTCAGATTTAGAGGAGCTGATTGTAGCGTTATGGATGACAGTCTTTCTGGGACAAAGTTCACGTTCCAGCTAGGTCAAGATATAACCTTTATCCACAGATTAAAGCCATCAGGAACCAGAGTGTCTGAAGAATAATCATCAGCCTGACTGTTTATCTGTGTCCATCCCAAGATGGACATCTTCAACTATTATCAAATAACTCAATAAAAGCTTATTATTATTAAGGTTTATAATAATTATCATAAATAATCATCCTTTTCATATTAAATGTATTCTAATTAATGAAATGACTTATTAACCTTGGGTTAATAATAATTATTATTTATGATAATCAGTAATGTTTAATCAGTAACCAGAAGATGCCTTTGCACGTGTCCAGCTCATGCAGGATTCGCTTCAAGGTAAATACTTCACACATGTTTTGACGCATGATCAAAGCTTTCTTCCTGAGAGAGTGGGCGTGTCCTGGAGCTTGGTAAAACTATCCATCCCCAGCTTCAGAACGAGTTCTTGAACAACACCACGGAGATAGGGAAACGGCCGTCCCTGAATCTCCACCTGCTGTTCTACTCACGCCGACTAGAATAAGCTAAAGAATAAACAAACTGTAACCGGCTAACGATGACTCTCCCAGAGTCATTGATTTCTGAGTTAAGTTAAAAGACGAAAAACTCCTTCAGAGTTACGGATCTTGAGACGCAAATTGTTCCACCAGTCGAGTGACCCAAGGAGACATCTCAGGACTGATCTGGTCGCATAGAGGTTCTTCTACCAACCTCATGCCTGGAGAAAACCATCTCCACCTGGACACTTTGGATCCGAAGGAGGGTCTTCTATATGGGTGAGGTAGACTTCGACAGATTGCGTCTGATGCTGTTTCTCTCTGAATAACTTAGTTAGCCTCAAAACATCATCTTCATCCAGACCGCTTCCATCTCTCTGGGAATGAAACCTTCTCATAACTTCATCCACGCATCCAAACTCGTATTTTCCATTTAGCTTCCATTCAGGCACAGGTTTGCTTTTAAAACAAGTTTAATATCAAAGCTGTTGAAAATTGTCATTAAAATTGCCATCCATGAATTGTCATTTTATGATTGTCGTCTCAAATCTCTAAGTTTAAAATTGTTAGTAATAAAATTTCTTCACTTTTAAACTTGCCTCATTATTGAAACGAAACACAGAAAAGATATAATATTTCTGGTTATTTGAAAGCAAAGATCCTAGTTTCTGATTTAAAATAACTTTTGCTATTAAATTTAATTATCTAAATTAAACATTAATCTTTGGATTTAAAATTAGATCAAACAGGTTGATGTATGAACTTAGATCGATATATAAGTATCTGGGATATTTATATATATGATATAAGCCTCATAGGTTAGTCTGATTGGTCATTTTTCGGAATCTCCACTGAATAGCACAGAGGTGATTTCAGTATGCAGATTTAACTCTACATGATTCTCATCCCAGCTGCTTCACACTCGGCTGCGAACCGCTCCAGCGAAAGCTGAAGATCACGTTCTGATGAAGCCAACAGGACCACATCCTCTGCAAAAAGCAGAGACCTGATCCTCAGGCCACCAAAACGGATGCCCTCCACACCTTGGCTGCGCCTAGAAATCCTGTCCATAAAGGTTATGAACAGAATCTGTGACAAAGGGCAGCCTTGGTGGAGTCCAACTCTCATTGGGAACGAGCCCGACTTACTGCCGGCAATGCGGACCAAGCTCTGACACCGGTCATACAGGGACCTAACAATGCCTCAACAATGGAGGCATGGAACAGTGTCCATTCAGACTCGATGTCCCCCGCCTCCCCCGGAACATTTTGGAAGTTCTGTCGGCGGTGGGAATTGAAGCTCCTTCTGACAGGAGACTCTGCCAGACGTTCCCAGCAGACCCTCGCGATACGTTTGGGCCTACCTGGTCTGACCGGCATCCTCCCCCACCATCTGAGCCAACTCACCACCAGGTAGTGGTCAGTTGACAGCTCCGCCCCTCTCTTTACCCGAGTGTCCAAGACATGCGGCCGCAGGTCAGACGAAACGACAACAAAGTCGATCATCGAGCTGCGGCCTAAGGTATCCTGGTGCCAAGAGCACATATGGACACCTTTATGTCTGAACATGATGTTCATTATGGACAATCCATGACTGGCACAGAAGTCCAATAACAAAACACTCAAACTCAGATCAGGGGGGCTGTTCCTCCCAACCACCCTCTACAGGACAATGTTATAACAGCATCAAGATTATAATGCTTTTGGAGCTGAAAATAGACCCGAGTTTATTTCACGTGTTCATTTTCATGAATATCATTCCAGTCTTTAACTTTTATTTAAAAGATAAAAGTTAAAAATCTTTTAAAATATTCTATATGGAGGCTGAGGAGTATTGTGAACTTTCTTTGGTTTTTTTAATGATCACATTTATGAAGATTATTTAAAAAAAACTAGACTTTATTTTAATGTTTTTTTTTAAATCATGATATCTAGGGAATCTGCGATAACATTTTTGAAAATAAGACAAAAATTATGAATAAAAATTGACATTGACTCGCAGATAGAAATATTTCTAATTCGGTTAATTTTTATTTTTAAGTTACATCCTTCTGACAATTAGTTTTTATCAAATATCAGTTTTTGTTGAGCTCTTCTAACTCTTCATTAGGGGATGTAAATGCCACATCATTTGTATTTTTGTAAATACACATAATATTTTTAATTTTATTAATATTGTGGATGATGTCTTGTGGCCTCGCAGAGAATTACTATAATAAAAAACACACAATACATAGAAACATGTTAATTATCTTCATGTACATAGTTGTTAATAAAAAAATCTATTTTTATCCCAATTCTTTTATATAATCTATATTTAAATCAGTTCTCTAGACTGAAATGAACAGGCCTTCACAGGCAGTTGGAGATCTATGTTGTCTAAAGCTTATTGAAACAGGGGCCCAAATTGCCAGATTAAAATAAGAAAATATTTACTTTATGGGTAAAAAATATTATTATTGGTTTTCTTGGTTTTTAAAACGAACTCGGGTCTATTTTCAGCTCCAAAAGCATTATAATCTCGATGCCGTTATAACATTGTCCTGTAGAGGGTGGTGTTGTGCTACTTTCCTTCTCTAGTGTGACAGCTCTGTGTCATTGCTCCCCAGCTGACCAGTGGCAGCTCTGGCATGCTGTTTAAAGGCTGTCTAAAACAAACTGCTGCTAGACTACAGGTTCAGGTCCCTATTTAGCACTTCTGTGTGTGTGGGAGTGTGTGTCAGTATGCGCGCTTGCTATATTTTTCCATTATGATCACGCTCGGAGCATATGTCCGCACGCTGGACGGCTGGATGTGTTTAATCTCTTTATTTTAATACGCTGGATTGATGAGCACTGACTGGATGGACTGGATTCAGTCACAGACATGCACAACAACTCTCCCTCGCTGTTCTACGTGCAGATATCATAGTTTAGGAGGTCTGGACGTTACATCATCTCCCAGATTTAATGAATCAGAAACAAGAAGTTCCCAATTTACTATTCAAACAAGAGATTACTTCTAGAAATTTAAATTCTTCAGCCTTAAATTTTGCAGTAGATGATCCTAAGAGACAGAAGAAAGTTTGTGAAATTTGCGTGTGTAAATCAAATCTAAATCTTAGCTAAAAAGTCTTTTTCACACAAGTAAAGGTGGCTTTATCCAGATAAAAGCATTTTGATCCTTTGTGAGCTGAAAACCTTCACTCTTCAGTTTATTTCATGTGTTCATTTTCATGAATATCTAGTAAAAAAATAAATAAAGAAGATCTACACAGACATCAGAACAGATGTGAAATGTCCTAATAGCTACATTTTTGTTCCCATGTGGATCATTAGATGTAATACAAGCTGTTGCTCAGCAGGGGGCGTGTTACGCTGCTGTGAGTAATTAATTGTTTTGTTTGTCTTAAAACAATTTAAATTCATTTCTGTTGAGTGATTCTATTTTATTATCTTAATAATTTCAATAATTGAACATGCCAGCACATGTGTGTGTGTTTATTTATGTATGTATGTGTGTTTGTGGTGTCTGTGCCTGTGTGTGTGTGTGTGTGTGTGTGTGTGTGTGTGTGTGTGTGTGTGTGTGTGTTTGTGGGCGCGTGTGTTTATGTATATGTGTGTATGTATGTGTGTTTGTGTGCGTGCCTGCGTGTGTATTAATGTGTGTGTGTGTGTGTGTGTGTGTGTGTGTGTGTGTATGAATGTATGTGTGTTTGCGTGCACCTGTGTTTATATATATATATATATATGTGTGTGTGCACATGCGTGTCTGTGTTTGTGTGTGTGCGTGTATGTATGTGTGGTTGTGCTTACGCGCATGCGTTCATGGTAAATGGTAAATGGTAAATGGCTTGTATTTGATATGGCGTGTATTTGGGGCGATGGTGGAACAGGAGTTAAGTGCTCGCCCCATAATCGGAAGGTTGCAGGTTTGAGCCCCGCTCAGTCTGTTGCTGTCGTTGTGTCCTTGGGCAAGACACTTAACCCACGTTGCCTGCTGGTGGTGGTTGGAGGGACCGGTGGCGCCAGTGCTCGGCAGCCTCGCCTCTGTCAGTGCGCCCCAGGGCAGCTGTGGCTACATTGTAGCTCATCCCCACCAGTGTGTGAATGTGTGTGTGTGAATGGGTGAATGACTGATTGTGTTGTAAAGTGCCTTGGGGGGTTCCAGGACTCTAGAAGGCGCTACATCAAATACAGGCCATAGCGCCTTCTAGAGTCCTGTACCCCCCAAAGCACTTTACAACACAGTCAGTCATTCACCCATTCACACACACACATTCACACACTGGTGGGGATGAGCTACGTTGTAGCCACAGCTGCTCTGGGGAGCACTGACAGAGGCGAAGCTGACGAGCACTGGCGCCACCGGTCGCTCCAGCCACCACCAGCAGGCAACGTGGGTTAAGTGTTTTGTGTTTATGTTTATTTATTTAGCAGACGCTTTTATCCAAAGCGACTTACAATTATAACCTATAGGGCATGTTGTGATCTGTGGGGGAAACCGGAGTACCCGGAGGAAACCCACACATGCATGGGGAGAACACGCAACTCCACGCAGAAAGGCCGCAGCCGAGTTTCGAACCTGCAACCTTCGTGCTGCGAGGCAACAGTGCTAACCACTGCGTCACCATGTAGCCCCAAGATCTTGCCCAAGGACACAACGACAGCAACAAACTGAGCAGGGCTCGAACCTGCAACCTTTCGATTACGGGGTGAGCACTTAACTCCTGTACCACCGTCGCCCCATATGCACGTGTGTGCCCGCCCACGCGCGCGCTTGTGTGTGTGTGTTTTCGTGTGTGCATGCGTGTTTGTGTGTGTGTGTGTGTGTGTGTGTGCACACGTGTGCGTGTGTGTTTTTGTGCGTGCATGTGTGTTTGTTTGTGTCCGTGTGTGTGCTTGTGTGTCTGTCTGTGTGTGTGTGTGTGTGTGTGCACACGTGTGCGTGTGTGTTTTTGTGCGTGCATGTGTGTTTGTTTGTGTCCGTGTGTGTGCTTGTGTGTCTGTCTGTGTGTGTGTGGGGGGGGGGGGGGGGGGGTCGGGGGGGGGGGGGGGGGGGGGGTATGTATTGCTGTTTATCCAGACAGGGTCAGCTCTAGCAATGGCTTCATTCCTGATGACAGATTTATGTCTGTTTGCCAGAAAGCTAGCAGGGGCCCTGCTGTGACTCTGTGTGTGTGTGTGTGCGTGTGTGTGTGTGTGTTAGAAGGAGGAGGACATCATGTTTTTAAAACACACATATTCACACCCAAAAAACACGGGTGCGTACTTGGAAAATATGGTGAGGGGGTATTAATCTGCTTATCCTGCGATGGCGCTTATTTATTTTCTCAGTTTTGTCATTACTGATAAACATCAGGTGGCTAATGTTTTTTTTACTGGTAAGGAAAAAAAACAGCTGTTTTAATGCACTACCTCCTTTAAGCAGAAATGGGAAATGTTTGTTCTGTTTAGAAGGAAGCAAAGCCAAAAGCGATTGTCTTGATGATCTAAGAAAGGGGAAACTCGACTTTTCTTCCTCTCTGAGGCAACAAGGCAGTTATACCGAGGACTCCATCGTCCTTGTTCTGTGATCCTTTTACCTGCTCGGTGGCGTGTGATCGAATGGAAGATAAAGTTTAGTTCCCCTGTTGACACTGAGCTGTCAGTTCATTGTTTTCAACGGCCTTTCAAGGAAGATCTAACGCGACAGAACTTCTGCTTTATTGTATAACTAATAAACTCTTACCGCACAATTAAGATGGATGACGGGTTTGTTTCAGGGTTGTTCTGATGAGAAACTTTCAATGGTGTTATTCTCAAGACATGAAAAAGTGGACAGATATGCATAAAAGCCCAAGTTTAAAAATAAAAGTTGCTACCAAACACCAAAAAATGCCAACATCAGGGTTCTGGGAAGAACTTCTTTATGTTTGTGTAAACATACAACTAATGGAAATACTCAAATGGCCACAAAACCTTCAACCTTTTTTCTCCGACACTGCTGGATGTAGTCGGGCTTCTTATATCGAAAGTTTGACCGTTCAAAGGTGTTTACAGGTGAGCTCGCTGCGAGGCATCACACGCCTGCTTACAGAAACTTCCTCCTTTCAGGACGGCAGTTGCGTTTTTAGGGAAGTCTTTATAAGAGGAGAAGAGAAGAAGTTCCTTATGAGCCGCCATGAGGGATGAGACGATTAAGACAAAGCAGAGGAGGGAACTGCTCCGATGAAAGGAGAGGGAAGGACAAGACTATTGTACTGTTTTATTATTGTTGCATTTCTCAGAATTTTCCTTTGTTTTTTTTTGTTTAAATTAACTTCTCAGGAAAGAAAAAAATCGGGTAGTTTTGCATATCTTCTAATTAACACGTCCTACTGTAACAGTGGGCTCTGGATGACCCATGGCCCGTGGATGCAGTTAACTCTCCCTTCCCGTCTCCTTTGCTCCCTTCCTCGCTCTGACAGAGCAGCAAGTGTGGCCAGCTCCACTGTACAATCCCTGCAGCTCCTTAGACATTAATCTATTGTGATGACATCGACCTTGCTCTGAGACTGTGTGTGTGTGTGTGTGTGTGTGTGTGTGTGTGTGTGTGTGTTTGTCCAGTTTCTACCCCCCAGCTCATAACTACACAGGTATCAGTGGTCCGTTCAATGACGATCTTCTCTCCTTGGCTGTCAAAACACTGGTCCTGGGAAGCCCTGAAGACCGTTTGCTCAGTTGGTTGTGTTTGTGAATGAATGTGTGTGTGTGTGTGTGTTTGTGAAATGTGTAAGTCGTACCACAGTCCTCTCCAACCTTGGCTGCAAGAGAGCTGCACAGGGCCTCCAGGAGACAAGGGGTCTTTGTCTAATATGCTCCCCCAGCTGAGGAGCCTGGTCCCTGGGCACACACAACCGTGACCCTGGGTCCCGGCCCCTTTGGGTGACCAGCCCCCTCCCCCCTTTGGAGAGCAGAGGAGCTGAGCAGCACACGAGGCCATCTGGTATCCAGTGGAGCTCCAAACGAATGTCACTGCGCGGTTCAGCTGTGGACGCCCCGTGGCCTTTGCTCATCCCCGCTGGAGGACCAGAGAGAAACAGCTTCACCTCTGGAGGACACCGTTACTTCCAAGAAACTTCTTTTATTCATTTTTTTAAGTGACAAAGCCAAACACCTACAAAGACAGAACTTTTAGCGTTTTCTGCCCTAAAGCCTAATTAATTCAGATCTAACATTTATTTCATGTTCATTCTCCAGTTTTAATATTCATCTAGGATCTAAGGAAACAAGACGTCTGCCTAAATATTCATATTGAGAATTTTTTTCCCTTTATTCCCCGACACTCAATTTACCAGACTAATTAAATACGATACATATAACAATTATGTGAAGTAATAAGCCAGGAAAAATGGGATTAAAGACGACTAAACATGTATGCTGCTTCCAAGTGTCCCTGCTTTGTGTGTCTTGGTGTGTGTGTGTGCTGCAGAAGAGTGTGTTTGCGTTAGAGGTCAGGTCATGCAGATGGTGTGAAGTTGCAGCACAGACGGTTTCCTCAATTTAACTGCTTTTTATTATGCAAATCGCCCTTTTATGAGACACACATTTTGTGTGTGTGTGTGTGTGTGAGACGGAGAGAGAGAGTGACCGTGGTGATGATTTTGTGCTCATTTTGAATTAATTGTATAAATTTGTTGCTACTAGAAGCAGTGTTTAATGGAGGAGATGGAATTTCTAATTAAATGAAATGTTTAAATTAATATTTTCCTTTCTTTTGTATCCAGAGGTGGGAGGTATAAGTGAGGAGACGACATCGTGTGATTGGTGGAGTTTGGGCGCCGTCCTTTTTGAGCTCCTGACCGGCGCGGTGAGTCGAAATCGGATCCAGAAAGTCGTTTTCATCTTTGTTCCTAAGGTGTTCTGGGATGTCTGTAGGTCTCTTGGCTTTAAACTCTCACACACTCTTTATGGTTATGCCAGCTTGTGTGTGAGTGGGTGGAGTTTGTTGGTGTGTGTGAGTGTGAGGTGCGTCTTGGCTGCGGTCTCTTGCTCCGGTTCTCAGGGAGTGCCAGGGGTGTCGGTGTGACTTTCTCCCCCAGCCTGAGCTCCATCTGCTGGGCTACCGGGTCAGCTCTCCCCGGGACTCTTTGCTGGCTCTTGGAGTGATGCCGGGCTCCGGGCACGCTGACCTCAGATCAGCTTGCAAGGTGAAGACCTGGGCAGCTCTCATGTCGCTGCAGCTTGGCTGGTCCAGGATCCGAGGACCCATCTTTTGAGACATTCAAGAAAGGAAGGGAATCATGCTTTTCTTTTATTGTTTTGCAGACGATAAATACAGAAATGCTTGTTTCACTGCTTGTAGGACATTTATAAACTCAGTAGCAAGCATGCAGGGCAGGTGCAGCGTTCCATCAATTTTTCATTGTCTACTACATTTGAATAAATTCTGATTGCCAGTGGGCATGTTTTCATATCAACCATCATTGTTGGGTTAGCGTGATTATGTCTAACAATACACACCTACGTACCTGAGCAAAAAAAAAGAAGAAGGAAAACTCTGCCACACAGATGTCTCCTTTGATGATTATGTCTTTGTACGGCCCTGGCAGGAACACACACACACAGCAACACACAGTGTCTCTTGATCCTTGCAGGATAAGATCTGGCCCGGAGCAGTCTTAACTGCTGCTAGGAACGCAGCCAGAACTCCTGCAGCATGCGTCAGGGGAGGGAGAGAGGCAGCAGCCCAAACTGTTGGGATAAAAAACATACTGTGTTCTCGCGTTTTCTTTTTAGGTGTAGACGGCATGTGGCGATTAGTAGTTGCTGTCAGTTATTTCAACACTACCTCCATGTTTTGTGGGTAGAAAAGCACTTTTAAGCTCGTTTTGATGTTCCTGGTCAGGCTTTAGATTCGTCATGTTTTTATTCTTTCTGTGATTTTGTCTCTGCTGGACTCCCACGACAGTTCCAAGAAAGAGCAACAGCAGTGACATCATCACCTCGTTGTTTGTGTGATCAGTGTTGTTTCAGGTGTCCTGACTCTTTGGTCCCCTCCTATCTGTCCAGCTCTGATGCTTTTACTCTGACTTGGTCTCTGCAGTTGTCCAAATGTTGTGTTTAACATTGATGGTTATCTGTCTCTTTTCTTTCCATTTCTCCTTCCCGCTGCAGTCTCTAGCTCGCTGCCATCCAGCGGGAATCAGCCGTCACACGACTCTCAACATCCCCGAGTCTGTTTCAGAGGAGGCCAGATCGCTGCTGGAGCAGGTCAGAGGTCATCTCAACTCAAATCCGGGTTTTGTTTCATTTCTTCTTTTTTACGATCATTAAAAATATCAAGTACTATCTTTAAACTATAAAATAATTATTTAATTGTGTTTACATCTGGTCCAGTCACATGGTTAAGATGAGAAGATCCCACAGTAGCGAAATTTGTGTGTTACCTCTACTTGGAAATATTTGTTTATTCAGATAAAAACATACTGAAAGACACGATTCTTATTATTTCTGATACATTTCGGTAGATTTAGCTACATATGATCACTAATATATATATATATATATATATATATATATATATATACACACACACACACACATATGTTTTATTTAGCACATTTAGACGTTTACCTGCCATCTGCTCTTGAGGCAGCTGAAAAACCAGACATTTATCGAATTTATAACAAACGTTCACATTTTTCTCGTCTGTGAACTCATCAATGCTAACGGCTAATTCATGCTACAATAACAGATATTCAGTGTGGAAAATTTTTGTTACAGTATAATGCAATTTACAAAGTTATAGTTAGAGATGAATTGGAATCAAAATCAGTATCAGCAGGTCGGAGCTGTGCAAGAACTGGAACACCAGAATTTCTACTAATGACAATTTCTTTGGTGCTGGTTTTTAAATATTTTTTATATTTTCATACCGTAAAATGCAAACATAATTAAAAGGTGTGGAACACTGAAAACAACCTTTTTTTTCTAATAATAATAGTTGCATCTGAGTATTTCACCCATCTTGACTCATGACGGGGGAGGCTGTTGTGGGTTTTGCATTCAGGAAACAGCAGAGAACTTCCTGGCTAGTAGAAGCTAATGCTAGCATTAGCAACTTCACCACACTGCAGAAGCTCCTCCAGCCTTGTGTTATTTGTGGAAATAACGCATCAACGTTGCAAGTCAGTGGTAGAGTCGCGTTGCTGTTATCCAGTCTGTGGCGAGATGTCCAAATATCAGAAAGTAAGATACCAAAGCCAGCCGTCTGAAGCTCAGCTGTGATGTGGCTCACCTCTAGTTCCTGGAAATGGTGCCCCGCCCCCCGGGTGCGACTTACAAGGCATTAATTCCTATTAGAGACCACTGCAAATGCATTGATTAAACAAGTGTTCCACACCTTTAAAGAAATAATTACAATATTTGTTTGGATCCAATAAGGAATTCTGCACTCATTAAACAGCCATCTCCTTTACATTCCTGTCCTCTAACAGGAATATTTTCCAGTAAATGAATTCCATTGGAGCAGCAGCTCTAGTGGTTCCTCAACCAAGACAGTATTTGCTTTGAGTGTGTGAGATCTCCACGCTATCAAAGTAAAAATATACCGTATAATAACCATAAGTGATTTAGGAATGTATGTATTTTTCAGACGGATTAGATCAGATAAACAACTGATGGACATGTCCTTAATAACACTGTTGGCACCCTGCTGGTGTCTTAAAGCTAATTGCAAATCCTCCAAACTGCTAATCTTTAGATGTGTATTAATGTGGGATAATCTGACAGACTTTCTGAGCAGTCATGGCATGACGGTGATCACACAGAGACGCTGTCGACCCGATAATTGTATAATTCCTGTTTCTGATCACAGTATTAAAGATATTTTCCACTTTATCCACCTGTTTTTGTATTTGAACCAGCTTCTCCAGTACAACCCAACAGAGAGACTGGGAGCGGGCGCTGGAGGAGTCGATGATATCAAATCTCACCCCTTCTTTGCTAGAGTGGTCTGGTCCAACTAGATGACGCTTAACAGGGAACGGCGAAAACCAGTGGTGCATGATGGGAAACCGGATTTCCTGAATGTGCTCCCATCCAGATGGACAGAAAAATCAAAACATGCATTTAGCCTCATTGTTCAAATCACATGTGCTTGGATTTTATACCAGTAAAGCTGCACTGGGGACACTATTTACTGGTGTGAGCGATGATCCACTACTTCACTTTTTCATGCAGACATCTGTCTCCTCAAGTCTCCACTGATTCATCAAGTGCTGCAACACACCCAGCGATACAGGCGTAACGCATCTGTCCTTAAAGGGATATTTCAAACGTTTTACAGTGCGTTTCTGTTGTAAAAGCTATAAATGTCTTTGCAGAACTTGAGTCATGGACTTGGACAGAAACATACCTTCAATATGGCTGAAATGCTCTTAAAGGATTGCGGTTTATTTGATTACTTTCCTCTGTGAAGCTCGTCTCCCGTCATGGATTCACTGACATGTAAAAATGCATTTTTCTGATCTATAAACTGACATTTAATGTCGTTGCGAACCAGCCTATGAACTGCAGCAGAAACGGACACTATGCAACGATATCTGAACAAAATACTAAGAGGTAATAAATAGATGCCGACTTTAGTCCTGGTGAGGTTTGATTGTTTTATTGCAGGGAAAATGCTCAGGTGACGACTCGGTTTAAGCACTTCCTGTGTGTTTTATTCAAGTGAAAAAGAACGAGGCCACATCTAAGTTTCTAAATCGCCCTTTTACATTTTGATATTTTTAGAACATGAGAGGAAACGATCTGCCCTGCGTTTTGTTCATGAAGGATTGTGATTTGTGTAATCTATTTAATATGAGGATGAACGGGCATAAAAAACGTACAGGTATTTTTAAGGGTGTTGATGCAAATTTATGCCCAGGTGTCAAACTTGTTCTGTGTTCTCCTGCTGGAACACTTCTGCCACACGGATCTGAAGCTGATGTTCTGTGACTGGTTTACATTTTTATGGTTGCAGTCCTCGCCGCGCGTCACTTCCTGCATCTTTATTGGAGGATTCTGAGAAGTCTGGGAGTATTTTAAGCACGATGCTAAACACGACGTAAGCTACAGCTGGTTCTCATAGCAGGTTTTATTTGTAAGTCTGTGGAGCTTCTTCTTGTCTTTGTTGTGTCAGTGCACTTTGAAAAACAATAAACACCTGGAAGACCATCAGAATGTTTATTTCTTTGTTTTTTGCACACATGAGCTGTTTGTTCTCAGGGTAGAACAGGTTTTGTCTACTGAGCAGATGATGCTCCTAGAAAGCGGCTGCCACGCTGGCTGATCGTCGTAGTGACCATAACACAACACGACAAACAGCTGATGCACTAAAAGTGACCCATTACTGTACATAGAGGCACTCCAATGAGTTTTATGAGGATCAGACACGGTGATGCAGATCAGAAACCGGTTCGGTGAGAAGACTGATTGTGATGTGTCACTAAACAAGCTGAAGCCTTCAGCTGATCTCCAGGAGTCAAATAAATCAGAAAAATAGATTTCTGTTCAATAGAATTGATGCAAAAGCTACAAATAATAGTTAGAAATGAATATAAGCTGTTTTGAAATCAGAATAAACTGAACCAGAAACACAAAAACCATGAAACTGACCTTTTGATAGGTTCTAAAAAATTACAGCTTATATAAACATATTCTCTAAGTTTTGTTATATAATATTTTACTTCTTTAATGTATCAATTATGACCTTAATCTGTAAACAAATTTACAAAAGTGGAAAAACTTGAAAGCTCTTCAACAGCCCATGTTTTAATGGTAAAATGGTAAAAAGTGGAGTTTGGTTGTCTTAGTTTTCTACGGGAGTTAATTCTTCTGATTTCCTACTGAAAAAAAATCGTTCACAAATAAAACTAAGGACTGGACCTCGGTGCCTCTTGTTGATTAAAAAGTAATCATTTATAGAAAGAACGTGATTTAATCTGTCTTGACAGAAATCCTGATTATAATAGTTTTTCTGAAATCAAAAGTAAATATTTTTAAAATAAAATTTTAGGGTTTTTTTTCACCATTTTGAGTTGAATTAACCTGAATCTGAACTCATTTCGTTTTTGTCTTTTCTGAAATGACAACACACACACACACACACACACACACACACACACCAACACACACACACACACACACACACACACACACACACACACACACACACACACACACACACACAGGTGAAGCTGTTAGCTGTGCATTCCCTTGTGTCAGCTTTACTGCCACGGGGGTCACGAGTCACAGCTGATTAGTGAAACCTGTCTCACGTTACACACACACTCGGGGCTAGAGGTTGACTGCAGCTCACTTCAGAAACTGTCAATCTTGCTCAGCATGCATGAGAGATGTGTCTTTAGTGGGCTCACAGAGGCAGCAGCTGATTTTGTTCCATCTTGTGTGAAGTTCAAAGGACCTGATAGTCAGTAGATGTGATCGGCTGTACTTTTAGCCACTTGTGTCATTATTTAGATGTTCTATCTGTGAGTCAGGACATTTAGTTTGAAACAAAAACTCAATATGATCACAATCTTAATGTAAATCAAAAGGTTCAAGTGAGAAATACATTTCTTTTTTAAGAGTCTCCCTCTTTAAAGCTCTGCCAGATTGTCCTGCCCTGTGTCTTACTGTGCAGAACTTGAAAAATGTTAATAAAGTAAAATAGATAAATAATAAATATGTAGATATTTGAATAGATATTTTAACATTTTCTTACATTGTCATCTTTTATAGATAATGTGATTGTTATTGACTTATACAACAATCCTTATTGCCCTCAGATTAATAAAAAAAATATATATATATAAATATATATATATATATATATATATATATATATATAGGAAATTCAATGCATTTTTTGGTGTTGAAGGTTAAAGATTCATATTCTGATTTCACTGAATCACATTTAGTTGTGTTAAACAATTATTGACTGAAAGTGTATTTTCTGCACTGTTGTGTTGAAACTGAATAACTCTTGTAAAACTAATGTAGATCTAACATTTGTTATATTAAAAAACATAAAACTAATCTCCTAAAAGTCAAATCAAAAATACTTTATTATTCCTAATAGAACATTAAACATGCTTCCTATCTTCTAAAATTTATAGATAAAAAAAATCAGATATTTATTCCAATTATTTTTTTGCCCAAATGAGTAAATTCATAAATACTTTAACAATAATTTCCTCTGCAGAAACATGCCTGTTTTCCTTCCATTTCAAGTTTAATTGGGACCCAATTCAAGTGTTTTGACCTAGCTGGTACCCCGGCCTGAACTCCAAAACCATTAAAACCAGCTCTAATTTAGCCACCCACTGCTGGGCGCACACTTATGTGTAATCAGAGGTTTATTCCAGGGATTCAGAAATGGGGAGCTTTAGATTACCAGCATCCATTCACTGTTTTAACCGTGTGTGTGTGTGTGTTTAGTCAAAATTAAAGAGGATGCATCAAGGTCTCCCATGGTTCAATTCAGCCATCTTTTTCTGAGCTCTGAAAATGTCAGCAAGTCCTGCAGACTGAATTGACCTCTGACCCCTTCCTGTAACTTCCTGTTGCCTCTATCTTCTCCATTTCCCTCCCTGTCATCTTTTCCCACCTCTGCCTCCTCTTGGATGTATCTCCATGTCGTTTTCAGGCACTGTGTAAGCGGGCAGCAGCCAAATGGCCTGCCCTCTGCTTCATATTGCTGGTGGTCAGGTTTTGTTTTTCTCTTTATGGTTTGACTTTTGTTCACAAAGTCCAGGAGGACTCAGATAGCCCAGGGACACACACACACACACTTATACTGAGCTGAAGAGTTTCACTGTGAGACCTCGGGCATCTTCTCCAGCTTCTGTCAGAGCCATGATGTCATCACGAGAAGACACAATGCCTCTTCATCATTGCCTGTAAACACACACACACACACACACACACACACACACGCTTCATGGTCAAATAAATTAGAGCAGCACACAGTAACAACACAGGTGCTGGAAAACAGGACAGCTAACTTTTAATGTTTTCTGTAAATTAAACTGAAGTAAATCTACACTTTAGGAAATTTTATGTTGAATTTATGTCAACTGGTTCCATCTAGTTGCTTAAAGGTAAGAGTATTATAAAATGTTATATGGTTTGATGCTAAAAGGTAATTAATTGTACATTAATATTAGTTTAGTGAAACCAGTTGACATAACTTGTCAACTGCGGGATCCTTTTGTCAAATTCAAAGTCACACGGGCGTGTAGATCCTCTGAGAGAAAGTGGAAAAAGGATGGCCTACAGGTCTCGCGTGAGTTGTTCAGAGCATCTCTGGTTGCTTATCAGGATGCTGTGAGGGCTGCTAGAACTGCCTATTTTGCAGACATCATCGAAACTAACTCCAAGAATCCCAAGATTCTCTACAAAACACTGAACTCTGTTCTGGTGTATCAGGAGCCCAGCTCCATGTCTCCTACAGCTGCTGGAAACTCTGAAGATTTTCACAAATTCTTTGTTCACAAAGTATCGGGCATTAGAGCAGCTATTTCTGGTAACTCTATTGACCCTGCTCCAGTTCCTCCATCACCACCCACCCTGAGCTCCATCAATACAGTTTCTTATTCTGAGCTGAGTAAGCTTGTTGCGAGGCAGAAGCCATCCGGCTCTCCACTTGACGTTCTGCCGCCTCGTCTCTGGAAGGCTGCCTTTCTGTGTCTTGGCCCGTCCCTTGGTCAGATTATCAATGGGAGCCTCAGCACAGGTGTGGTCCCAGCTGCTTTGAAAGCAGCAGTTATTCGGCCGACCCTGAAGAAACCTGGTGCTGATGTCTCTGTGATAGAAAATTACAGACCTATCTCTACCCTGCCTTTTTACATCAAAACTGCTTGAGAAAGTCGTTTATCAGCAGCTGGTCCCACATTTAGCTGACTCTGACAAAAGTGGTATATGCATCTTGTTGACTTTATTGTACCTAAAGCACAACCGATCCAGATCAATGACATTAATCCGTTATTGAACTGCATAAACCATTGTATTTAGTGAGATCTCTACAAATAAGACTAAAGGTCTAACTGAATCTCCTCCTGGTCTGATTTTAATTAACTGCTGTAATAGTACGTGTAGTAGTACGTGTTAAAGGGAGTTCACTGCCCTTGTGCCTTTGGGCTGTCTCACATTTTAATCTGATTAGATAGAACAAAGCAGCTCTGTTTCTTAGCTCGGCTCCTTTACCCACTGAAAATGTTCAGCTCTGTTGCTGTAATGAAGTAACAGTGCGAGCACAAAACCAGTTTCTGATTTCTGTTTCAGTAGCAGATTACCGACAAATTGGCCTTTAACGTTTATGTTATCAGTTAAAGCGATCGCTGACCCGATTAGAACGCCAAGCTCTCTCCACCTGCTGTAGGTCAGACCGGGATCTCATATTTGCATCAAGACAACACAGCTGGGTCACTGATGGGTCACTTTAAGGACTTTGGTTTTACCAATTATATATATATATGTGTGTATTATATATATGTGTATTATCTATCTATCTATCTATATATCTATCTATCTATATATATATATATATATATATATATATATATATATATATATATATATATATATATATATATATATATATCTATATATATATATATATATATATATATATATATTTTATATATATATAAAAATGTATATATATATGTATTAGGGCTGGGACTTGATCAAAATTTTAATCTAATTAATTACAGGCTTTATAATTAATTAATCTCAATTAATCGCATTTTAATCGTTCAGGAAAATATGCTCTCAAAGTAAAACTTTTAATTAAAATTATGAGATAGAGAATCAAACATTAGACATGGTTATTACCGTAAACTAAAGCTTTTAATAAAAAAATGCATTTTAATTATTCAAATGTCACTGTGTGATATGAAACAAAACCCAAATCAACTAAAATATATAATGACAAATAGAAAACACCTGCAAAGGGTTCCTGAGCCTTTAAATAGTCTCTCTGTCTAGTTGAATGACAAATAAATTTGACTTTGCACCAGATTCTAATTTTTCCAGTTTCACTTGTTTGTATAATTGGTAGTTTTTATTAGCATTTCTACTCATAATGTAGTAAAAACACATAAATAATAATCCTTCAAAATTACAGTAGAGCAGGCACAAATATGATCTAGGACTTAAATGTACTAACTTTT